CCAGTTGTACCAGTTGAAGGTGATGACCTAGTTTTTTTCAAAACTGAGGTGATATTTGAACCCGGATCTCCCCAGACTTAGGACATTTCCGCTTGTTCTGTGCATAGAAAGCACTGGTCCTGCTCCATTACTAGGGAAAACCTGCTCTTTAGCTCTAAATTGAAGCAAACGTCAATCCGGAGAAAACACAAATTGCCGTTTGCTCCAATTGCATGCTAAACAGTGGTTTTCCCTGAAGAAAAGCAGCGGAACAAAAGGGAGTAGGGATAAGCCATGAGTCAATTACATTACGCAACTCTAAATACCAGGTGACACACTTCCCTGTGGAGGAGTAGGGCGTGGCATTTTTTAAATATTTTGACTCCATTATTGCAAAGAAATGAATTAAAAAGGCTGATTTTTTTGTAAATTATATAAGGCTTCTTTGATATGCTTTGCAATCTTTATGCGGCTTTGGTTGCTCCTTTAAGTTTGGTGATGAATAATCTCCACATGGCTGATGATGAACAGAGGATGAGAGATGAATGTTTTAGTACAGAATCTCTTCTAGAAAATGGTGGGAAAGAGTATGCTTATTATAAAGGGCAGAAAGAACAAACAGACAAATTGCTAGTTGGTTCACAGAGGCTCCATACTGAGTGAAATATTAAAGCAAATAAGCATAGGATCAATATGTAATAAATCAGCAGAAAACAAGTTTCCCTGCTGAAAAACAGTGAGATGCCATGAGGATGGGTTATATCAGGTAAAATCAATATTTTCTTTGTCAAACTTTTTTTATGGTGAAAAAAAGGGAAGACATTTGTCTGCCTTTCAGCAGACGTCCTCAAAGAAAAACAAAACAGAAGGCAGGTTAGTGCAGATTATAGCACCCCCAAGAAGGAAGTTGGTAAACTTCTTTTTTAGAACACACAAGCTGTTGGAGGTACCATGAAACCTCACATGTTAAATTATGACCATGCAGCCAGCTTCAAACTCTTTCTCACTACCTTCCTCTCTGTTCTTCAGTCCTTTTCTCAGCCACCCTTCTCACAATGAAGACTTTTCCATAATTCCTTTGTCCAGGCGGAGAGGTCAAGCTGAAGAACCAGACCAAAGTCAGTAGCTTTATAGGGCCAAGTGGCTTGTATTGGGCCATACTCACTCTTTGTGTCACTTGAACCCTAGGAGGTGCAATATGACCGTCTGTAGTGGTGGCCTTGATGGTACAGAGACAATAAGGCATCTGGGTCTCACTACTGAAACCCTCTGGCATCTTATACCCCAAATGCCTCGATTCTTGTCCACAACTGTAAAAAAACCCAAAGTACTGTATGTGTACTTGAAATGGTTTTTGTGTTTTCATTGCCCTGCTGGGTGTTTTTCTTTCTCATGATTATGTTTTTATTATCCATTTTGCATTTGTATTTTTGGTAGGGATGGCGTAGGAATTTGGTTCCCAAAACAATACACAAGCATAAGTATCCTTCAAAATTCACACTTCTGGGATTTTTGCAATGCCAGAACGAAAATATGGGAATACCCATTTTGAAAAGCTACATAGCAGTCATGATTGCTGTACAGCAGTTTGAGATATCAATTAAATAAGGCTTGTGTCAGCCACCACTGCTTAGTTTGCCGTAATGTGTGAGTTAGGGGTTTTCAACCCAAAGGGTTTTGGCATACATACCTTGCTCATAGCCCCATAAAATAATTTATTACTGTAGTTAGATAGTCAGTATGTAAAAAGTGATCTGTCAAAAGACGTAGGTGATCTGGAAGAAAATGTGTGTACTGCCAAAGGATGTAAGGGAACCTGATAAATACTAGCTATGCTTGCTCAAAAGTAGGCCCCACTGATTTCAATAAGACTTATTTCAAAATAGACCTGAATTCTGAGTGTTTATTTATTCTTGAGACTGTCTTGTGATGTAAGAAGGTGTCTGGCTGTGCAGGAGATGCTGGTGAGAGCAACACATGCAAGGGCACATGACATGCAAAGATTATTCTAAACTACACCAGTTGCCAAGTAAGACAATCTGTGCAGTTGATATTTCTCCTGGCTGTGTTTACTCTTCTCTGAACAGTAAGTTAATGAAGGTGTTTTGAACAATCATGTGTTTGGCAATGAGAAATGACTTTTTTAAAATTATAGTCAAAATTTTGAATTAGAAAGAATTTGACTTATGAAGTTCCACTTTGGGCACTTAAATAAAAATAAAATAAAGCAGTTGATGAACAAGAACGTGATGCGATCACAAGCTCAGCATTTGTGTAGACAGCAGTAGTTTAATCAGCAAAGCATCTTTGCTGTCATTTATAAAATGAAAATCTGGGGTTAACGTGTTTAAAATTAGAAAGGCAATCCCTGTGTGTGTGGTTTTTTTAATTCAAATATTTTTTATTGATTTTCATGTAAATACAAGAACAACATAGAACTACAGTAACTTGTCCAGTGGTACATTCTTAAGTTTCATATGCAGTACACAGTACACAAGCAATACATTTATTTATGCATTGTCAATTCAGGTTTCTTCTCCACAGAGATTCTTGTGTTGTGGGTGGAATGAAAGTATATACTGTCTCATTTTTAAAGGAAAATAATGGAAGCCAAGTCTCAGCAAAAATGTCTATCTTTGAAGTGCCTTTAATTACCCTTCTATGGCGAGTAAGGCATTCCGATAGAGCCACATTCCAAATATTATTTACCCAGGTTTCAAGGGGGATTTCTATTAGCTGATAATAGAAAAAAATATTAAGTCTCTGCATTTAAGGTTATTTTTTAAATTTGAGCCTAAGGATAACAAGGCAAGAGCTGAATTGGGTGGAAGGGATTGCTGAGTAATTTTGGAAATAATCTGGAACACCTTTCCCCAAAAGGTGTAAACCAACGTGCAACTCCACCATGCATGAAAATACGAGCCTATCACTCAGTGGCCTTTCCAGCATAGGCGAGAGATGGTAGTGTTTATTTTAGCTAGACGTGGTGGAGTCCAGTGCCAGCGAAATACAATTTTAAGAGAAGCCTCCTTCAAATGAGCAGAGATTGTACGTAGGGATGGGTTGTGCCAAATCGATTGCCATTTATTATCTGCAGTTAGGATCCTCAAGTCTCTTTCCCACGCTGTCCGGAGGTCTCCTGTATCACTTGCATATTGTTCTAAAAGAATGCTATAGTTTAAAGACGCAGCTCCTTTTATGCCATATTTTGATTTGTTATATAGAGACTCAAATGACATAAGAGAATGAAGGCCATTCCCCTTGCGTTCCAAGTATCTTGCAAATAATAATAATAATAATTTATTTATAACCCGGCCATCTGGCTAGGTTTCCCCAGCCACTCTGAGTGGTTCCCAACAGAATGAATGTGCACAATTGAATAGATTGAAACCAGGTTAACTGGGCATCATCCAATTTCTCCATGAGATCATGCGTTGAGATTGCTTTACCTCTAGGCAGAAGGTCTCTTATCGACGGATACCTTTCTCCTCAAGTTTTTAAAATTGTATTTATTTATCCTCTTGTTGGAATGATGGAGGCAATCCCTGTGTTTGATGGGAAGGGTACAGTCAGACATAGCTGCTCGCAGAAGAAAAAATAAAGGAGCAGCTAGTTATGATTATAACTGAAAGATCAAATGACTCTTAAAACTGTCATCCATGCCTGTCTGTATAGGCCACTTCTTGTTGTCTGAACTGCTTTCATTTGCACAAGTGCTTTTGGTAGGTTAGTTTAAGGCAGTCTTTGCCAACCTGGTGCCCTTCAGAAGTTTTGGACTACATTTCCCATCAGCCCCAGCCAACACAGCTATTTCAAGGGCATAAGGCTGACGAAGGCTGGTTTAAGAGATATTGAGCTTCAGGTTTTGCATCCACTGTGTGCAGGAAACTATTCCGTTTCATGAAAAGACAGCTTCACTAGATGTACATCTCCGTTAAAGTTTGTATCACACTGGCTCAACTGTGCTTCCTGAGCGCATGTTTGAAGCTCACATGTAGGTATGGCCTTGACAGGCTGCTCTTCATTTTATCAACATCAGTAAATGTGTTTTATTTTTAGAAGCAACTGCCCTTTAGAGAGCCCCTGCTGAAGTAAGAATGGAATGGACTCCCCCTGGACTCTCCTTCACTGCAGAGGTTGGAGGCCTTCTGCCAGGGATGCTTTAGTTGCAATTTCCTGCGCTGAAGGGGGTTGGACCAGATGACCCCTGGGATCACTTCTAACTCTACAGTTCTATGATTCTATGAAACTAACTGTGAATTTAAGCATACTTAGGCGGGAAGCTTTTCCACAAAATTCCTTAGTACACCACAACTGAGTGCAAGGATGCAAATATGCCCGATTAAAATATTGGCAAAGCAACTTTGAGAGGGAAAGTTCGGCATTGGAAAAGTGGTCACGTCCCCCCCGCACTCCGCCAATCCCCCCTGCCCCAAGTTTGCTATGTTTGCTTGTGAGGAAAACACCTTCAATATAAACCTAAGATCTGGCACTTTTTGCAATCAAGCACTGCTCACAAGCCCTATTCTGTGATTGCATTCCAAATGCTTGGGGAGTTTTGCCTTCCCAGCCCCAACCCTCTTATGGCAATATTCTTGTATCATTGATAAACTTTACACACAGGGCTGGACACGTCGCTGCCTGATGCAAAGAACAATGTGTGTGTTCCCCACCACCACTCAACTTCAGCTCAGAAACAGAAGCTGAATCTTAATTCACCCCGGTAATGGGTCTTCCACAGCACCTGAGGCAGCAGGCTAATTTAGTGTGGGGCAAAGGCATGTGATATAGTCTACCTAGCTGTGTCTTCAGACACAGGGAACTGGGCAGGGCACCTTAGGAGCAACAACCAGGGAGCTGCTGCTCTTCCCCCTCCCTGCCCAGCACCTGCTGCTTGAAGTGGTTGCCAGACTTTGCCTAATGGGAGAGCAGCCTTGCTTACTCTTATATTCCATATGTTCCCATATCCACACTCATCACTGTTTCACAAATGCCGTCTGCGGAGATGAATGTGCCCCATCATGTAGGACAGTCATCCACCTCTCTGCTCACCAGCGTGTGGATGCAGTGAACTGAACCTTTACCAAATATTCAGGTGTGATCATGGAAAAGGGGGCGCATGCTTCTTGTATGCACTTGTGTAGATAAAATGTCACAAAAGCAGCTCTTCCAAAGATCTTCTGGAAATCTTTAATGAGCTTCAGATTGTGAAAAGCAGGGGGATGCTGCCACCTGTTGGTGTGCATTTTCATTTTCACAGACTCTTATCCTAAATTCTACTTATCTTTCTCCATTAGGCTTTTGAAACAAAAAGATTAGCTGTGAGTGAAACATCAGCAGGATGACTCAAACACTGTGGAAAGCAAGGTCCCTTAAGCAACTGCAGGTGACCAGCTTCTTCTTGCCTGGGGATCAGACAAAGTCCTGGATAAGTCAATGAATGGCTACTAATCATGGTGGCTGAATACTACTTCCAAGAGCATAAGCCAAAGGTTGCCAACCATCTTGGACCAGTGAGCACATTTAAAATTTTGAAAGAGTTCTGTGGGCTCCAGTCACAAAATAGCTGCTATGGGGAGAGGGTGTGCAGCATAACATCACATGGCTGCCGTGGAGAGTGTGGCACAACACACAATTTAGAGAGACAGGCACAGTGGACGACTTTGCTTTACCATGCAACCTCAGCTGTATCCTGCTGGCCCTGGTTTTAACATATACACACTATGCAGAGATGTTGCTGTCAATGTGTCTATTTTATTGTTATGCCGTCTGTTATGCTTTCTATTATGTTTTTAATGTTTTACACTGCCCTGGGAACTTTGATAAAGGGCGTATATAAATTGAATTAACTTCAACAACACCAACACCATTTAATAATAATAATAATAATAAATTTATTATTTATACCCCGCCCATCTGGCTGAGTTTCCCCAGCCACTCTGGGCGGTTCCCAATCAAGTGTTAAAAACAGTACAGCGTTAAATATTAAAAACTTCCCTGAACAGGGCTGCCTTCAGATGTCTTTTAAAGATAGGATAGCTGCTTATTTCCTTCACATCTGAAGGGAGGGTGTTCCACAGGGTGGGCGCCACTACCGAGAAGGCCCTCTGTCTGGTTCCCTGTAACCTCACTTCTCGCAATGAGGGAACCGCCAGAAGGCCCTCGGCGCTGGATCTCAGTGTCCGGGCTGAACGATGGGGGTGGAAACGCTCCTTAAAACAAATTACAATCTCAAGAATAAAGTGGGTGCTTAGATATTATTTTCCCAAAAATAATAAGCTAGCTAATATTTTACCACATCACAATTTTGGCCTTAAAAAACTGTTGGCATGCTGAGCAGCAGAGGGCCCTCATTCTTCCCTAGAGCTATCTATGACATGGACTCCATGCAATATTCATTTCAGCTCAAGATTGGCATGCAATTGTTGTAAACATAACTTTTTTAAAGAATAAGAGGCTACCAAATGTACATAGTAAAACTTATATTGGCAATAAACACAAGAATGCATGTCAGGAGATAGAAAGGCAGCTCTGGTGACCATGAGATGTTTACATGAGATGTTAACTCTTTCTTGTAACCCCCAATCTGTAAGGGATGCTGGTGTAGCAATAAAACTGCTAGCACATTTGCAAAGTTAAGCAGGGTCTAGTTTGGTTTCAAAATGGATGGGGGACTGAGCATTGAGGAGGTTGGACTAGATGATACCTGGTTCTCTTCCAACTCTATGATTTTATGATTAACCTTTTAATAACGTTTCAGAAAAATGTAATTGGTCAGTGTAAAGTTTAGCTATTCTGCAATTACAGAATTTGCATCCATCCATCCAGTCTATGGAACTGAGAGGATTTTGTATTTTTGTGCTGATGCAAACATTTGCACAAACTATATTGGCTACCATTCTATTTCTTACTTACAAGCATGGTATAAATCAAGGAGCATTCCGGGGGGTAGACTAGATGATTCTTGGGCACCTTCCAATTCTACAATTCTTTGATTCTATAAATAGAGGATTAGACTGGGGAAGAAAGCAATATGACATGATTATTCTTAAAACCCTCTTTTCAAAAGGTAAAAGAGAGTATTTTATTCCCACAGATTCCGAAAGCACAATAAAGGATCAAAAAGAGGAAAACTGTTATGGAACTTCAGAAGAACCCTGAGACATGTGAGTTGTGCAAGTCCCACTTTATAATATTTATGCGACCTCCTGTATGCATTCTGTATGTATTTTTTTTTTTTTTTTTAAGCAATTTATTGGGTTTTACAATAAAAATAAACATCATGAACAATATAACATTTGTCTTAACATAGTTTCACATTTTCTTTGGACTTCCTCACATCTCCCGCTCCCACTTTCATCGTTATAACATTTTATCAGCAATTTATCATCTTATTTAGATTCTTATATCCCTTCTATATTTCATAATCTTGTAATTCTCGAAAGGAGTTAAATTTTCACAATCTTATTTGTTTTCTTAAAAAAGTTCTAGATTAAGTGGTGCTCAGTTGTTTTAGTCTAGCATCTTATTTAACATTCACTCAAATTACAATGTTTTTGTAGATAATTCTTAAATTTCTTCCAATCCTCCTCTATCCTCTCTTCTCCCAGGTCACGAATTCTGCCGGTCATTTCAGCCAGTTCCATGTAGTCTATCAGTTGCATCTGCCATTCTTCCAGTGTGGGTAGATCTTGAGTTTTCCAGTATTTTGCGAGAAGTATCCTTGCTGCTGTTGTTGCATACATAAAAATGTCTGGTCCCTCTTTGCCACCCCTTGGCCGACAATACCCAAAAGGAAAGCCTCTGGTTTCTTAGTGAAGGTATATTTAAATACCTTTTTCAATTCATTATAAATCATTCCCAGAACGCCTTCACTTTAGGGCAAGTCCACCAGAGGTGGAAAACGTTCCTCACACTCTTTACATTTCCAACACTTATTATCAGACAGGTGGTAAATTTTTGCAAGTTTGACTGGGGTCATATACCATCTATAAATCATTTTCATTACATTCTCTTTCAGAGCGTTACATGCGGTAAATTTCAATCCATTACTCCACAACCTTTCCCAGTCCTCAAACATAATATTATACCCAATGTCCTGTGCCCACCTTATCATAGCCGATTTAACCGTTTCATCTTGTGTATTCCATTTTAACAGCAAGTTATACATCCTTGATAGTACCTTAATCTTTGGTTCTAACAATTCTGTTTCTAGTTTCGATTTCTCCACCTGGAACCCTAATTTCTTATCATTTTTAAAAACTTCTTTAATCTGAGCGTAATGTAACCAATCTCGCACTTTGTCTTTCATTTTCTCCAAACTCTGCAATTTCCAATTGTCTCCATCCTTTTCTAGTATTTCCCAATATTTTGGCCATTTAGCCTCCATATTGGGTCTTTTTCGGGCCTTAGCTTCTAGTGGTGAAAGCCACCTGGGTGTTTTATTTTCCAGCAAGTCTTTATATTTTGTCCAGACATTAAACAGTGATTTTCTGACAATATGGTTCTTAAAGGCCTTATTTGCTTTAACCTTGTCATACCATAAATATGCATGCCATCCAAAAGCATTATTAAACCCTTCCAAATCTAACACATCAGTGTCTTCAAGGAGTAGCCAATCTTTTAGCCAGCAGAACGCTGCGGCTTCATAATACAACTTTAAGTCTGGCAGGGCAAAGCCCTCTTTGTTTTGCATCAGTTAATATCTTAAACTTAATTCTGGGCTTTTTGCCCTGCCAGACAAACTTAGAAATGTCTCTCTGCCACTTCTGAAAGCACTCCGTTTTGTCCAGAACCTGAAGTGTTTGAAATAAAAACAACATCCTTGGCAATACATTCATCTTAATAGCAGCAATTCGGCCTAACAAAGAAAGTTTCAATTTTGACCAACTATCTAAGTCTCTCTTAATTTCTGTCCAACATTTTTCATAATTGTCCTTAAATAGACTTAGATTTTTTGCTGTTATATTTACCCCTAGGTATTTTACTTTTTTAACCACATTAAGTTCCGTCTCATTCTGAAACCGTTCTGACTCTGTATCTGTCAAATTTTTCCCCAAAACCTTGGTTTTCTGTTTATTTAATTTAAATCCAGCCACCCGACCAAAGTCATTAATCAGTTGTAATACTCTTTTCGTACTCTGGCTCTGGCTTCTGCAGGGTCAAAACCAGGTCATCTGAAAGTAATTTATGTTGACCACTTCCTTCCCCACTATAGTAATAGCACTTCGAACCAAATAACAAGGAATGGGCAGTCGTGTCCCATGAACTTCTACCAATATAACTATCAATTGCTTTCTGTTCTGATATATCCCTCAACCATTCAAACCGTCCCTCCATCTTGTTCCTCATAATTTCGTATTGTGGCCTCTCATTTTATATCTGGTTCAAATGTAATGTTTTTTAAGATGTACGCCTGGTCTTTTTATTTAAACTTTAAATCTACTGCTGTCTGAATTTTAACATTAAAAGGAGATACGTGTTCTTAAGTTGTGTTTTCAGCCATTATGTGATGTACCGGCCCAATTTCATTGTGACCTCATGTGTCATTATGTCTTTGGAGGTCACCCATCTGGCCCTGGATGAGCATGTTCTGGATTGTTCAACTAGTGTTATTTGGTCAGTTGTCCATTTTGTGATAGATAGTCCATTTTGCTGTTTTAGCATTCTGTATGTAATCCAGTATTGCATGTTTGGCTAGTAGCAGTTCTCCTGGGGCTCAGTATCTCACAAAACTGCTGGTGATGCCAAGGACTATGTGTGGGATCTTCTGTATGCAGAGCCCTGTGTAATGTCCATGTATATGCAGAAATGCATCTGCCCGCCCCTCTTCTTTCCAGTGTGATGGTGTTCACCAAAACACACAAGGAGCGTAATCAAATGTCCTGTCAGGTGCCTGTCTTTATGCTATGATTGACCCTTTGGAATACTGTAACATACTCTACATAGGGTTAAACTCAAAGAGCTGCCGCCAAGTTGCTGACTGGGGCTGATTGTAGGGAGCATACTATTTCCTTGCTACAACAGCTCCACTGGCTTCCAGTCTGTTTCTGGGCACAATTCAAAGTTTTGACCTATAAAATACTATACAGCTTAGGTCCAAGATATCTGAAAGACCATATTCCCTCATACGAACCTGTCTGGGTTTTGAGATCTTCAGGGGAGGTCTTTCTCTTCAGTCCCACCACTTTCACAGGCATGCTTGGTGGGGACACAGAACAGGGCCTTCTTGGTGGCTGCCCCTGACTTTGGAACTGCCCCCTTCCCCAAGAAGCTAGACTGGCTCCCTCCTTGTTGTCCTTTGGTTGGCAGGTGAAGACCTTCTTCTTCTACCAGGTTTTGGAAATGGACTTTTAACAAAAGGGCTGGTGCTATGCTGTTTTTATTATAATTATTTGTATGTTTAAACAGATTTTATATGTATATAGTTTTAATTATATCAGTGTTTAGTTTTTTAAATTATTTTTTTCTATATTTTTAGCATTATTTTTTTAAAAAACTGTCAGCTGCCTTCAGTCTTGTCAGGAAAAAAGGCAGGGTATAAGTAAATATAATAATAGTGGTAGTCCTAATATAGCCAGGATTATCTGCATAGGGAAACTTCCATGTGAGGATTCTCATATGTGTAGGGATTATGTGTAGAAGAAAAATCTGCACACCATCAGACTGACTGCTAAGAAGCATTGTGTGGGTGTCACTGCCAGCACTGCCAATAACGTTGTGAGGTGCATATTTCTGTGTCACAACTGGTCATGCTGTTAAAACTTGAGCACGTGGCTACATAACACTGCAGTGTTATCCGGGGCAGAGTGGTACCAAGATGATGCTATCAGGCATTGCATTAGCCTCCAGGAAGGCCACTGGGGTGTTGTTTTCTGGAAAGACCACCAATGGCCCCACTTTCCATCTCATTAACACAGTCTCCAGAAGCCATGCAAGGTTATTGCTGAGTCATGTAGAAGCAAACACTTTTCAACAGGAGATGAGCACTGGCAACTTCATGGTATTGCTTCATGCCATACTGACAGCGAGTATCGTAGCTTGTTGGATTAGACAATTTGTTAGTCATATTCAGCATAGTGTCAAAATACAAACACGATTAACTTACAGATGAGGTATTTAGTGGCAATATAGGTAGGGGTGTCTCCTCTTCACACCCTCCAACTTTCTGAAGCAAGTAAAGCTGAACTGTGCAATTTAATGTATTTATTTATTGGGGACATTTCTAATCTGCTCTTCAGTGAAATATCTCAGAGTGGCAAATGTAGATTAAAAATTAACAATAACATAATAATATAAAAACAAGGAGAAAGATTTGGTGAAACTAGACAGCTCATTAAAGCACAACGTATGGTCTGGGTGGTAACAAGGTCTCCACATGGGACCAGAGTTGAAATGCCACAACTCAGATCCCCACCCCCATAAATCTGAAGAGGGGCATTTGAGGTGGATCTCAATTGGGACGAGGCAGTTCTTAAGTGAGCCTGGTCCCAGGCCATTTAGAATTTTCAACTTTAAAAGCAGCAGCTTGACTTGGTCTCAGAATGAAGCCAGTGCAGCTGTTTCAAAACTGGCGAGAGATGCATTCCATCCGTTTGGCCCCACTGAGTAATCTTAACTGCTATATTCTATGCTAACTGCAGCTTTTGCACTCTCTTCAAGGGCAGTCCCATGTAAAATGGGTTGCAGTAATTTGAGATGTACCAGAGCATGAATGATTGTGGCCAGGCTATTCCAGCTGAAGAGAAGGTGCACCAGCATTAGCTGAAAGGAACCTCTCCATGCCACTTGAGCTACTTGAAAAAGGACCAGAGCTATAAGCATCTGCAAAAGATAAACCTGGTCCTTCAGGGAGAGTGCAAACACCACCTGCGGGCACAGTAGCCCCTCTGTCTTATCAGGATAAAGACTATTTGCAAAACTAAGTCCTGCTTAGCTGTCTCTCCAAAACTGAACACTTTCAAGCCTATATCCACATTTATTGAGACTAGACAAATGTCTTAAAAAACAAAATTGAGTTTCAGAATGATTTCTGTGACCAGTATCAAAATCAATATTTTCTTCTTACACAGAAGTGCAGAAAACATAGTTCACTTTGCAAAAATTATGTATGTTTTGCAGAATTCAGCTTTTATTTGCACAGCATTTGAAAAACCATGGCAGTAATTTTGCTTGTTTAAAACACCAATGAAAAAGGATGAAGTACACAGAAAGTGCATGGTAGTACCTAGGTAGCAATTATCAGGTGTGTCTCTGAAATGGCGGACTAGCACTGTGCAAAAAACATGGCTGCTAATCATAGCAAATGAATCAGCCAGCCCATTTCCCAGAGAAACAAGGTAAAGAGATTGCCACAGGCAACGGTTTGCTTTGGGCAGAAAGTAGTAGGCATATCTCTCAGCTGATCCAAATTCTTGCAAAACATCACTTACTTACAGAGAATCTCCCCCGTCAAGGTTGGAAAGCTTATCTGTAGACAAAATATTTATAGCTGTTAGTTTAGTTCTAATAATCTGTTCATTAGAACATATTAGGAGGGGGGGAAAAAACCTCCTTTATATAGATTACAGATTATGCATGATTCATCATAGTTATTTCTGGCAGCACTTCTTGGCACACAAACATTTCTTTGAAGGCAGAATTTACCATCAAGCTGCTTTATGGGTTCTTTTGAGAGGCAGAATAGATTGCTCTGTAGTACAGAGCAGGAAATATAAAACAGCCTCCCACCTGCTAATGATCATCAGCCTACTTTGGAAAGCGTAAGAGCTACGAGTTTTCTAGCTGTCAGTTACACATTGCCTTCCTACGCAGACTGTTAAAATTGAGAAGCTAGGTTATTTCGTGTTAAACTAAACAGTGCCTTAGGTTCTTCATTACTTAGCTAAATCAAATTGGTGTTTTGACCCTTTTTGTTATTTTAGCTGTTTGGGAAGGAATAAAATTGCAGATACATACCACATGGACAAAAAGCAACAGTATTTTGTTATATAACTACATGGTTGTTGTTGTTTTTTAAGGTGATGGCCCTTTTCCAACAGTGAATGGTAACAATTATTAATTATGATTAATCTGTAGATAAAGAACTTGAGGATTGGGTAAATTCAGCTGAAGCTAATGTTTTCATAGCACAGCTAATTTAAGAAACAAGCAATTGTTTTAATTTTGGTTGGTGTGATTGGTTGATTCATACTAAGTAGTTCCTGACTTACTTAAGGCAATAAATTCCCTCTGAGTAGGGCTACAAATTCACCCAAACATTGGTGGTGTCTGCTGTTGTTTTTGTTTCTTAAACAGTAATGCTCTTAAAGTGACTCGGTGCTGAAAAAAGCAACAGCCAGAAACATTTAAAACAAACCATTTATTTAAATCAAACTGTTATTTCTAACAGTTACATAAGTTACATAGAATGGCTAAGTCAGAAGATTTCACAAGGTGGGGGAGGAGGGTCAAACTCTCAAGCAGGCAAAATAGTATCACACAATAGGTACCAGTAAAGAAAATCTTAAAACATTCAAATAAGGCCATAATTTTTAATTAAAAACAACATTAAAACCCCCAAAGATCATTATTTGTTTTTCTTTCAGTGTGTCCAGTGCTGCTAGAACTACATGTACCTTGTAATGTACAGATTTAATCAAGGCAGTAATAACTAGGGTGCAAACCCCCAAGTTCGTCTCCTGCTCAAATCCCTATGAAGTACCTGGGAATTGCAGCACTTGATGGATTACACCCTTCTCTGTTTTTAAACTGTTAACAGTGTAGTAATGCTCATTACTACGTACAACTCTCCTGGAAGCTTCTGCCTTCATAACTTAAAATTCACAAAGTGCACAGTTAAAGATATGCCAGAAAATTTAAATCTGCTACTCTACCAACAGCTGCCCATGCTTAATACTTAGTGGTCTACTGGAACAAAATTACACTCTTTTAAAAGAGCTGTATCACTGTAAAACATTTAGTTTCAAAGATGTGCCAACATTTTGTGAACTGAAAAGTAGAAAAACATGGATTATATAAAGAAAATACAAAAACACTAGAAATGACCAAACAGTTTTAAAGAACAAGCACCACAATGGACATCAGCATTCAGTTTAGTAGCATATATCCATTCTACTCCAACCAGTCAACTTCATCAAACTCTGAGTCATCTTCTGAATCACTGTATTCCACAGCAATGCGACGAGACAAGATGGTGGCAACATCATTCTCAACACGCTCGTGTTTAGCTTCTTGTTCACGTTGCTCTTCAACTTTTCGTAACTGAATACCTAAAAGTACATGGGGGGAATTAATAGTACTGTGTACCAAATATTTATCAGACATGCTAATATGAACTTGCTTTGTTCAAAGCATTGCCAAAGCAATGTTTTAGACAGCTTTTTATAGTTCATGCATTTGCGGTTTCCCCAGTATCTTGCAAATCTCCACAAAAAACTAGTTTGTATATGGCTATAGGTTTATACAGGGAGGGGATTTCATGTAACATAGAGAAAATTGTTTTGATTCTTCTCCTAAGGACATAAGTGTATGGAAATATATCATAAGGCATAAAAATGCCATTATCACACAGTGAGACTCCAGTTTCTCCTCATGAACATAAGCTATTTCTACTTTTTTTTTAAAAAAAAAGTACCAAAGGTTGAAGTTATAATTGGCTACTAATGCAGATGTCTTTTTGAGAGGCATATATTCTTTTCAATCATGCTTTTACTGTAAAAAGCAACAACAAACTTCTGTTGTAGCTTGTATTAAATATTCAATGGTCCTTTAGTGACAATGAAGTTTTTTTCTGGTAGCTTTAGAAATCAGCTCAAATAGAAGGCTGATGGATGCTAATCCTACCAGTAAGTATTAGCAGCAATAAATATTATATACCCTTTTCTTCTTCTTCATTGTCCTTTTTAGGGTTCTAAACTCATCAACAACAGTTGCCCATTTGAAAAAATTCCAACTTCCCCTTACTGTTGATTAAAAAATAAATTCTGCCTGCATAGTTAGTTGCACGTGGAGAGAGTCACACATGAAGAGTAAACTGCAGCAAAGTCTAGTAGAAATGGGATAATGGCTTCTTTTATTATTTCAGAGTAATTTAACAGCAAAGGGAAATGTCAACAACTCCCTCAATAAATATTCCGAGGTTTGCTGCTAAATTGCTATAAAAATTTTAGCCTCTGATATGGTGACTAAGACTCCCAGGAGATAAAACTAGTCTCTCTCAAATTATGCTGGAGAACAACGTCTAAGAGCACATGCTCTCCAAATGTTAAGCAAGCCTGACCTTCCAATGTTGGGATATGCAGTATATACACAAAGCAGAATACCACTTGGTGATTGTCTTATATGCTCACCCCCTTTCTGCTTTGCTTTATTTAAGTTGACAAAATACACAGCTTTTCTGAAACCATTCTCAAGCTACTAATTATCTAAAGTTGACAATGTAAAAAGACCGACGTCATGAAAATTATCATAGTTTCTAGGTGGCAGAAGGATGTAACATGACCAGCACAATATCTATCTGTATTTGATTGGTTAAACAATTTGCAATTAATAGAAGGAAAACCTGGTTTTTCTATTTATTACATAAATTGTGGGTTTTTAAAGTCATTCTGGCTCAATTTAAAGAAACATTATTTAAATAATGCTATAACCTCATGGTCATAAAACTGTAGGCCAATTGTTCTGTCATGTGAACACTTCTTCAGCTAACATGACGCCACTTTTACATTCTTATGTTAAGGAGCCCATCTCGTCCAACACCCTGTTCTCAAAGTGGCCAACCAGAAGCTGGTGGGAAATCCGCAAGCAGGATTTGAGCACAAGAGCATTCTCCCCTCCTGTGGTTTTCCCTTCCTGTGGCCTTATCACCTCCAACTGTGAAGGCAAAACATAGGCATCATGGCTATGTTATGTCTAATCCTCTTTAGTTCCACAGTTAACTATGTGCTGCATGAAGAACTTTGTTTTATCTGTCCTCAATCTTCCAACATTCAGCTTCACTGGGTGTCCATGAATTCTAGTGTTGTGTCAGAGGGATAAAAACTTTTCTCTATTTATTTTCCCCAGGCCATGCATAATTTTATAAACTTCTAACATGTCACCTTTACACTTTAGCCAAGGATATGTAAAGTGCATATGAGAAAAGAATCTATATATGGTAATCTGCCTATTTTGCAGAACCAATGAAGTGTTTAAAATATCCTCAACAGAAATAACTTAATTGAAAACATTAAATCTGCTAAGAGAGTATTTGATTCATTAAACGAATAACGCTGCTAACCAATGAACAGAAGAGATACCTTTTCGTATTGCTTCCAGAAGGACACTTCTGGCATCGCTGATGACAGGTAGTGTTGATGGGTGACGCTTGGGTTCAGGAGCAGGAGTGACTTGTGAAGGTGGTGATGGAGGCATTATTGGAACGTGAGCCCCAGGGGCAACAGATGTGGGAGTGTGGGAGAGTGCTGTAACAGGTGATGAGGGTCGGATGCCAGGAGGTGGCAATGGAGGAGGAGGAGGAGGTGGAGGAAGTCCTTGCATTTCGCCCTGTGGAACTGGAATGGCTTCACAGACTTGGGCCGCTCTGGTGACGGGAGGAGAGGGTTGTGCCAAAGGAGGTGCAATTGGAGGAGGAGCAGGGTGAAGCACTCCAGGAGCAATCTGGAGAGGAGCTGGGGGCGGAGGCACAGCTGGAGCTTGCAAAACAGCTGTTGGAGGGGGTGGAGGCGGCGGCACTGGAGGTGGTGGAGTGGAAGTCATTGCAGATCTTAATGAAGAAGTTGACAAGGCGGATGGAAGGGGTGGTGGAGGTGGAGGAGGAGTAGGACTCACAAACACTGGTGTTCTGCCAGTAGCAGGTGACTGAGGACGATTTTCAGTCAAACCTGTGGTAGAGCTGAAATGGAAAACACTCCAAGTGATTACTATAAGAGTGAAAGCTGTCCACAGGGCATTTACATTTAACTTTCAATTAAACTCCAGTAATACGGCTATTGCAGATATATTTTTGCACAAGCATGCTAAAGGGCACCATAGTTTAGTCATTTACTACAAGCTTTTACTACTCAAACAATGTAACAACAACACTGCGTTATTTACGCTTTCACTTTTTGAGAATGTTCCATAAATTCAAATTCTGTCATATGGCCAGTGCTAGACTGAAACCAACTTGAAATACCCTTAAAACAGGGGTGAGGGATCTGTGGCCCTCTTTATGGTATTAGACTGCAATTCCATTTATTCCTGACCATTGGCCAAGGTGGTTGCAGCTGGTGAGAGTTGGGAGTCCCAACAACATCTGGAGTGCTTTGGTTTCCCCACACCTGCTTTTAAAGCATAGCATGAAAGCACTATAGAACTGGGAACTAGTATTAAACTGATCTCTAAACATGTTAACAAATTTACAACTACATTTTGGAATGTGTTCGTTTCTTGAAGCCTATGTCTCAAGCCAGGTCCCCACATGGCTAATACTGTGTGAGGTGAAGCAGGGTATTTTCCTTACCTTATTTTCAAAAATCACTGCCTGTGTCCTGCACTGGAAAACACTCTAAAACTCATATAAAGTTGTGTTTGAAGTTTGTTTTTTAGACTTATGCTTTAGAGTGTTTTGTACTGAACGAGATAGAAGTACTTTAAAAGACACTTCGAAAAACTGATTTTTGGTTTTTTTAAAATGTACCGGTAGGTTTTCTTTCAGTAATAATATAACAAAACTGAAATCTCAATGTTAAGTTCTGTATTTATTATAGTACAGTATATCAAAGTATTTGGCAAACAAGCATTCCATGCCTTTTAGTTCCTTGATAGGTTGATTTGCCTATAGCCAAGACCTGTGGTGTCAATCTTTCCCCCACTTTGTCAGTTTAATGAAAAGGTGTCCTGAATTAGTATTTTAAGTGTTTCATACCTGACACAGGGTGGAATGGGTTTCACATCTCCTGCTCCATGCATTGGTGGAGGTGGGGGTGGCTCATGTGGCCTGACTAAGACACGTTCCTCTGCTCTGCTCAGCAATTCAGTCATCTGGCTGTATGGCAATGCAGAAAGAGAATAGGGTCCATCCATGTGTTCCACATATGCCTGAGGTCTGAAAAGAAATAAATCCACTTACAAATTGTATATGCTAATTTTGCATCCTATCTACAGCCCTATTGGTTTCAAGAACCACAAAAGAATGAAGACAGTCCTTCTGGCAGTTTGTATGGGGTTAAGACCAAAGACAGAAACAGTACAAAATGATCAGTAGAACATGACAAACTAGGTTACACAAAGTAGCTCTGCAAGTATAAACGAAGCACTTCGCAAGCATTTAGCAAATATTTTTTGCTTACATTACTCTAACAATTTTTGTATGTTAATAAGAGTATACAAATAACAGTAAATAATGTAAATGGTAGGTTGAGTTCTTCTAATCGCAAAGTAGAAAATAAAGGGGATTTCTGGCTCTCTGAAACAGAGGCAAAAGAAGGACAAAAGCTTAGACCAGGCATGTCCAAAGTCTGTTTCGGGGGCCTAATCCTGCCCCTGTGGCAGTTTATTTCCTGGGGTAAGTCCTAAAAAAGCCTGAACAACTTCAATCCTTAAAAAAGGTCAGCAACTTTGGTTGGCCCCCACGGCCCTTCACCTCATCAAATCTGGCCCTCTTTGAAAAAAGTTTGGACACCACTGGCTTAGACACTGAAGGAGGAACAGCTGAACAATGAAGGAGGGATCACAGCAGCAGTAGGAGTGTAGAGGACAGAGTGGCAACCGCTGGTAGTTGGGAGGTTGCCTGAAGAACCAGCATAAAAACTGCATGTGTACATCCAAATATATAAATGGGTATAGTAGGAATGTGTTGTCATAATAGGCCTCAGGTGATTATGCGGCTCAAAAATCCGTGCAGACAAATGAAAAAAAGCTGCTAGGTCAGGAGAGAAATATAATTTGATGTGATGGATAGCACCAACTCATGAGCATTTTGTCTACGATATCGAAAGTTTAAACAATGGCCTCAAGTTTTCTAAATTCTATGAAAAAATATTTTACAAACTGGCCAATCTTTATGTTTTTATAACTAATATACAAAATAATTAGCTACTAAAAGTAAGAAGTAAAAAAGAAAACCTCGTCTCAAAATGTGACGCAGGGCCATTAGCAATTTCAATGTGCTTATGTAAGAGACTGGCGTCATCTTCAGCAAGCTCTGGACCCAGGGCTAACTTCTGCCACTCTCTGCGCCTGTCATGAGGAGCCCGCGGCACTTTTTCTGGTTCATGAGGACGATCTAGATTCTTCTGCTACAAAATAGCACAAAAAATAAATTGACAACTGTTCTTCCTGGCAAACTATAATACAATCTGTTATAACACCAACAAAATTACTTAATTATAGGACAAATACAAAATTCAAAATAGATCAGTAAGGCTTATCACTACAACTGATTCAAACATTTATTTGTACATATAGAACCATTTTTAATTGCTTCAGCTATTAATGCAAAGGTTTATTATGCTTTGTAAATCATGTTAATTGAGAAACACTGAAGAAAGTGTTTGAATGGAGGCTATAAGGAGTAGAAACATGCATTTCATATATATAAGCACTCAGTCCCCTTTATCTGGCATTATATAAGATGATGTGGAAGAGAATGTATTACCTGAGCGTTTTTTCTTAAAAAGAATTAATATACTTCAAAAACAGAAAGAAAGTAAGAAAGAGAGAGAGAGAGAGAAAGAAAGAAAATTAAACCCAAACACATATACAAATCTTTTTTGTGGGTTTTTTCTACAATCCAGTGACACATAAATTTTATGAAACAAACAAACAAACAAACAAAAAATAAAATCCCTGGAAAAAGTAATTATTGGCGCAGTGACATCTTTTAAAATATTTGCTTTATTTATAAATACCAGGATATTGTCCTCAGTCTCATGAAATGCTCACTTAAAGCTGAAAAGTTACTAAGAACGCAGTAGCATATTTCACAGGAGTTTGAACTTTGTTATCATTAATATATAAAATAAAAATTTGCCACATAGCTGAAAGCGAATTCTTGTTTGTCCTCTAGTATACCTTAATTTATGAGTTAATTTTTCAGCAATAGCAATGGACCAGATTTGACGATACCATATTAAATCTTGATTTAATCCTTCTAAATATTTCTATTTTCCATCTTGGCAGCTAACACGAGAATGGGGAACAACCTCTGCCTGACACTAGGGAAACTGCTTCCAGACTGGGTTGAGATTACTAGGCTATATCTCAGCAGCATCTTTTCTTTTCTTTTGTAAAGTAGCAGCATCTTTTCTCTTCCTGTGTTTAGATGGTCTTTGATAATTTCTCCCATTCAGAAGGCTTTTATGGATGCTTTTTGTTTGTGTTATTCTGCCTCCTAGATTTTTATGACAGCATGTTTGATTTTAATGATTGTTTTATTGTGGTTTGTCTTGCTTTGTTGGTTGCTTTAGTCAATTTTAGTTAAAAAAATGAGAAGCAAATGATTAGAATAAAACCAATAAAATATAGCGCAAATCTGAAGAATTTGTTCTATTCATGTGATGTTAAATTTTCTTAATAGCAGGGCATCCTTCAGGACCACGTAACGTAACTCATTTCCTAGGAGGATAATACCTTTTGCTTTCTTTTCTCCTTTCTTTTGTCTTCTGTGTCTTGTAACATCTTTTCTTTCCATAGATCAAAGAAATAGGAAGGATTGGTGTAAAACTTCAAACCCTCTTTTCCATCATCTCTAAAGGAAAAATAAGATTATTAGATAAAACATGTTACTAAATAAATATAAAATATGGTATGCACAGCATGTAACAACAAAAGGGAGACTGCTGAACCCCCACCTCCCAATTAAGGAAAGAAAATCCTTACAATTAGGAGGGTATGAGGTTAATATAATTTTCATTATATAAAGTGAACAATAAGAGAAAATGATTGTTTGTTCTTAGGGGGACGGCACAAACAAATAGTATATGGAAGAGAAAAGAAAAGACATAGAGAGGTAGAACGTGTATGTACACAAATTCAAGCTGAGAGTGGATCTTGGGAAGGAAGGGAGATAAGGAAGCTACCATGGGGTGGGGGAGAGAAGACCAGGTCCCACCAGGCTTTTTCAGCTGGACTCTGAAGCCTCCTCTTCATTGCTTTAATGAAGAAAGAGCAGTCACCACCCATCCATCTGGGAGAAGGGTAAAGAGGCCCTCCCTCTAACTACAACCAACCGGGCATCTCGATTACCCCACTGCATCCAATCAGCTGGCTGCATTACCCAATGCATTCTTATGGCCTTTGAACAGCTGGGCTCTGTCAGTGCTGCAGCAGGACTAGTTTGCCCATCCAATGCATTTGGTTGGGGTCCTGGAAGGGAGAGTAGCCAATGGGTCTCTGGGTCCCTCTGGGCTGCAAGTCAGTGCCCCACCTGAGGGCCCCAGCACTGGGCTTGAAAATGTACTCTGCATAGAAGTAATAGAATGGTTCAGTTGGAAGGGACCCTGGGGGTCATCTTATCCAAGCTCCTACCATTCAGGAATCTCATCATGCAGTCCCTCATCCAATTTGAAGCTGTACCAGACCCTCTTTAAAGTAAAGGGTAAAGGGACCCCTGACCATTAGGTCCAGTCGTAACCGACTCTGGGGTTGCGGCGCTCATCTCGCTTTATTGGCCAAGGGAGCCGGCGTACAGCTTCCGGGTCATGTGGCCAGCATGACTGAGCTGCTTCTGGCAAACCAGAGCAGTGCACGGAAACGCTGTTTACCTTCCCGCCGGAGCAGTACCTATTTATCTACCTGCACTTTGCCATGCTTTCAAACTGCTAGGTTGGCAGGAGCAGGGACCGAGCAACGGGAGCTCACCCCATCGTGGGGATTCAAACCACCGACCTTCTGATCAGCAAGTCCTAGGCTCTGTGGTTTAACCCACAGCACCACCCACGTCCCTCTTTAGCTTTGCAAATATGCTAGCAGTTTTACTGCATTTTAAATCAAACGTTACAGGCCGTAGCCCTGGTAACAGGTTCCTGTGCAGTACTGTATCACAAACAAAACCCTCAACAACATCACTTTTTCTCTACAATGTGGGCTGAGTATTTGTAGGGCTGTGGACAAGATTAAAGTATGAGGCTAGAAGACTATACCCATCATACCTGATATTTACATGAATGCTAGGAATTTGGTTGAGCCACTAGTACAATTTCACAGTGAAGAAGACAACAGTTATGCATTCTCAGGGACTGTGTCATCACAGTTAATGGAACATGCAAAAAGTAATCTTAGAATGATTAGCCCTAGTAAAAAAAACTGCCCTAGTAAAAATAAGAATCGAGCTACACAAATCTCCAGTTCCCAAATTAAACTCATTCGCTTGATTAGAGGGTTCTTATCACTAGTAAAGTTTAAGAAATTAAAATGCATTCTGTGCATTTTTTAACATTGACCTGTAAGGGGTAAGTATGTTGAGTGGAGGAGGCTGTTCACATGTGTCATAAGTCTCTTGTAAAGGAATGGGCAGACTCTTGCGGTCAAAAAGCTGCTGATCTTGAGTTGTGGAACTTCGGAAAGCTTTTCTCATTGTTATATCTTGCAGTGAAACTGGAAAAAAAATCAACATTTAGATAGTGAGATATAAATGTTGCATTAGGAGGCAAAAGTTGTATTGGACAATTGTAGCTCATAAGACACAAGTAGATTGTAGAAATTATTGTTGCTGAAAAAGAAAAAGAAAGTTACAAAAAGAAATCATGATCACGTACAATGAAGATTCCATGCAATTCTGTACAGGCAACTCCCCATTTATGTGTGTTCAATATGTGCATGATTGCACATACATGCATTGACCCAAACCTGGTAGTGACCCAAAAACGATATGAAAAGGGGCAGAATGGGATTAGCACAGAACGGTTTTTTGGCAGGCTTTTTCAATGGTATTTCAAATGTACACAATTTAACTGACGCATGCAGTGAATCAGAACATAACCCCCACGTAAATGGGGGGTTGCCTGTATTTAAATATATATGCATAATTTGGAGTAGCAAAGCAGTGAGCATTACTCCCATATTACTAGTCATGTCTTTAAAGGCAATTTGAACAGAACTGAGGACATCCTTTGAAGGTACTTTTCTGCAGTGTCTTGTGGAACACCATGATCTTCATAGCACAGGATGAGTAGATGGTAGGGCTAAAAAAAAACTGGTGCCTGATAACAACACACTAACACTGAATCTATAGATTTAGAGACTCCTACTGACAACATCAGGATGTTTTTTTAAAAAATGGGCTGACAAAAGCCTATGTCTGAAAAAAAAGTTAAAATGACTGTTTAGATTTTATATGAGCAGTCTAAGCACTTCAATCATGCAAAATATTCCTTGTCTGGCTATGTCTATCTTTAGGATGACTGACTATGATTATATATCAACAGGTCTTGCTTACTGTTTAATTTTTATCCCTTCCAATTCCTTTGGGCAGATAACAATACTATGGACATCAAAATAACACTCTGCACTTTCAGCAAATTGGCTCTACAGCTAAAGCTAAGTAATCTGTCTGGAAACACCTTTACAGGAATTAGCTTCTCAGCTTTTACAATAAGAAAATTGCCTTCTAGACTTCATCTACTTACTATGCTGGTTTTAGAACTATGCTGCATTTTAGAGAAGGCTCTTCAGTACAGTGGTACCTCTTATTTTGTTCTGGAGGTCCGATCTTAAGCCGAAACTGTTCTTAACATGAGGCGTGCTTTCGCTAATGGGGCCTCCTGCTGCCACCACCAGCTTACAAGTTACACTCATATCCAGGGGCAGAGTTCACAACTAGGGACATCTACTTCCGGGTTAGCGGAGCTTGTTACCCGAAGCATTCATAAGGAGGACAGTATGTAACCCGAGGTTCCACTGTATTTTCTTTCAGCCTGGCCTCCATTGTTCCATTTGCATCCTCCTTGACATATTAAAAGTAAAGGGACCCCTGACCATTAGGTCCAGTCGTGACCGACTCTGGGGTTGCGGCACTCATCTCGCTTTACTGGCTGAGGGAGCCGGCATACAGCTTCCGGGTCATGTGGCCAGCATGACTAAGCCGCTTTACCTTCCCGCTGGAGCAGTACCTATTTATCTACTTGCACTTTGATGTGCTTTCGAACTGCTAGGTTGGCAGGAGCAGGGACCGAGCAACGGGAGCTCACCCAGTCGCGGGGATTCGAACCGCCGACCTTCTGATCGGCAAGTCCTAGGCTCTATGGTTTAACCCACAGCGCCACCAGCTATTGCTAAATTATAGCCTTCTGTACCAACTTTACTAAGAAGTTGTTATCTTGTAGCTTTTAAAACTGTTTTTCCCCTAGTTCCCTTTCTATCACTTCATTCATGTCATTTCTCCAGCTTTCCATTACAAGATACATCTTCAGGCTTGGTTCAAAGGATCATGTGAATTCTGGTGAGCCTTAGACTCATGTACTGCCCCCTCTTTGCATGTTACACCTGAATTCTATACCTTAACAGATTCTCTGTTTACATTTTTCTTTGGCAGCTTATAATCTCATTAAGGTGATTTAGGCCTCTGGCAGGTTTTAACTGAGTGCCAGTTGCCTTCTGACACGAACAGGCAAGACTACAAGCTAAGAGGGTTCTGTGGATCTATGCTAACAGAAGTCTTGCACTACAGGTTCATAAATTGGTAATTGTTTTGGCTAATTTTATTCCACTTTCATTTACTTTACACAGAACTAATTTTATAATCCAATATTCCTCTAGCAATCCTTAAAACTTTGAATCAAATTGACAAATAACCCCAATAATAAATCAAGATTTCCATATTGATTTTACATCCTATTTACTAAGCAATGATTTTTACAACTGTCTGTCCCATTTTTAAACTGACTTCATACTCTGGTTCCCGTTTTTATCATGTTTACTTAGGCTTCATCGCTCTTGAGATTATTTACTTGTACATAACATCTGTTATAAAACTGCACATAATTCTACATACAAAAATGTTGAAATACACAGACATAATTTTGATCAAATATTTAGCCAAATATGAAAACTGTCAGACATTTGACAAATAAATATTCTATATATTTTAATCAATCTTTTGGCAGACATAGTTTTGTTATTCAGCTTCCTCTTCTCATCAATATTATAGTCCTACATTGTTATACCTCTACCTATAATAAGCACATCATAATAGCATCTCTTTCTTTACTTTAATTTATTTGCACAAACTTACATGGAAGTACTATTTTAATTCATCATTTAAATCAATTCAATCCAAACTAAGTGAAATTCAATCCATAGCAATTTGAAAATTATTTCCCCCCCCCGCCCACCTGCCTAAGTAAATGCTGTCTAGTGGAGTAAAAGGAATAAAAAGTATTTGCATAGGAGGCAGGAAATAATACTATGAATCATGAATTTTCAGTTTCTACTTGACTGTGAAAGATGTTGACAGAGAAGAGCACAAGTCTCTGAAAGAAAAATAGATGAATACAAAAAGTCACTCTTTTATTGGAATACACAATTCAACCAATTCCAATGATATATTAATCCAGTGGCAACCCAACCATTACTTTGGTGCGGATTGAATAATGTGGATTTGATTGGTGGTAGATTTGGAGTTCCACTTCAGATAATTTATTTATGGAATTCTGGCTTTTGCTGCTGCTTTTTTTGTTTTCACTTTTTGGGAAGAAGGGTCTGCGGCATGGCTACCATCACACTTTTGGGGTTACCCTGGGCACATGTGACTTCCACAAGGCAGTTCCGGTTTTGCAGACACATCTGCACCCCTGGGGGCTTAAAAATGCTGGATGCCATTTTTTGAGCCCCAGTCTGAAGCACTGATAGCTATGCTGAGCTCCCTACTTGCTCTCACTTTGCCCATGTTCTCTGGAAGGGGAAGCTGGTCGTGCTTTTGAGAGTTGGTCATGCTTTTGAATTCAACTGATGTACCTGAAGACTCGAGAAGAACATGCTTATGGCAGCACTCCTTCTGATAAGCCTATCACTTGAGGAGGGTAAACAGGGAAGGAGTCAGAACTTGTGGCTGGTTTTAGAAGTGGTTAATCAATTGATGAAATTACCAATTAATACAGTTTTGCAGTCCATGTTGAAGTAATTTGAATTTGGGAGTGGGTAATCACAACACACAATTCATTCACAAAATTCACTGGATGCATTTGATTTAAATGGAGTAGTCAATTACACAATTAATTATTGGAGTTCAGAGATCAATGTGAGCTTGATATCAATTAGTAAGAGAAGTGATCCAGCCCAGTATTTAACCTTGAGTACTGTAGTTAAAATGGATATAGGACAGAGGAATAAGACCAGAAGAGTAGGGAAAAGAAGTCTAATCATCAAGTGCGGCAGAAAACAAACTGCCCTCCAAGGAAAGGGAGATACTAGCATCTGGTCAAAGGATGGTGTTTTCTGCTTCTTCAAGCGAGTGTAAAAATAACAACACCCATTTGGTAGTATCCTAATGCCTACTTAAAAACAATCTCTACTAATAAAAGTAGTGAACCGAACATTCCAGTGATTGCAGCCATTTGTGGAAACAAGAAAGAAGCTGGGGGTGGACACAGTATTTTGATATACCGCTGCCCATGGAAGCCCAACACAGGCCAAGGTTGGACAATTTTTGCAGGGCTGAGGGCCACATTCCCTTTGGGAAAAGTGGTCAAGGACTACAAATCGGTGATGGCAAGCAGGACCAAAGCAAAAAGTGGTGGAACACTCCTCCCTCTCTCACTCATTCATTCAGTATCCATTCTTTTTCTCCCTCTCCTTCATCCATCATCTATTCTTCCACTCACTCTCTCTTTCACACATATGTGACCACATCTTTTTTAGTCCTCATCCATCCGTTATCCATTCTCTCTCTTTTTAGTCCTGGGGTGCACCAAAGGAGGTGCAGAGGGGTTGCATTAGGCCCCTGCGATTACCTTCTGTGATCTAGGCCCATGCTGCTAGTGCAAACTGCATCTCTCATGTTACCATGCATTACTTAATAATAGTAATACAAATACAAATACAAGCACTAATAATGACTTCCGGGTCAGCGCCATCGGTGAATGGCGGAGTTCCTCCGTCTGGAGGAACGGGCTCCGTGGAAACTGGGTCTTCCCGCCGCAGGGAAGGTGGGGACCCGCTGGAAATCCCAGACGGAGGAAGCCTGGGAACGTGGGGTTCGGCAGGGCACCAGGAGCGCCCCCCTACTCGCAGGGAATCCCATTTAGGGGCTCCGGAGTGAAGTGGGGTGAGAAGCGCGGTGCTGCGAACTGACTGCTACTTTCACGGAGTGAAGCCGCACAGCCATTGCCGGAGAGCGCTGACTTTTTCCTGTGGACAATTGGATTTAAAACAAGTACCCGTGAGTAGAAACGGAAAATTGGATCAAGAAATTTCTTAATTTGGTAACGAAGCGGGAAGGTTCAAAACAGGAAGTCTGCCTTCCGCTTTTTGTATATAGACTAAAGCAAAAACTTTGTAAGCTAAAGCCTGGAAAGCTGTCAAAAAAGTCTAAATTTCCTACATTCAGAATTACTGAAACCCCCTTGGAAGCAGGAGAAAAGGGGGGGAAACTTTTTTCAACCCTAGCAGGAGAGGGAGTGAAGAAGGATAAGTTTCCACCGTCTCTAGCCTGGGAACGGGGTGTCAGAGACAGAAATTGTTGGAGAGGTTCATTGACTGTGAATGGAATATTTTGACAGATAGCTAAAGAAGAGAAACAAGCTGATTCCAATGTTGCCTTTTGCATCCTAAAGAAACAAAATATCTGAAAAATATCTGAAAAATGAAAGTAATTTTCCTTTGTTGGACTTGCCTAAAAAAATGGATACAAATAGAAATTGTCTCCTCTAGAGGGAGCTTGTCAAATTGTTGCTGCAGTACATTTGAGGGCTCAACAGATGTGAGATTAAGACCGTGGGAACAGGCTTTTCTGACCTTGACTAAAGATGAGCTGGAAAGAAGACTGGGTGCTTGCCCTATGCAAGACAAGTGCCTTGCTGGAACAGATGCATGAGAAGATGGACTTGATGAATGAGAAAATGGATTTGACTGTTGCAGTTAATAACTGGGGGCAAACAGGGAATATTGATACAGAAATTATCCAGGGACCAACTCATGAATCTGTACTGACTGGGCAAGTGCAGAAGATAATGGAGGAGGATGCGATTGCACCCCAAATAATACAAATGGAGAGTCCCGAGGCCCTACAGGAGTATGAGCCGCTGTCATTGAAGATTGAAGTTGGAGTGGGCCAGGGGGAGTCTGGAGTTGAGGAGGTTCCCAACGTTGGAGAGACCTTGGAATATGCTTTTAAATACTTTTTGGACTATATTGAGGATTGTGGGGAGTGGGACTGTGGGGAATGGGCGGGTTTGATGAAGGGAGATGGAGACAATTTTGGCTTGGAATCCCCCAGAGGCCTACTCCTCAATGAGAAAGGAAAAAAACTAAGAAAGAGACCAACAAAAGGCAAGGAAAAGGGCAAGTATAAACAAGAAGAAGAATTGCAGAAGGGACATGGAAGAGACTTAAGGGCCTCGGACATAAGGCTTCCAGGTTGATGGACTAGATGGAATGGACAGTAAGGACTGACACGATCCGAGACCAGGATGAAGGGACGTTGGATGAAGATTGGAAGAAAATTTATAAAGAAAATTTTCTATTTAGGGAATTGGTTAAAAATTAATGAATATTAGGGAAAATGTTGGAATGAAACTATATGACTTTAGCAGAAATGATATCAGGAGTAATGTATATTTGATAACTAAGATTCAAGCTTTAAGGTACTTTAGGGTAAGATAAGGTTAAATAAATTAAGGTAATGTGAATAATAGAATATGGGGAAAGATGGAAAGGATTTGTTGAGCTAATTATTAGGTTAAATTAGGTTAGGATAAATTTTTTAACAAAAATTGAGAAAGATGGAAAGAATTTGCTGAAATAACTAATTAAACTAGAACACAAAAAGGGAGGTGTGAGGAACAAGCAAATGGAAGTTTTAGATATGTAATTTGGGATTCGTGCTGTGTTTTTTTTCCTTTTTATCTTTTTGTTGTATTGCTGTATTGGTTTTTGTGTTTTTTCTTTTCTTTTTATGTATTATAGTGTTGTTTTTTAATGTTTTTTTTCTCTTCTTATAATTCTGAAACTACTAACAAATATGATTTTTAAAAAAAAACAAATACAAACACTAATAATAATAATAATAATAATAATAATAAATTTGTATGCAGCCACTCAGGTTGGCTTACAGCACATGTAAAAACATAGAAAAATGTCAAACATTAAAACCTCCCTTCATATGTCTTCTATACAGATGTTGGTCTATACGGCCAAATGATTTGTGTTAAGGAAACAATGCAGCTGGTGCATTGGCTGGTGTATTGGCCTAAGCTGGTAAAAAGTATTCTTCACCACACCAACGTGTGGGCATCTAAGCAGCAGCTCCAGATCCAAGAGCACACCCAAGAGCATACACTAGGTTTTAAAGGAGTGCAACTCCAGGATGAGATATATTCCCAACCGATTGTACTATATATAGTCCACTGTTCTTGTAAAACAAACCAAGGTAGCTAACAATGTATCCTTTAAAGCAGACATGTCCAACCGGTCGACCGTGATCAACAGGTGGATCCCCTGGCGACCCTGGTCAATCGTGGGATCCTTATCAATCGTGGGCTTTGGGAAACTTCATAATGAATGTTTCCGCCCCCCACCCCCCTCTCTTTGTCCCTCTGTCACGTCATGTGGATGCAGTTTGTTTTTTCCTCATTGCGTTGAGGAATGGAATACGGTGATTGACTTTAGCGCTATGTGCGTTTATTATTGGTGTAGTGTGTGAGATGAGCAAAGTATGTCTCAAAATCAATAAAAAACAATAAAAATCAATCAATCAATAAAAAACAATAGTATAAAAATTAAAATGAGCAGGAAAATATCCAAAGCTACATGCTACATGAGCAACAAAAAGCCAGCAAGGCTCATATAAATCCACAGCAACTAGTTTTTTTAAAAAAAGGAATGCAAAGAAAAGCCTGGAATAATAAAAAGCTAGGATGTAGCCTGGTACAAATTTATATAAGTGTCTGGTTTTAACAGGTGTCCCTGGACTGAAAAGGTCCCACTCCTAGCAGATTCCATGGAGTCTTATTCAGCAGAAGCACCTAGATTAAGACGTGTAATGTTGAAAGGAGTGCATGCAGTGACACATATGGGAGCAGGCACAACTCTAGGTACCCAGCTCTGAAACTATTTAGGACTTTACACATTTAAACCAGCATCTTGAATTGAGCTTGGCACAAACATCTAACCCACAGCCTGGAGACAGCATTCTATACTACTATTACAGTATTTATTTAAACTTTTTAGGTCATATTTCAAAGTGAAGTCTCCACAAGGCAGTTTACAAGACATAAAATACAAAACAGTGCCCCAAAATAGTATTTTTGTAGAGACTACTTAAAATCCCACAAATTGATAACAAATAACAGTATGAGTGGTGTGTGAGAGAGGGAAGTGGCCAACCCTCTATGTGGTTCTTGGGGTAAAAGTGGTTAGCTACCCCGCACTAAAGCATGAAATGTCATGGAGAAATCCAACTTTAGCTGGAAAGCTTGCATCACTACTCAGAACGAGTACCTCCAACTTATCAACCTGATTTTGGGGAAGTACAATCTCATTCCAAACAGGCTGCCCTATAACCTTGAAGCAGAGGGCCACCAGCCAACATTATTTCTAATTTGTCTGTCAGTTTGTTCACCTTCATCTAGACCAGAGCTTTCCAAACTTTTCATGCTGGTGACATACTTTTTAGTTATGCATCATTTCGTGACACAGTAGTTCAGTTTTACTAGCAAACCAGAGGTTAAACTAACCCCTTTTCAGCCTGGGGACGAGCGTGGGGAGTGTTTGCATGACACACCTACACACTGCAGCTGACACACTAACGTGTCGGGACACAAAGTTTGGAAAGCTCTGATCTAGACTATCACTGGCCTCAGAGAGATTCTAAGTGCTGCTACAATTCAGTAACATTTGGTAGGTCTTTGCTGAAACCTCATAAGGCTCCATGAAACAGGAGATCCAGGAGATTTCTGTTAGAATCTCCCTCCCTCAAATATTTTTGTTGTTGTCTTTTGCATCTCACACCAGATATGCTCACTACTAATAGCAACTATGGCTGATATGATCCATAAGACCACACATAATATTATTTACATAAAAACTTACGTTCTTCTTCTTTTGGATCAAGCTGTGTAACACTGATAGATAAACGGTCCACACGTTCTTGCAAAGAGTTCACTCGGAAAGAAAAACTGTGTGCCTCATTGAAAAGCTCACCAAATATATCTTCTGCATATTTACCTGCAAAGGAAAGTTTTTAAAAGTTAGGGTTAAGAATTTGAACAAGCAGCTAAATTTGTTAAATTACAGTGGTGCCCCGCAAGACGAATGCCTCGCAAGACGGAAAAACCGCTAGACGAAAGGGTTTTCCGTTTTGAAGTTGCTTCGCAGGACGAATTCCCCTATGGGCTTGCTTCGCAAGACCAAAATACCTTGCGAGTCTAGAAATTTTTTTTTCGCTTTTCCCCCCCTTTATCTAATCTGCTAAGCCTTTAATAGCCTTTAATAGCCTTTTAGCAGCTAATCCCCTAAGCCTTTAAGCCTTTAATAGCCGCTAAACAGCTGATAGCGCTAATCCGTCAATGGGCTTGCTTCGCAAGACGAAAAAACCGCTAGACGAAGACTCTTGCGGAACGGATTAATTTCGTCTTGCGAGGCACCACTGTATTCTTTGATATAGGGCATTCTTTCATAAGCCTGCCTCCCATAATTCTTTGCTCCTGCCTCCGTCACTTGGAGGAATTACCCAATCCAGTGGCTTCATTGTCCACCTTAGTAAATCTGTTTCTTATCAAAATTTGCCAATTTAAGAAAGTTAAGACATTGCAATTCTCCTTAATAGAAGCTTGACCCTGTTCTTAGGAGTTTATACTTTTTGTTTTATCATCCAGGATATGCCCTATTTCCCTTCTCAATCATTATTACCCGGTGTTCTCCCAGGTGCAAGAAGACATCTGATGCTTTATTTCCACTGCAGAATTACAGTAATCAGTAGCACTCTAAAAATATGAAATGCACATAAGACAACCATGGAAGGAAGTGTTTAAATATGTATTTGCAAATGAAATAAAATGGATTCAATGACTACATGATTCAGTTTTGAATCTGGAGTGTTGCCAGTCTTCTGCTGTATCAAAATTAATGCAATTAAGGTTGCCAGAGCAGAGTTCCCAAAATAAGAAAGTGGCACAGGTCTGTAATGGTTCCTTGCACAGCATTTTGTTATTTTTTTAAACACTGAATGCCATGCAACCTTAAATGCAACTATCTTGGCCAAGCATTCAGTGTTTTGCTAAGGTCTCAATCACCAATGTTTTACAAACATTTTGATAGAAATCTTTTCTTTCTTTTTATTTAAAATGCACATATATGTAATTATAAACCTGAAAAAGATACAATAATATATTTCAAAATGTCACTTCTTGTTTATTTGCCTGAAGAATTTCACTGGGACTTACAGTTCTCTCTCTCCCAACAGGCTTTATATTTAAAGCCTGCTACATCCCATGGTTTCATGCAATATAAAAACTAATTCCTGCCACTGAATGGCTCATAGCTTACACAAAAAATTGTACTTCCTTATGAGTTCAAAACATCCCTTGATCTTTCCCATCATTATTGAGATAATTGTGACTAGGCTTGTCAGAGAGCTTGTCCTCTATAAAATCTCAAATCCTGCAATCCCATTTTATCCTCAAATGCTCACCTTGTATTATTTTAAGATACAAAATCATATAATGCATTGAAATATACCTGCACATATACTGAACCTCTCAGCCGCTGAAACTTGACAGTCCACCAGAGGAACAAAGTTAATGTTTGAAGAAAATGCTCATGCTCCCATTCTGACAGGGAGATAGTTCATAACTGGTATGGTGGTAGTGTGTTAAACACTAAGCCTGCTGGTAATAAAACATCTATCATGTATGTCTTAATCATGGAAGAGGAGCCAACCTAGTGGCCATGGAAGAGGACATTCTCTGTGGCAGCCCTTAAAGCTGTGAAATTCTGTCTCCAGAGAAGTGTGCCTGGTGCCTTCATTGTACAGCTTTTGCTGTATGCTGAAGACACACCTCTTTATCTTGGCCTTTGACAGCTAAGATATATATTTAAGACACACCCTATTGAGATGTAAAATGTTTTAGTTGATTTTATTATTGAACTATTATATTGCTGTATGGCACCCATAGTGAAGGGGGAGCAATAAATCCTAGAAACAAATGGAAGTGCAATTGCTGTTAATACGTTTTCATGTGCTTGCTTTCGCTACTCAGAATGATATATAGATGGAACCACTAGTGGCTAAAAGCTAGATCTTATCCAGGCCACAGCTACAGTCTCTTTTTTTTTAAAAAAAATAATTTTTATTAACAGGCCAATCACATCACATTAATTCCAAATAACAATAATTCCAAATTACACAGCCAAATTTTTAAAATTTTTGTTGGGGGTACCCATGCTTCAAGCTCCGAAAGGGATCCGATCATCTCTCTTGCTGCTGCTTTAATTACACATTTCTGTCAAAATAATATTCACAGTTCTGTTCAATCTTCTCTTTGTTGTTTTCCTCATCTTCTTGTTGTTATCTCATTTCTTTGTGATCTCTGATAATCTCCACAAGCGGGTTGAAGACAAACGTTATTTCCTGTGTGGATTTTACACTCATCCAAGAGCCATAAAAGTAGACAGACGCTATTTCAACACCTCCGTACAAAACATTCCAACAGTCTGTCCTGATCTCCCCAGGCCCGCCGCTCCCTCATAAATTTTCTCAGAGGGCCCTGCTAGGCCGAACCCACACTCCAACATAGTAACAGCCATAGTCCTCCTCCCCCTGGATTCCTGCGGGCGGGCCTGCCATGATAAATCTCTTTTTATAACTGCGTCACAAAGGACTTACTTTCGTTTCCCGATGCTCCCATAAGCCATGTCCTTACATAGTAATTAATTTCCACACAGTTCTTATTCCTCCTGCTTGTGATCAGTAATTGCAACAATTCTTTTTTTTGGGGGGGGGGGATTATTGGGTACTCACATAAGACAAAAAAAAAGTTTTTCTCCCCCCCTCCTTTTCAGTCTTGCTCCGACATACCGATCTTTTGATGAATCTTCTTCTTGATTTATTCCTCTTCTTGATTTATTGTTAAGTCCAGCCCGTCGCTCCTCTTCCCAGAGATCCCTTTAGTTAGCAGTCCTTACTCCCGATCATCGCTTGAAGTATGTGCGTTTGCTTCTGTTCTGATTGTTTATTTTGAGCTCTCGCAACTAGCTGCGCAGATCAGAGACAGCGTCCAGGAGAGCCGACCCACACGAGGGCTTTTGTGCCTAGTGCCCTCACCCCCTTTCAAATCTGGGGGTGAATTATGGGCACAGCAGGCAAGGCAGCGTTCCCCATTCCCTTGGGGTAACGAGGGAGGCTGCATACTCCCATAACAGCCTCTTAATTACCTTGTGTGAGCCGGAGAGATGGTATTGTCGGCCATCTTCTGATGCGCCCCCTAGCGGCCCCTAGGCCACAGCTACAGTCTCAGTGGTATTTGGCAAAACTCTTAACTAGCAGAAGAATCTGGAATTTGATATTATCTCTGTACACCTGAAACTCCAGTGATCACCTAATTTAAGACATGATACTCAATGTGGTAATGCAGGGAACAGGGCAGCAGCTCACTGAATAATCCATGTAAGTAGTAGATTTCTTATGCATGTGCTGGTTATCATCTCTCCCAACTTGGAGAGAACTGAATTAAAGTAGTCACTTTAAAAACAAAACAAAACCATACACACATACACAACTTTTAATTAGTGAGAAACACATGACAGAGCCTTCCCCTAATCTAATACTCAGTCTAATACTCCAGTATAAAAACACCAGATAAGCATATTTGAAAAAAGAGACGTATATTCATTTTTTAACTGAAGTCATAATGAACTTCTGGGTCAAGGATCCTGAAGAAGCTGAAGACTTTAATTTATTAGAGAAGCTATGCACATGCTATAGCTCTGTGCTGCTCTCCTTAGGATGCATTTGGCTGACACAGGATGGAAAATGATAATGTCAGTGGTTAAAATGTACTAGAAACAGTTGCAGTTCAGGCCAGTACTGCAGGCACCATATTCCATCTGATAGCCTTTTGAAGTGGTTACAGCTCAGAGGGAAAAACAATACATTTCAGTAAGATTGCTGTAGGGTTCTAAAGTATTCCTTCATTTAAAATTAACATAAAAAAGGGGGAAAGCTTTATTGTTTCCTTTTTTCACTTCTGCTACATACATAAAGCAAAGTGTAGTTCAGGGCAATTAACCGACAGCTATGTTTTTAAAATTATTCTTATTTTGGGAATGAATAAACAAGTTTTTATGAGCATACTTTAGAACATAGGTCACAAGTGAAAATATGAAATCTGTGGTATGAAATATTAAATCAGCTTCAATTTTCTACAGGTAAGACTGTAATATTATTTCAGCTTTACCAAACTCTTGCTGTCTGGTTAAATAGAGCCATAGTGTCTTTGTTTTTGCAAAAGAAGAACAGTACAAAAACTGAAATATATAAATGATCAATCATTAAATGTGCTACTAGGAAAGGTCGTATAGACTACTTCCAGTACCCCTAAGGTTTATGACAAAACACTTAAGACAAGGTTGGATAACCATTTTTATCCAATGGACTGGATAAAAAAGTGGCCAACCCACATCTGTCAATCATCTGATGTCATATGACACCAGGTGGCTCCGATTCCATGCAAAAACAGTAGGCTAGGGCTGCTAAGAAACAACTGGGAGCAAACTCTTAAGGCATCTGATTGTTCTTTGCAGGTGTAACTTTAGTCATCCTGCACCTGATGTCATATGATATAAAGTGAGTGACGGTTGGGCATGGCCACCCAAAATGGCATGGCCCATGGACTGGAGGTTTCTACTGCCTACTTAATATAAGCATAATAGACTAGAACAGTACTCATGCAAACACATAAAACATTCCAAAATACTATTATCTATATTCTTCATATTTACACAATCTGTGTTTTGCAAATATTTTGTAGTTTATGCTTATTTGTATATTGTTATTTTTCAATTATATTTTTGAGGACCCTTTTTGAGTTGAAAAGTGGTTCTGAATTTTACCATTAATAATATCCCATATCCCCCCCTTCTCTGAACATTAAATCAGTGGTTTGTTTCTTGTTTATTCTAATTTAAACATATGCAACTACCTGTTTTCCTGCTTTTCCTCTTTATTCAGAATGTCTTGGGAGCAGCCTCTACCATTAAGCTTTCCCCAGGCTGGAATATAAACCTTCTCTCCTTAAAATTGTGTGGAGCTACCAAACTTCTGCTTTAGGTTACCAGTCTCAAAAGTCAATCGTTCTTTTGTTAAATCAGTCGAGTCCCTTTAACTTTGGTTAGGTTAACACTATTAGCCTACTGAGCAGGAGCCTTATTATATCTATGTTTTGCATGGCATCTGCACATGTTGGCTACTAACATTCACTAACGATTGTCATTGTGCTTCATAAGTAGTACAACTGCCAGAAATGTGTACAGAACTAGAATCTAGGTTGTTGTTTTTTAAAAAAACAACCAAATGAAGAGTGAAAATTACTGAAAGACAGAAGGACATAAAAGAGGCCTCTCCAAGAGAGAAATGTTCTTATACATGGCAGTTGTATTATCCCAATATTATCCTCAAAATAGCGGGTCAGAAACATAGCAAGCTGGCAGAGTACAGAGAGAAATTTCTGCCTGAGTTCTATAGTCTTTATATAAACTTTGCAAAACTGCCAGTTCAGTTCTTTTAAGACCATTAAAGTCAACAATGAAACTACACATCATACATTTTGTTAAATGCACAATTGATGGGGACATAGAACATTTTGGAATGATTCAGAAAAGATGGGATGAACATTATGAATTGTTTTGAAAAGAGTAATTTTATTTTGTTTAACCATAAAATGCAGCTGTATTACACATTATCTCAAAATGCACTGTCCCTTAATATACTGGGTACTTACTTAGACTGCTTAGTTGTCTGATTATATTTGCCAAGGAAATATTTGTAACACATTCCAGTTCATTCTTGATGCCTCGTGGTAGTGCTGTATGACAAAGATACCTAGGGTCTATGTTTCTTTTTACCAGTGGCATCCTGAGATATCGATGACACAGCACACCTAGGAAAAGACAGGAGATAAATTACAACATGGTTTAATTAGCAAGATCATTGATCACTTATTGATAATGGGAAAATTTAGACATTATATACATTCTTTACAGTACTGTAAAGTCAAGAGAACTACAAAATGGTTTTTCTTTCAACTGCTGTTCATTTTGAACTTCCCTTACTTGAGAATGCTACAAATGTAGTTGTTAATGCCACAAATACTTTTCTTAAGAAAATGAATAGTATGACCTTTGCATGTCCACTATGTACAATGAGGCTTACTTTCAGGTAACACAGGATTAACAATAAAGAATTAAAAACTGGAGAAACTATTTGTAAATTGTTTTCTTTGCATAAACGTTTTAGTTAATATATAACTACAAAAGCAAGCACAAAAATTAAATAATGATTTTCATCCAGAATTTGAATGAAATTCAAATCAAGAGTCTTCAAAACTAGGATGTTGTAAATATTCCATTGTCCTTGATCCCTCATCCTGCAACCAACACTAGAGGTGACCACTGAAAGTATGGGTACCTTTGGTAAAAGTACATTCATACTACTGCTTATTCCACATCTAATGTGCTCCCACTGCTGCATTCACCATCAGCATCAGCATCTGATGGGAGGGTGTTCCACAGCGCGGGCGCCACTACGGCGCTGGACTTCAGCGTCCGGGCAGAACGATGGGGGTGGAGAAGCTCCTTCAGGTATACTGGGCTGACTTTAGCTACAATCCATACCAACCCTATGATTTCTTGACAAATATTTCTGTTTGATGTGCTTTATCCTCAAATCTGCTCCAATCCAATTAGAAAACTGGATGCAGAGTAAGCAGTAATATGAACATACCCTAAGTTTTGGTATGTTAATTCTGCCTGGTGTCGGATCAGTTATATTCTGATGTAGTATTGACTGTACAGTTTTCCACACCAGAAGGGGGTGGAATGGTCTTACGTACAACTGTTGATGTGGCACAATGATCCAGAACACAACCCCCATGCAAATGGGGAGTTGCCTGTATAGAAATACTATTTTTAAATTCATTCAATTTAGTTTACATTCCACTTAATTTTTATCATTGTGTTTCTTTTAAAGAGATACTGTCACTGTATGTTCTGTCTCTTTAACATGTATACTTTTAGAGAAATTACATATATATTATTTTTTCTCATATTTGTGCGTATGAATCTAACTAAAACCTTCTTCCATTTTGGCTGCATTGTGGACTAGATGAAGTTTTGAAATTGACAGTAAGAGCAGCCCTGTCTAGAAGCATTACACTAGTCAATCTGTGAAGTTACCCAAGGCATGGATGATGGTGGCTAGGTCACTAAATAATGTGCTTTTTATTGCATTAAAAACAAATAGATTTTTTTAGTGTTCTCTCTCAAGGTAGGGAAAGCAAGAATAGCCCTAAAAATATATTGTACGCATTAAAAACTACAACATGTCTAGCCATATTTCTAGTCTATTTTATTCATTGATTTAAAAATTGTTAACTCTCCTTTCAGAACACATTGCTCTCACTGCGTGGCTTACAAGACTCAGTATAATAGTAACAAATACACTTTCAAATTTCTGACAGTGTTGATGTTTTTGTATTCTTCAAAAACATACCTGTTCCACAATCTAGCTACAGCTAAGGACATTTAACTCCATTTATTTTAATGGGAAATTTAAGTAAATGCACAGCTATCTCCCACTGAAATCAAAGGGGACTTGTGCTTACCTTAGGGTGAGTTAAACCCATAAAAAACTGCATTGTAGTGCATCTATTAGTATACAGGCTGATTTTTGTTCCCATTATATGCACTCCCCAAAATAAAAATTAATGTAATTTAGTATAAAATTGCTTTTTTTTAGTCCTATTTTTTTCAAAATGATTTCACTTTGAGCTTATTCATTATCTCTCCACTGCTGCTACATATAGCATACAGCCACAAAAGCTCTATGGCTGATCACAACAGCTCTTTGTATTCTTGACAGCCATAGATAACCAATCCCTTTTTAAAGCTAAAAACGTGAATAGTTTAAACAAACTGTATCTTCTAAGGATATAATTACATCATTAATAAATTATAATTTTTAAAGTTCTGTGAAGGCTTTCCTTCTCAAAAATCTACTTTTTATGAACACTGCTTGTGTACAGTTGGAATCTCAAATCCATTTCACTACTTAAGGATAACTTGCTTTTCAAATTCAGACAACAGTTGAATAATCTGAGTTTAAATAAAATGCACACCAATTTATGTTAAAGGTAGTCTAGAATATATTTCAACTTCAAAAAGTCCCCTATTTCCTATAAATAGCAAAATGCAGTCTAGTACTGTACATTTATTTTACACCTAAACTTTAACAGCTAAAACAGGGATGCACAAATTCACTCTGCTATTAAAAACAAAAAAACTGCAGTTCAACCTCTACTGTAATGTTAACTTCACAATTAGTCATCAGTGGCAGAATTCTAAATACACAGAAAGCACAGACGGGCTAGTCAATCACAGAGCTGTGATTCCATTAATCATACTGAACACCTCCTGTCATTCTGATGCTACAGAATGGACCGCCAGCCCTTACACAAAAGAACTGGAATTCAACACACAGTGTCTTCCCTTAATAGTGCTGCCTTTTCAAAGAGACACTCACCCTAGTGCTCACAATTCCCCCTCTTCTTCAGAAATGTGAAGGTTGTTTTTTTAAAAATGGAGGAGGATATATTTGGTGATGAACCATAACTCCTAAATTCTAGGCTAGGACATACAGGCAACAAGAAGCGATGTTCGGGGCGGGGGGATAAATATGTGCAGCTCATTGTACTGACCATACTGAAGATTCAAGTTGGAAATTGGAAGCTAATGAAATAATAAATCATGTCAGACAAAATGAAATCTATTGTTCAAAGGTCTGTCACTAGGAACTTTCATATCATATATGACCTAATTTGCTGATTATTCAAAGAGTGATGTATACTTAAATTTAGATTCATTTGAAAAATTATTATAGAATTTTAAAAATTACTTTATTTATGCTATTCTCTTATATAAAAAAACTGCCTAACATTCCTTAAGATCACAGGAAATCAGTTGCTCAGAAATTAGTACTATCCAGTGCTAAGTAATTTAAGTCCATTAATTCTAATGGGCCTACTCTGAGTATAACCAACACTGGATATTACCCAAGAAATTTTCAGCTTCCTAAATATATTTATCAAGTTTTATATTTTGTAACTCCAATTAACAACTGCTTTTTTAAGTGATAAAAGTTAAAAATGTTTTAGATATAAGAAATTACTGAGTTGGAAAGGATCTCAAAGGTAATCTAGGTGAAGCCCCTGCTGATACAAGAAATCCATTACTACTACTACAGTGATCAGCTTGTTATCACTCTCCAAGGGCTGATTTATAACTACTGTGTGGTGAGGGGATCTAGAGTCTGAAAATGTGGAAGTACATTTTAACTTATTTTAATTGTATTGTTTATTCATTGTTTTAGACTGTACATGCTTTGTGGTAGAATTACTTCCTTTAATTGTGTACAGAGCCATATATGTTAATGGTGCTATGTAAATAAATGTGAATACAGTAATGCTAAATTAATGAGAGAGGTACTGATTGGCAACAGAACATGGAACTGGAGCCAAACCAGGGACAGTACTCTTCCCAGCTGTTCTCAGAATATATCCTATACAGATATATTTTTGGCAGGGTTAAAATCTTCTACTGAAAATCAAAATGTGCCCTAGAGAGTCCATGGCTGGGTTGTGCAGAAGGGTCTGCAATTTTATTTAAAAGGTTAGCAATATGTAAAGTAGCATTCTTTTATCAAATTAAAATCCTGAGCTCCATTGTTGAGAAATATTGCTATCCTACTTCAAGTTTGTACTCACAGTACACCTTTAGCTATACAAGTTATTATTAATTTTCAGAATGTGATGAGATGTTAAGTAAATTATATTTAAATCAGTTTTTTCAAACTAAATGAAGTAATTGCTCTTTTGAGAGTACCATTTTACAATAAAATTTCTTTGCAACCTAAGGAGTTGAAAAACTGCTACCACGTAGTCATATATAGCATCCCATTAGGTTGCAATGTGCTTGTTTTTGATTCAAAACACTAATATCATGTGGCACTACTGCCATAGCAATAAGTCCCATATTTATCATTCTGACATTACAATGAATAGCACAGTCATTCAGTTGAAATTCTGACTATTGCAATAACACAAACACTTGAATAAGTGTGGCTTCTATTCTGCAATGCAAATTCTGAATATGGAAGTAAAGACTTGCAACAAAATGCTGCAGTGTAACACCAGCCCCTAAGAGGTGTTTCCCCACAAAGACCTTGAACAGCAAAATAGTTGTCCGTTTCAGATGGTGGTCTCAGCTGGGTGAGGTTTGAGCTCAAGCAGGACGAGAGTGCTAAGCACAAATTTACAAGGAAAAGCCAAGCAAGTCCAAATTCAACTTCTAGTCAGACAATATGAAGCATGACAAAATTCAGGTTCAGATAAAATAAGAGTCAAGCAAAGCAGAAGTCAGGTTCTGATAAGGCAAAGTCCAAGCAAATCAGTAAATGTCTTGGATAATTCTGTGCAAGGTTTGCTGAACAGCAAACCAAGATTTAGCATTAGATGAAGCTGCAGGACTACCTCCACCTCTAGTAAATGAAGTCTCATCAGTTAAAGAGACTTCATCAAGATCACTAGCTGTTGACTCAAACAGTGCTGGTTCTGTTGGAGCTTCAGGCCTGGAATCCAAAGACTGCAAAATGGCTTCCTCAGGTTCCAGCTGTGCTGCAGGAAAAAAACATAGGGCCAGTTCTGAGGGGAAACCCCTTCTACACCTCTGAATCCCCAGCTTTGTCCACTGAAGACAAATGGGATCATAGGATCATGACAAGTACCGTATTTTTTGCTCTATAAGACTCACTTTTTCCCTCCTAAAAAGTAAAGGGAAATGTGTGTGCGTCTTATGGAGCGAATGCAGGATGCACAGCTATCCCAGGAGCCAGAACAGCAAGAGGGATTGCTGCTTTCACTGCACAGTGATCCCTCTTGCTGTTCTGGCTTCTGAGATTCAGAATATTTTTTTTCTTGTTTTCCTCCTCCAAAAACTAGGTGCGTCTTGTGGTCTGGTGCGTCTTATAGAGCGAAAAATACGGTAAGTGCTTTGTAGAATGGTTTGACTCTTGCAGAGGATGAGGAGTGGAAAAGGAAAAAGCAACACCTTTACTGAAACCTTACCCTGCTGTTCTATACAGTCATACCTCGAGTTGAATGTGCTTTGGGTTGAGTGCGTTTGAGTTGCGCTCCGCGGCAACTAAGTCTTACTCAGACTTAAGCTGTTTGGAACCTTTTTCGTCTTCATTTTACTGCCAGCAGATGGAGACTTGTTTGCTGTAATTTCTGGAAACTGTGGATAGAACATTCACCTATTTGTAAAGCTAAGAGTCTGTAATGTATTCTAGCTGAAGTATTTTCATGAGGAACGTTTGTTTAAAGATGGATGTGGCCAGATGCTAATCTAACAAAGTTTTAATGTGCATGAAGCAACCGCCACTGTACTAACTCTGCTATGACCAAGTGAAGAATGTCTCTTCCAAACTTCTCTCACCAAAAGTTTTCAGCTCTACCCTAGCAAGGAAACTACAAGGACCACAGTAAACAAAAAAACTAGACTAAATCCCAACTTTGGAGAAGGAATAATCCCCTCACCCTCACCAATACAGTTCCACACAATACAAACCTAGCTAGAGGGAGTCATTTTAGAATCATACATGGGCATAGCTTTTAGATAAGGCTCTGTGGAGACTCAAATTTCAGCAATCAGTTCAGTTTAAAACCAGGTAAAACCTATTTAGTTTTCTTTTTTTAAAAATGAATCCTCAACAGAGCATCAATGACTAGTTACTCACTGTCCACATACCTCTTGGTTGACATCCATTGTCCACACCTCACTTCCTAAATCCCCCCACCCTTTCAAATTCCTAATCCCTGGAAGTTGAGTCAGACCACCTGATATCATTGGCTTCAGCAGCAGCTAAGGGTAGCTAGCCCAGCGACTAAGCCAGCTCCATAAACTAGAGGGAGCTCCAGCTGATACAGTGTCTTGGCCCCAGAAACAAAGGATCAAGCTAACAGAAAAGTTAAGCAGCTGAGTAAGGCAACAAGGTGAGGAGGCCTCTGCCCCTCTACAGTTTGATCTAAGAAATGCTAAGCTCTCAAATAAAGTAACACAATAAATTACAAAAACTGATATGAAGGTAGAAAATCACCAGAAGGGTGAGGAATTTCCAATGTATTGCAGTTTGTCACATGTATAAACTATCTACCTGCTGGACAGAAGTCATGGGTGTGTCCTCATTCCACTGAGCTTCTAGCTCTTAGGGAACAGGTTTTTTGCCTTGAGGCCAAGGTGGGCATACAGCTTTTTCATTGACCCAGAAGCAATAGCACCAGTTCTTAAACTCTTCCTCCTTCAAAGTAGCCAATTGGAACCAGACAGATTTACAAGACAGTATAGTTATTTGGAATCTAATAGGATTGCTGGTCCATTACTGATAAGGTTTATTCCCTCCCCCCTTCCCAGTTGTTAATTATGTCTGCTGCTACTGCTTAGGAATGTTTCTGGAACCAGCCCTGCTGCCAGAGGCAATTTTAGGCTAGTGTAACTGGTTTGGCTGCACTGGACACTGGTGCCACAGTGGACGTGTCAACAGTGATGTAGAACGGAGCAAGAGAGGTAGGTGGGGGTGATGCTAAATTTTAGCATTCCAGAAGGAGCTGCTGAAATTTGACAGCCCAACATCCGCCACTGCGGCTGTTACTAGGAACAAATCTAGTACCACTGAATTACATAGTATATATGACATAGTTAAGAAGCACTATAAGTAGGTTTTGATTTTCACACCAATATTTTGTACATATATTTGCAACCTCAAAAAACTGAGAACTGAGTATGCTGAGTATAAGATTCTTCAGCTTCTCAAGATTGGGGAGTGGGGGAAGAAACTGAGATGTTCCTGTTTTGATTTCTGCAATGCACTCTACGTACAGCTACCTTTGAAGGTTACTCAGAAACTACAATTAATCCAGAATGAGGCTGCTAGACTGGTGACTGAGAGTGGCTGCCGGGAGCACATACCACCAGTCCATATATATATATATATATATATATATATATATATATATATAGGCTCCAGTACATTTCTGAGCACAATTCAAAGTGCTGGTGTTGACCTTTAAAGCCCTAAACAGTTTGGCCCTATATACCTGAGGACAGTGTCAGAAACTCAGGTATATAACCTAGACACCAAATGGCTCCTTAAAAGGAGTTACAGTTGTCAAAACAGAATGTCTAGTTGCCATTTTGGGGCAAGATGGCTCTAAAGTCTTATTTTTCATATGACAGACTGATTATGATTGATTCTCAGTTAAATATCTGGTTAGTTCAGATGACAACCTTGAGCTAGGTTAAGAGCTTTCAGACCTTAAAGAAAAAATCCATGGAGAGTCCACATATATATTGGCATATTCTGACCTCTTTTTCTTAATGGTGACTGCTTCTACTTAGGCTGCACAGAAAAAGCATTTTGGTTCCAGAAATTCATTCTAATTATGCAGATAAAATATAACTGATAGAATTCTACAAGATGAGGTATTAGCGTGTAAAAACTGTCCAGATCAAATGATCCGTAGGCATGCACCTCCAGATGGTGGAGACGTCAGGCACCATCCTGGCACCCAGGCATCTTCACTTGGTTGTAAGTAGTCAAAAGCCAGGTGCAAACACTGTCTGGATAAGATATAAGGACTTACTTGAAAATAAAACCCCAAGGTGGTTGTCACCAATGGAAGCAAAGGCTCAGAAAAGGCTCAATATGGAGGCCAAATGGCCAAAATATTGGGAAATTTTGGAACAAGAAGGAGACAAATTGAAATTGCAGAGTTTTGAGAAATTAAAAGATAAAGTGCGAGACTGGCTTCATTATTATCAGATAATGGAGGCATATAGTTTGGATAAGAAAATTGGCTTCCAGGTGGAAAAATCAAAACTAGAAACAGAACTGTTAGAACCCAAAACTAAGATTTTGTCAAAGATGTATAACTTGCTGTTGAAATGGAATGCTCAGGATGAAACGGTGAAATCTGCTATGATTAAATGGGCACAAGATGTTGGACATAATATTATGTTTGCTGACTGGGAACAGTTGTGGACTACAGGTATGAAATTTACGGCATGCAACGCCCTAAGAGAGAATATTATGAAAATGATATACAGGTGGTACATGACACCAGTCAAGCTTGCAAAAATCTATCATTTGCCCGATAATAAATGTTGGAAATGTAAAGAAAACGAAGGTACATTCTTTCACCTTTGGTGGACGTGCCCAAAGATTAAGGCTTTCTGGGAGATGATCTATAATGAATTGAAAAAGGTATTTAAATATACCTTTCTAAAGAAACCAGAGGCCTTCCTGTTGGGCATAGTCGGCCAATTGGTGCCAAAGAAGGATAGAACTTTCTTTATGCATGCCACAACAGCAGCAAGAATACTTATTGCAAAGTATTGGAAGACACAAGACCTACCCACTCTGGAAGAATGGCAGATGAAGGTGATGGACTATATGGAATTGGCGGAAATGACTGGCAGAATCCGAGACCAGGGAGAACAGTCGGTGGAAGAAGATTGGAAAAAATTCAAAGACTATTTACAGAAATATTGTAAAATTGATGAATGTTAGAATGATGTTGGATAGAAACTAAGTGGCTTTTAGCTGTAATGTTATAAGGGAATATGAAAAAATGGACTATTAATAGGTAAAAATTTAACGTTACAATACTTTAAGATCGAAGACTAGGATAAGCAAAGAGGGGAGGGATTTGCTAAACTAACAATTGAAGTGGAATACAGAAAAGGGAGGCGTGAGGAGGTCTGGGAAACAAGCAAATGAAAGATAAGTGATTGAAAGACTGAATTGTTTTTAACTATTTTTATTTTGTATTTTTCTTTTTTCTTTTTCTATTTTGTAATATTTTGAAAATCCTAATAAATATCTTATAAAAAAAAACAAAAAGCCAGGTGCAAACACATCTAAAGGAGTGCCTCCACCATCATCATTCAGTCCTGACACTGAGGCCCAGCTCTGAGGAACTTCTGGTAGTTCCCTCATTGCGAGAAGTTACAAGAACCAGGCAGTGGGCCTTCTTGGTAGTTGCACCTGTCCTGTGAAACGCCCTCCCATCAGATGTCAAAAATTCAAACAATTATATGACTTTTCATAGACATCTGAAGGCAGCCCTGTTTTGGGAAGCTTTTAATAATTGTTGTGTCCCTTTATATTTTGTTGGAAACTGCCCAGAATGCAACCTAGTCAGATGGGTGGGGCTAAATAAATAAATAATGTGGGGTTTTTTCCCTTAAGAAGCATGAGGGCCACCCTCTCCTCAGCAGCTGGCATGGTTGGACACCTGTCAGGGGCCTCATCCCAACATACAAACTGAACCACTGCCAACCGCAACCCTCAAAATTAGACCTAGATACACCATTTTTGTTTATCCTTGTGAGCATGCTTTAACAGCACAATTATACAACCCAATCTTAGCCCTTTTTCTCCTCTTCCTGCTTCTCTTTTGCCTCCTGGTGCAACTAAAAAAGACTCCAGTTCCTGTAGCACTGGCAGGAAAAAGAATCAACCATTTCTGTCTCCCTCCCCTAGGAATCACTCCCACTTCCATTTGGGATCACTGCTTGATAAATAAGAGGCTGTGCTGGGGTAGTATGTGGGAACAAGTGAAAGGCCAGACTTGAAGGGCAATGCTTCACTTTCTAGCCACTTTCCTTTCTCTTCCCTGTTTCCCCCAAGCCTACTTCTCTGATATGAACTTTGACTCTGTGGCTGTAGTAGTATTGAGGGATGAACCTGAACCCAACCTTCTCTAGTGGCAGCAACAATGAGCAGATGGAGCCAGTAGTACAGCATGCAGGCTCAGGGAAGCAGCAGTAAGGGGACATGATACTATGGTAACAAAGGGCCTACAAATGACTGAAATCATTCCTGCACAGAAAAAGCAGTACTGTAGTCAACAGAGGTGGTAACTATGATATGCAAACTGAACATCAATATATGAAGAGCAGCAAAGATAAGGCTTCTGCATAAACAAAATCAAACAGTGAATGTGTGTTCCATGACCAACATAGTAGCTTGAGTAGCTTGTTGCTGCATGGCCAGAAATACATATTCTATGGCATAGGATTCAATATTCTTGTGAATAAATGATATAGATGTCCATATCAGCAAAATGAATACTGCCACATTCAAAATTTCTACAGAAACATAAATATTACTGTACACATTATCTGTGCACAAAGAAGAATCCATCTTATTCCCCAGGGCTACAAATACCTTGTTCTTAAAGCTCCACACACTTCTGTAGGTAGCTTTACATATGCACATTTCCAGCAGTGCAGAGACCACAAACACGAAAATGGCTAAAGGAAGAATGTGGTATCTTCTGTATGGCTAAAAGAAGGATTGGGGCAAGTTTCCCAGATTTTTTTGCTGTTCTTAGCAGGGGAGCAGCAGTTATTTCTTTAACCAGAATTCAGAAAGCAAGATCTGTTATTTGTTGCTGGCAGTGAAAACTAAGGCTGCCTTCAGAAAAACTGGCTCTATATCATGTATTATGATTTTGCATAATTTTTGTTTATTCTCTTATTTGTAGTATCTTTTACCTTCTTGTGACAATTTCTAGATGCCCTCTTCCCTGCATCATAAAAGCTTCTTTAATAGAAAATGCTTTCTTGTCTCTCTCCCCCATGCCTTCCAATAACAAGGAATAAAGCACGTGTTGTTATTACTCAGAACCTGAGCTGGTGATTTTGGGTTGAATCCAAAGATTTTGTCTGCACAAAACGCCAACTGTGGCAACTTATTTTTACAATAACAAAAAAGGAGGAGAGCACAAAATACATTGTCTATTAAGGGAAATAACCAAAGCAGCACAGTTGTTTTGATTCACGGACTGCACAATATGCTTCAAGGTCTAAAAATCTCCACCTCCTTTCTTCAATATAAAAATTAAGTGTGCACAACCCAGACCTTTGCAGCAGTTGGAGTAAGTTTGTCTAACAGGAGGTTAAAGAATGAGAGAGAGCTGCAAACAAATAGACACATCTAGGAGGATATTGGCTGCTGTAGAGGTCTCCCAGAAATCCTATCTCTCTACCAGCAAGACTTTCCTCAGCTACAGATTGACTGTGGCCAAACTTTCAATGCATTACAAGCAAGATTTAACTGCATGCAAGGGCCTTTATCTGCCTGAGCAGTTTGGAATCCCTGCTGGAAGGCACAGAACAGTTTTGTCATTGCTATAACACAGCTCACCCTGGAGGTACATGTCTAGCATGGCCATGATAAAACAGAGAATGCCATATCTACAGTAGAAGCTTGGGGCAAAATATAAGAGCAGACAGTACCACATGGCCAGCCTCTTGGTTCACTGGTGTATATGGATGCTTCTGTACTCGGTGTACCAACTCAAAGCTGGAACACATCCTTCTTTTTAAAGATTTTCCATTAGTGACTCAACAGCAGTCTAAAAAGCCAAGAATTAATCCTGGGGGGGTGGGGGCTAGTCCAGTGAAACTTCAAGACGAACAAGTATTTGGACATAAGCTTTGGTGGGTCAAAGAAAACTTTTCTCGGGCACATGAAATGCTATCTGCAGCTGACAGATGCATCCGTAAACATATGGGTATGCGTACAAGAGTGTACCGTATTTTTCGCCCTATAGGACGCACTTTTTCCCCTCCAAAAATGAAGGGGAAATCTGTGTGCATCCTATGGGGCGAATACAGGCTTTCGCTGAAGCTTGGAGAGCGAGAGGGGTCGGTGCGCACCGACCCCGCTCGCTCTCCAGGCTTCAGGAAGCTATCAGCAAGCCTGGGGAGCCTGCGGGAGTTCCTGCAGGGCTCCCTAGGCTGCAGATAGCAGCCTGCCGCCCGGCGCGTGGGGCGCCCTGAAGCAGAGCGCCCCGTGCGCTGGACAGACATCGGCCAGCCCCACAAGCTCGGGGGACAGCGGGGAGGCGCAGCGCCGCCATCCCGCTGTTCCCCGACCTGGTTTTGGGGGGGAAATAAAGGGGAGGGAAATTCCTTTATTCCCCCCCCAAAAAGCTAGGTGCGTCCTATGGGACGGAGCGTCCTATGGGACGAAAAATACGGTAAGTGTACACACACAGCGCTATAAACAAGTTTGTGGGAAGAAGTGCAGTGTGGCAAAGTGAAGATGAAAGGCTCAGGAAAGCATGATAGTCATGTTATAACCTATTAAGAGTGCAGTTCAGAACATTAGGCATTAAAAAAAAAAAAAGAACAAGAAAAATCCAATTATTCTTGTCCAATACGCAAAGAAACAAAAAGCAGCTAAAGAAACAATTATTTTCAACAGCAACCTGGCCACACCCAGTCTCTACTGACCCCAATTGAGATGATTATCAAATCTTTAAGTGTTTTATGTTTATTAATCATATTTCTTTGCCAAACCACAACTAGTTGTGAGTGGGTCACAGCCATGATTATTGTATCTTTTGCTTTTTTAAATAGATTTTGTGGTTCTGTGCCAAGTTGTTCATTTCCTGTGAATGCTGTGTGCTCCACCCCTTCTGTTCAAAGCTTTTGCTTCCCTGGATAGCCTCTCCTTTGATTGTGATCTCATTGCCCAAGGAGAAGAATTCCAACCCTAGTGTTCTCTTTGAAATGTTAGCATCTTTATGTGGGGACACTTAACAACATTCAATCCCTACAGCCAAACAGCAGATGCATCGTGTGAGTCAGCTCTCATTTACAATCATTTAGGGACAGGGGAGGAGTGGAGAAAAAGTTGTGTTGGGTGATTGAACTTTCTTCCATATAAACTAGGTTGAAAGTCACACCAGGGTCACTTTTCATTGCAGAATTTACACAGAAGCAGAGCTACTAGGATATGGTCACCTGCACAGCTGCAGCCAATGTCCACAAATTTCAGACACGTGTAATTCAAAATTTTCATTCTGTAAACAAAAAACACCTAGGGTAAAAAAACACAAAACCCTCACTAAATCTACTAATGTTTTGCCATTGTGGTACTTTTTTGTTTCTGTTAAAGAATTGCCATATTGGATTAAAGGGAAAGGGACCCCTGACCATTAGGTCCAGTCGTGGCCGACTCTGGAGTTGCGGTGCTCATCTCGCTTTATTGGCTGAGGGAGCCGGCGTACAGCTTCCGGGTCATGTGGCCAGCATGACTAAGCCGCTTCTGGAGAACCAGAGCAGCGCATGGAAACACTGTTTACCTTACCTATTTATCTACTTGCACTTTGACGTGCTTTCAAACTGCTAGGTTGGCAGGAGCAGGGACCGAGCAATGGGAGCTCACCCCGTCGTGGGGATTCGAACCGCTGACCTTCTGATCGGCAAGTCCTAGGCTCTGTGGTTTAACCCACAGTGCCACCCATAGACGTCCCATAGTGGATTAAAGTATCCCAAATGGTTTTCCAAACAAAAACTATTTCAGGGAAGTATATTAAAGTGCTTCTCTCCAACATAACATTTATGTAGCATTCTACTACCCCAAACAAATAAAAATTATCCCCTAAAATTGTCTAGGTCCATTCTCCCTATTATGTTTTATAAAAAGACTGAGACATGACTGTCAATGTCATCACTTATGTTCTACACTCAACATGTATTAACACAAAATAGTAGTACTTTCTAAACCTAGGTTTAACTGTAGATTTTCACTCTAGTCTTTTAGCTTCCATTGATTAGAAAGGTTATACTAAAACATTTAAAACTGTTAATCAAACTTGTACTTCTCACAACCTGTCTTTGCATTTGATACTTACAATGTAATCCTCAGCCGAAAGAACAATCACCCCTCCCTTCAGACCTCAATCTTTTAGCAAGAAATTGTATATGATGTTCACTTAGAATCTAACAAGATGACAAATGTTCACAGCTACTGAATAATTAACTGAAAGTTTTGCTGACAGTAGTTTAGTCAGAATGAACTAGAAATTAAGAATTGATACAGTTCTATAGAATCAGATCTAAGCCTAACACCAGATCAGGACAGAGTATGCCACCTCAAATTGCCTACATCTTAAGACTCATACTACGCTTCAGAGTTCCCTGTTTTGTCCCTATCTGCATGTGCTTCTTAAAGCAAAATCAGTCTAGGAAGGTGGCTACCACCCAGGGTACAGAAAGGACTGTTTTACCATTTCAGCTAAAAGTTCACCTTTCCCAAGCTAGGGGTAGAAGTAGCTTGGGGATTTTGAACCAAAAAACTATGAAAGAATTAAGCAGCCACACTTGGCCCAAGGCTTGCTGTCTGTCTAAGCCATGTTTGTTTTAAACAAAAACACATACATATATTTCTATATATGTATAGTTTAAATAACCCAAGTGGCATTCAACTAAGTTTTACTCAGGGTAAATGCACTGAAATTAATGTTCATTAATTTTAATGAGTGTACTCTGATTAACACTTAGATGAGTAACACCCAGGTATTGGGAGCCCCACCTAATGCATAGTTTGAGAACAAATAGCTATACACAGTTGAACAGAATTTTCACAGCTATGAATAAAATGTATGTGTCTATTCTAGTATGGCAAGTTTATACAATTCTCATTTCTTCTAGTTTGTAGTTTAAATTGTGTTTAATTGTTTCATTTGTTCTAATATCAATGAGTTTCCTTTAATGTCAATTCACTGTGTGTTAATAATAGTATGAAATGAATCCTGCTTGTCATGTGTAGCTCTTGCAGATTCATCCCCAAAATTCAAAAACTTTATTTCCATTAGAGACATGGCTAGAATTGATATCACAGTGGATTAATTAACATATACAGTAAGTAATTCTGAATCAGCTGATTGCACTCCAGAACAAAGTGATGCCTTCAAAAGTCTATCTGAAAAGCAGTATGTTTGATGTAAACAATAGCCATACATATTGATATTCAGTGCCTGGATAGGGAAAATTCTAGGTAGGAAAGAATGATCTAGGACAGGCACCCCCAAACTCGGCCTTCCAGATGTTTTGGGACTACAACTCCCATCAACCCTAGCTAGCAGGACCAGTGGACAGGGATGATGGGAGTTGTAGTCCCAAAACATCTGGAAGGCTGAGTTTGGGGATGCCTGATCTAGGATCTATCTGAATGCCAGCACACATCCTCTAAAACTCACAATTTTGTACTACAGCGCCTAGACCTATACAAATATTCCACTACTGCAATCCTGCATATAGTTCAAATCCTGTATCACACACACTATAGACTAAAAGTAATTTAGTCTATAATAGGCAGAATAACACGAAAGGATGGCAAGTAGGGAGCTGTTCAGCTACCACCACCAGCTGCTATAAAACCCTCTCCAGTCCCTTTTTGATTTATTGACACTCCTTCAACATGTACAAACAAATTAGACTACATCCAAAATCATATACGTGTGGAGGTTAAGATCTACACCAGCTACCTCTTTGATTCTTATTAAAAGACAATATGGACATGTAAATTGGTTTTGGGGGTTTTTTGTTTGTTTTGGTTTGTGGTTTGTATTTTTTTGCTGTTTTATGCTCTGGACACAACCTCTGGCAGAGGTTGCTAAGCTTTTGGGGCCAACAGGCACAGATGGAATTTTGGGAGACAGATATCCAGGGAATTGTTCTGCAGTAGTTCCAGTTTTATCTCTAGTGACAGTTCCAAAAGGTAGCATTTGATGAATGTCAAGACTTCCTACCATGAATAGTATTGAACTAAGTTTTGAACTAAGTATTGAACTGTTGAACTAAGACCAAATACAGAACTTTCACCCACAAGACCTTTAAAATTATAATTAAAAGAAATGATTAGAGTGGGATGCCAAAGTGTATCAGCAGTAGAGCACTTCAGTAACTGTAAACTTACAGTCTCTATCCACCCTTTAAATGCACTGGCCCTTGCTTGAGCATTATATTGCTGGTCCTGACTTGGGAACACAGTAGAAAGCTATTTAGATTGTCCCCAGTTGACTTAAGAGAACTAATGTAGAAATTACAGAAATATTTCAAAATAGTGGGACTGCACTGTAACAGCAGAAGTCCTCACTCAATAATTATTTGCAAAATTGCATCACAGTCATAATATGCCAGTAATTAGCAATTTGGATTGGAAGCATTGGTTAATTATCAATTACTCTTGAATCTTGGCTTCTTAGACTGCTGCTGACAATCACCAGAGAAAAAGGCAGCAGAAGTTAAAAACTATAGCTAACTTTTCTTTTCACATTGCTTCAATTGTGATATCCTGTATCTAGCCTGATGGAGGAATCCCCAACAGTAAGGAGGAGATGTGCAGCATAAAATAGTTCTGCAAGCTATGAGAAGATTGGAATATGTAATTTTCACATTTTTCAATGTATATGTTGAAATAGAATGTAAATTAAATAAATTTCAAGGCATTCCCTAAAACACCATGCTGAGAATCTTCTAGTATCTCCTACTGATATATCTAATTAATGTGCTCATCTGTTCAGATGTTGTAAGCCAGACATGAGCTTTATAACACTACTTTCATTCTACAGTGTATTTTGAAAGCATCAGCAGAACAATTTTGCTAAAGTGTAGAAAAAGCCCACAGAACAGAAATTGTGTTATTTAATACGATGGTACAAACAGAAGTGAAACTCTTTTGCTATCATGATGTTCAATCTGTTTCAGATTTCAATTTCCATAATTTGCTTTGGCTGCTAAGCAACAAATCAAATATGGTTTGATGTATTTCATATTTGAATGCATTATTCCCCCTGCTGCTCTGATGGCTGAAAATACAGTTGCAGAAGACTTGCTTTCAGAGGAACACTATTCAAAGAAATATAGATTTCAATAGGGGTATTAATCATCTGAAAAAATACAAGAATCCACAGAAAGTAAGACTCCCTTAGAAGAGTGTTCTCAATCCATCATCATTTCTCCTTCATACAACATGAAAGGGCTTTGGTTCTTACCTTAGTCTATGGGAGAGCATCTCTAAAATTAAAAAAATGGAAACCATGGGAAAACAGTTTAACTCATATTGATCTATTGCTAGAACTCCTTTTTTAGTACTCAAGGTCTTGTCTCTCAAGTTTCCATTTGCCAACTTCAGTACCCTTAATAAATAAATCACAGTATCAATAAGGCACACCTTGCTAAGACCTTCACTTTAAAAGACTGCACACAAGTTACTCCCGGTGTTTAAAAAAACTGCACACAAGGCAACTGATGTTGAGATGGAAGGCAGCAAGCAGAAGAAGTTGGAAACTTTCAAGAATATCATGATTAGGAAATGGCAGCTTGCACATTACCTCTTCCAGAGATAAATGACAGCTGCCTCAAGCCCATTAATTTTGCATTGTTTGACATTAAAATTAGTAATTATAATCAATATTTCACTGGTAGAAAGGAAATGGGATGTGCAAGATAAATTATAGATTTACCATTTAATTAAGCAATTTTTCAGACAAAGAAACTGGAATTCTGATCCAAATTATAAGAATTACCACTGCATTATGGGAAAGTATACTATATTCTCTCTATACTGTACTGGAAGATAGGAACGCTCGACCTTGCATTCAGATTCAGTTTACCAGATCACAGCCAATGTGTCTAAGATCAGAAATTATGTTTGTACCATCTATCTTATCTTACCTTTTGCTTTTCAGTTGTCTTCTACCAATAACACTCCAGGGGGTGTTTGATTTTACACTCTCAAAATAGTCTTCTGTGCATAAACAGGTACTGCTTCATTATAGGAAAGCATACACTGCAATCACTTGTGTCTCATCTCTGGCCAGGAAACGGTCACATCTAGAAGTGAAAGGTTAATTTAAAACTATTTAATCTTTGACCTTTCTACAAATGATTGTCAACAAGGATGTAATTGGTGTAAATTATTATGTTAACACCTGTCCACTGGGAACTAGACTGAGACTACAACTGCATTCCACACATTAGAATATACTGGCTTTTTTGGCATTTTTCAGATTAAGAGATGGATGAACATGACTTTCAGTGAATTTTTTATATTTTCCACCTGCTAGATATATAAACAACTACTTTTTTTTACAAGAAAGTTATAATCTCAATGCTACCATCTACAATGTTGGAGGATTAAATACGAAGGAGGGAAGGAGACAAAAACATCATGGGACGACAGTCTCCATAGTTGTTGAGGAGCACACAGAGTATTAAGTGGGTCAGGTTTGCTGCACAAAATTTACAATTACTGTACATCAAATAGCTGCAGGGGTCCAAAATAACCCCACCGGCTTTGGGGGGGGGGATACATTTTGAGTGTATTTCAAGGATTTGTATCTTCCAAAGCAAAAAGTCCTAATCCTTAAAATTATTATCTTTGGGGAGAATACAAATCAAATGATATCTATATACAAAATTCATTACATGTGAAGCCACATGTAAGTAATGAAGAATCTTATTGACACCTGCCCCTTGCTTAAGAGATCCCTCACTCCATCTGTTTTAATCATCTCAAAATAGGACATCTCAAGTCCACTTAATCTTTGGTTATTTGGATTGGATTTAATTCATCCTGTTTGACATATGGGATTTATGTTACTCTTATGCTGTGATCTTATTTTATGATTACATCGGGCTTTTTAAAAAGAGGTGATGTGTGCTGTGGTGTCTTTAATGCACCAAGTAAACCTAAGTCTCATGCATGGGATAAAAATGATAGGCAGCAAAACTGATAATGTGACAAGAAGGGTGGGATAGGAATATCAGATTATAGAGCACAAATGAAAATGAGATCCAGTAAAGCAAGAAAAAGACTCAAATTGAAGTTGGTTAGAGAATACCTAGCAGACATGTTCATCCACTGGTTTCTGAGTGTTGACATGTTTAATGTTCAATTCGTGTCTAGGCAGAAAGGCACTGCTGGCACATGATAACACGTATCACACAGAAAATAGGCAAATTAATGAGTCCCTGATGGTACTGCCAATTATGTTGCCCCATGATAGCATCACTTGAGCAAATATGAGGACAAGGCTAATATTGAATCAGTTGAAAGGGCTAGCTCCTGAATTTGTGTTTATTGGTAAGTAGTTGCTTCAGATGGTAATGACGGGCAAAGGAAGCTTTCTACCCAATATTTGAAAAGAAAAGCTCACATTCCAAGACAGGCTGCTGATCCTTAACGGTGCGCTGGAGATAGGATATAGCTGGGAGCTGTAGGTGACAACTACTGATGTTCAATAGTTGTGATAGCAGAAGCCACCAGTGCAATGAATCCTGTTAGCACAATGGGGCTTCCCCTCACTCCCAGTTGGCTCCGAGGAGGTTGAGAGAACTGCTAGAACAGCTCACTGGAGGAGAATGGAGATAGTGCCATTAGTGCAAGTATTTATGCTTGCCTGATGGAGGAATCTCCTTAGTACTATTTTGAATTCCACCCTTTCTCGGTTCAGTTGACTCATTAGACTGACACAGCCAAATAGGTATCCATTTCTAAATTTGCTTAACTACAGTGGTACCTCAGTTTAAGAACAGCCCTGTTTACGAATGATTTGGTTTATGAACTCTGCAAAACCAGAACTCGTGTCCCGGTTTGCAAACTTTACCTTGGTCTAAGAACGGAATCCAAACGGTGGAAGGGCATCGGCGGCAGGAGGCCTCATGAGGGAAAGCGCGCCTTGGTTTAAGAACGGTTTCAGTTTAAGAACGGACTTCCAGAATGGATTAAGTTCGTAAACCGAGTTACTGTAGTTTTTGAAATCATTTATGTAGATCCTGTAGATGTTTGTGCCTATTATTGAAAATGCAGTTATGTCTTAACTTGGCTGTAAACCTTCAGGCAATGACAGAAGTCAATTAGAAATTCCACCTTATTCCAGAAGCTATATCTATTACATAGCTATATTATAGTGATCAGAAAATTTAATGGTTATGTACTGGTTGATGGTGGAGTGAAAGGCCTGGAAATATTACTAAAGGACCTCCTTCCTTGGAGTGAGTTGCTTCCCTGCCTCCTTTGGCAGAAAAGGTAAAATATAAATTTAGGAAGTAAATAAATAAAGGTATGATGCCATTGACCAAGTAGATAGTTCAGTTGGTTAGAGTGTGGTACTGATAACACCAATGTTGCTGGTTCAATCCCTGTGTAGGACAGCTGCATATTCCTGCATTTCAGGGGATTGGACTAGATGATTCTCAGGGTCTCTTCCAACTCTATGATGTTATGACTGGAGTATCTCGGATACAGTAGACACATGCAGACAGGAGTTGAGAGTATTGCTCCAACTCAGTCAAAAATATGGGGCGCTACTATGCATATGCCAATTTTACAACAGTGACATTCATCTCCTTGAAACTGGAGTGTTAAAGATTGTATTCTCTCAAGCATACTTATGTGGTGGTGAGTTTTTTCAAAATGCACAAATTTGCTTGGAATCAAAATAGCCAAAGTTGATGTCTATCCAGTAAAAATAATTTGTTTTCAAAATGTATATGCCCCTCCCATTAAAACTGTTCTTTTGTATGCAGTTATTATGAAATATTATTTCATTAGACATTATTGCTGTTTGGAATTGCATGTGACAGCAAGAAATCATTGTGCAAATGTAAAATATGTGCTGGAAAACTGCTGATTAAACTAGCATGTTTAAGGAGGTTATTTGATTTATACTACCTGTACACAATCCAGACAATGTATTCCTCTTGTACAAAGACAAGAACATAGCCAGAATAAATATTAAAATACTCAATATGTTCAGGGATTTGGCCAAGACAGTATAAAAAGACTTCTGAGAACCTGACTTGACACAAGTCTGGTATGCTGCTGTGAGAAGGCTCTGGGACGGTAAACTACAAATAAAAATGTACAACAGCCCCACCCAATCAAAAAAGCTACTGGCTTTCCCTGCTTTTTAACTTCTGCACCCTAAAGCAGTGAATAGTGATTTACCCCACAATCTAACCCAACAATGGACAGAATGAAGAACTCCAGCAATGAAACAAAATTATTCCAGAGGAATTCTGGTTAAAGTGCTGGTACAAAATGGAATGCATAATTATGTCAAAAAATTATATACACATAAATCTCCGATCATACCTAAGCCCTAAAATTTCAGTTGATTATTTTACCATATGTATTAAGACTTTGGTTTGGTCGTGGGATATTAATTAGATATGTTAATTAAATGTGCCACACTCAACTGCAAAGTGAATCACCTGACATCACTATGATGTCAAGGGATGCTGTGCCTTGAAGCCCCCACTGCCAGGACTTGGGCTGCTTGAAAGCCCTTTTGCAAACAGCCCTACACTGCTCTACAAACCTCAGAAAACCAGGGATTCAAGGAGCAGTGCAGGGCTGTCTGCAAAAGGGCTTTCAAACAGCGGTGGTTTCCCATTCAGTGAAAACTGCTTCTCCCTCCAGGAGAAAGGTGATGGGCGGTGGGCATGGCTCTTCCAAACTGGTCTGACCAAGGCCAAATAGGAAGGGCTGGGGAGCCATGTCTGACCCATGGCTGGAGGTTCCACGCCCCTGGTATAACATAATGCTATTCTTTAGCAGGTAGTCATTATATAAAACAACTAAAGTTAGTGGTAATGTTTTACATTAATCTAGTATGTTTTCCATTTTTAAAACTTTATAGCAAGCAAGAAGCCTAGAAATGTCTTTCTCATCTGAAGATTCTCATGTTGGAGTTTGACGTGCCAGTATATAATGTCAAACCAACAGGCTGGTCAGATTTAATATACGGGGGAAATGGAATCTATACCCAAGACGTACAAAATGGGGGGGAATGTATAGAAAAGACTGTACACAATGCATAAATGTGATTTAGAAGAATAAATTAACAGGCACTGCACTCTTATTACCTACAGCTTGTCACAAACAAAGCACAGAGATCAGCCTTCCTCAAACCATTCTATCAGGTTTTCATCATCTTGCCCCACTTTTCTTCCAAAATTTTATCCCAGTGCATTTCACTCCACTGTATAAAACAAATTGCAATGAGATGTCTATTTCTTTCCATGCACATTGTGTGCTTAAAAGTTCTTCATCCCACTGAATGGGGAGGAAAAAAATTATTGCCAAATATAATTGGTGTGTGTGTGTGTGTGTAATATTTGTGTACATATTCCAGAATGGATTCCTTGAAATCCAGTGATTTCAATGGGGGCCCTACAAGAGTGACTTAGTTGAGTATTATCTTCTGTGACCAAGTCAAGAACTGGCAACTACATTAGGCATCTAAAAGATAATTAAAGAAGAACCCTTAGGAATGAACACCAACACATGCCAGTCGGTATTCAAATTCAATTTGTTTATTTAAACTACATATATGCTGCAAAGCCCTCCCAGGGCAGCTTAAAAAGAAAATTGGATTCACTTATGTAGGATAATTTAGCTTCATATGGTTAGCAGAAACACTGTGCTTTCAAATGATTTACAGTATTAACCACTTACAATGCTTCTGATCCTCCTTTTACCATTCACCTTCAATCAGTTTATATGCCACATCCTCTATTATCAGCCGCCACTGGACATAACCTTTGGAAGTTTCAAGCTTGTAAAATAATATACTAGATGACAACTAGCATTTTAAAAATCCACACATTTGTTTGTCCAAAGCAAATAACTCTTCCTGAGACAAGAATGGTAACAAGAGTACCTTTTATAACTGAACTGTTCTAAATATTCCTCTTGTATTGACTCATTCTAAATCAGACAAGGCTATCTTCACATATATCTATTTCCCTCAGTTTTATACAAATGCTGGTTATGTTGTTCATAGACTCACTCTGAAAACACACACACATACTGCACCTCACTGATGGTAAAACTAGAAACAGATATTTGAAAGCCTTTACAGCAAATGCATGCTACTGCAGAACAGTGCACTACTGTATTCACACATTTCAACTTAATTATATATCTCATGCCCAGTGCTGCTGGATAAAAGCAATAGAGCCTTCAACAAAATAGTTTTCTGAATGGGGTATCTGACCAATGTTTTCAAAGATACATTCCGAGCATGATATTTTTGAACACTGGTATTCGTAAACAAGAGACCTCTGTATGTGCATTGTTATGTTCAAAATAAATTTGTTACATTATCACCTAAAGCCAGTAGGGTGCTAATATAGATATATATTTGCTGTTGTTATTATTAAGTTGACCATACCTACAATCAGGTTTTTATCATCTATTATAGAATGTCTAGATTTAGCTTTATTTTTACATTTGCTTCACATATGATGGAACATCTGCAGTATAATGATCCAAAGGTAGTATCAGAGAATTTTTTTGCAAATAGGCCCTTGAGAAATGTTTTCTCTTTTTTTAATACACAGTTTGAGACATCTATTTCCAGACAAAGTTTTAAATTTTAAAACCTAATTTACAGGAAGAAACAATTCAATGCAACTGAAGTACATTATGCAAGATCCAATATTGGCAGATCACATTTCAAATTCTTTAAAATAAGAGCATCAAAGACACTTAGTCTCTGCAATTCTCAGACTCTGCAAAAGATTAGAAAAAGCCTAGAAATGTAACAAAATATTACTAGGGAGCCTATTTTCATATAAATATTTTATGCTTTATAGATTAAAAAACTTATGAGATACCTCTATCACCTTATTGTCCAGCACTGGCTTTCAAAAGTTCTTATATACATGAATTATTTAAAAGCACTCAAAATAAAATGTCAAATTCAATACCTCATATTTGCACTATTTTTAATTTCAAACTAGTACAAAATTATGCAAAATGCCAGAAATTAGCAGCTAAAAGAGTTGAAGGCAGTTGAAAGAACTGATTTAGATCTATCACTATAAGCTTAGTTTCATTTAAAATTAGGCATTTAGACCATTTTAGATTACTACCATTTTTGCATTGTTATACCCTAAGCACATCTACTTTGCTTGCAGTAGATTTTATACATTTGGGAAGCATGTGTATGCTTTGACTACTATCAGGCAGTTAAGGTCTCTAGCTAGATTTAAGACATATAGGCAAAAAATTATGAAATAGTTATGATCTCTCATAGCACCACCTATTATAACACATCTAGAGAGAAAGAGAGGAAGAGAGGTCCTTTCTTACTTTTACATGTCCAGAAGAAAAGCATTACAACTCTTCATCCCATCCTATAATACTTTCTTGCCCACTTCAGTTATACTGGCTGTATACAGTAGTAATTATTATTATTATTATTATTATTATTATTGCTACCCATCTGATTGGGTTGCCCCACCCATTCTGGGAGGCTTCCAGCAAATTATAAAACCACAGTAAAACATCACACATTAAAAACTTCCCTAATATTTTACTGCACTTTATAGCAGCAGTCTGGCAAATATGAAGAACAATATTCATATTATATGATCTAAAGAACATGAGGCTGCCACCTTGCTGAAGCTAAGGCAAAGGCCATAGCTCAGTAGTACAGCATTTGCTTTGTATGCAGGATTTCCCAGGTTCAATCCCCACCCTTTCCAGGTAGGACTGGTAGAACCCTGCCTGAAATCCTGGAGAGCGGCAGTGAGTCATTGGAGAGGATTGCTACTGATCTAGATGGATCAATGGTTTGACTCAATATAAGGCAGTTTCCTATGTTCCTAAACTGAACAGGTCTAATGTCTGGTCAGTGCCAGGATGGATGATCACTTGGAAATCACATACAGGATGGAAGAAAAGCATGATATAAATGTAAGAAGATAATGAATAAAATAAGCAATGTGCTGAACAGCAGCTATGTTGGGGCTAAAGCCAGAGTAAAACAGCCCCCAAATTTGGATAGAAACACAATAATAAAATAAATAAATTAAAAGGGTATTTCCCAGTCCCCTCCTCCATTTTTCACTGAAACCTTATTACACTAGATCACAGGCTTTTGCTCTCTCTTAATTAGCCGAGAATAAATACCATCTGCTGGTTTGGTATTCAGAACCACTAATGCAGATTAAGATTCCTACTTCACTCTCAAAGGTAAGGTGGGGGGGGCGAGAAGGGGCCCTCATACTTCTAACCACTCCTTAGTCAAAATGTGGGTTGATGGGTCAGGAAAAAGGAAGTAACAAGTTTGCATCTTACGAGACAGAAGTTGGAAATTGGACAGATGGGGTGGGATGAGTTAGGAAACGGGGGGGGCGGCGGATTTTTTTTAAAGGCTGTTCTTTTATTTTAGAATAATAGGTACGTACACAGGAGTGCAAATAGCTCAAATAGAGGGGCGGTGAGTAACCAACCTCACGATCAGTCCCTTTTGAGGAGGATTCCCGAAGCAGAATCGCCTCGCCCCCCCCTTTTCTTTCAGAGACCACAACTCCAATCTCTCATGGGGGGGGGGCGAGGAGAGCAAGGCGACCGGAAGCTCCTGCATACCCCAACATGGGGAAGGGAGGGGAAAGGGAGAAGAGGCTGCAAGACCCTGACCCACTCGCCTGCGTCTCCCCTCCGTAAGCCGCGCAGAGGCGGCTGCAAGCAGGACAAGGTGGGAGGCTCCCTCCCTTCTCCGGGTTGCAATCGGTGAGGTGAAGTCTCTCCCTCCAGTCTGGAAAACCGGGGAAGGTGGGGGTCGGAGAGAGAAGCGGCGACGGCGGGAATGAGGAGGGGGGAAATGGGGGGGAGCACTGCGGTGAATGCGGGGCCGCAGCAGGGCACTCACCGTCTCTCTCTGCCCGTTCTCACAGCAATAGCCAGCAGCACCGTCCTTCTCTTCACATCTTCACACAGCCGCCGCCGCTGCTCAGCCCCTCCCCTGTCTGTTGGGCTCGTGCCAACCGGGTCCGTTTGGGTTTGAAGTTCGAACTCTCAATAGCCGCCCCCCTCGCGGACAGGCGCTCGTGAGAATTCGGGGGGGGGGGAGAGAAGGAGGCAGTGATGATCCGTGAGAGAGAGTGGGGGCGGGGGGGAGAGAAGGGGCCGGTAGAGAGAAACTGCGAAGGAGAGAAAACGCGGAGCTTCCCCCGCACAAAGCTTCACAATAGACACGCAGCGGCGCGCGCGTGTGTGTATGTGTGTGTGTGTCGAAGGCGGGGCTTCTCCGCCGGCTCCAGCACTCTCTCCTGGAACGGGGGTGGAGGATGGTAAAGAGGTGGGGGGAGGTGGAGGTGTTGTTTACGCAACCACCTGACTGGCGTCCTCGACAGATCCCTTGACACACATTGGAAAGGGAGTCGGGAGACACCACCATCATCCGGCTCCCCTGCCTCGCCACCCCCCAGCACGATGTCGGGTGGTACAGGCTACTTTTGTTCTCTTGAGGGGGGGAGGATGATGGAGGAGGCACCAGAATTATTGCGGCGTTTACTCAAGCCGGCTTGTCGCAGCCAATCAGAACGAAGGGAGGCGGAGCTGGAGGCTGTCCCGACGCACTTATATACGAATTCTTTCCAGCATTTAGCCCTGCTTATTCGAGAAAAATATTTTTCATGGCCCAGGGTCATCCTATATATTTTGTGTCCGCCTCCATTTTCCTTTTGAGACGTGTTTGACTGGAAGCGAAAAGCGCTGAGGAGCCAGTACTTGATAGCGCAGGCTCTGGAACATTTATCACTGAAGTTTTCTTAAAGCTTATGGGACGTCTCTAGTCTAGGATGCACAAAGGAAGTGAGGCTGCAGTCCTGTTACACTCAGGAGCCAACCTTATCCAGCACACCTGACGGATTTCAGAGTAAACATAAATAGGATTGGATTGCAGTGTGCGGATGTTTATCGAAAGACAGTCTTACTAAATTCATAAGGCTGCAAGTGAACTAAGCACACTTACGTAAAAAGTAAATTATGGAAATTAATGGGACCTGCTTCTGAATAAGCATGCGTGGGATTAGGCTATAATACACCTAAAATGCACGATTCAGAAATAAGCCTCATTGAGTTCCGTGGAATCTACCTGCAGGTGAGTAGAGGATTGCAGCCTGCCGCCTACCGCCTTAACCTGGGACTAACCCAGGGCCAAGAGCCCTACTTACCGGGGAAATAAGAATTGGTCTTCTGAGTAACTGTGGTTATGATTGCGCTGCATTTCAGTGGCGTTTACTTAAAAGTAAACATGCATATAGAGCTTGTCGTTTGCTTTAAAACACCCTACTTGTTAATGTAATGTGAAATCAAGTGCTTTGCAGGCTACAGGATAATAAAAGAAATGACACCGCATGGTTGTCGGTATGCAGTGGTTCCTCCTGAGTGCCGCAGGAATGAGCCAATGCATTGCTTGATACGTAGTTTGTCCTCGTAATGGACATGTAGCCTTTTAAACAACTTGCATGGCTCTTGGCAGCGCAATCCTATGCGCCATTTCTAGGGAGCAAGTCCCACTGATTTCAATAGGATTTCTACTCAGAAGTAAGTCCAATTCAGTGGGGGCTTACTTCTTGGTAGGTGGTGGAGTTGCAACCTAGGGCTTCGTGAATGTTAAATCATATTACTTCGTATTTATCTGCTCTTCTGGGGCTACTTGAGAAAACAAGCTTTGTTTACTGGTGGTGGGAAATACAACATTTAAGTGTTAAGTGTCACAGAATATTTGTGGAAGGGGAAACGATGGGGCACTGCGTCTCTTCAGCCATTTTATGGCAGGCCATAACATTCCTTCTCACATACTTGCAGCTGCCGCACCTCTGCTTATTTACTCGGAAGTCCTCCTGAAGCGTCCTCCCAAATACATGTGCATCAGGGAGCCGCTTTATACAGCCCAGTTCAGCGACTAAAAAGCTTTCATGTTTGGCTCTGGGTCGGCATGTCGGTTGCATGCTGGGATTTGTATACTTGCTGGAAGTCCTACGCCATGTAATCTTAAAACCAATCTTGGAATGAATGATACCTATGGCGAAGACTTCTTGACGGATGCTTTTAAAATTAGAGCAATTTTCTAAAAGCAATTTTGCGATTTAAAACTGGGTAAAGTCGCGGAGCGAGCGCGTTATTCCCGACAGGGAAAGGGAGCTGCTTTGTACAGCTGCCAGGACCCGCCGGGTGCTCCTCGTGGCTCCTCCCTCCTGCCGATGGTCCACTTCCGTTCTGCTAAGATGTCGGCCGCCATAGCAGCGCTCGCTTCGTACGGCGTCTCGGACTCCGATTCCGACTCGGAGGCGGAGGGCAGGCCCGGCCACTCGGCGGCTCCCGTCGCCGACGAGGATGCGGTGCTGCACCTCGCCTCGTCTGCCCCGGCTCAGCAAGCGCTGCTGCCCGTCGTAGACTCGGCCCCGGCGGTGGCTGTCAAGGTAGGAGCTGCTCCGGAGTCGCCCGCCTGGGGCCCCGGGGCGGGTGGGGGGAAGGAAGCGCGGCCTCCTCGCCCGTACGTGGTCTGAGGAGGTCGCCCAGAAACGGCGGCTGCGGTGCTGGCACTCGCTCTCCCTCTCTCGCCCCGAGGTGAGTCCTTTCATCCTGCTCCGAGCCTGGCAGCTTCTCCCCGGGGTAACCTACGCCGCGAAGGTTTCTCATTGGCGCACGAGGGTTGGCGCCAGTTTTTCTAGAAGAATTCCTCTGACTTCTATGCAGGACGGGCAGAAAGTCAACAGGGAGAGCTTTCTCGCCGTGGAGGAAGAGTGCTGGCAGACGAGTTCTCGCCTCTTGGAAGCCTGCCTGTTCCTTTAAACTTTAAAGCTTAAGGCGGAGAGGGGACGTGGGGTTTACAAACTTAAGGCTCAAAAATACTTGGGTGTTTTGACTGAGAGAGGGTAAGGTGGCCTATTTGATATTCCTTAACGGGAAAGGGATCTCTAAAAGGTAGTGTGTCATATTTTTGCACTGCTGCATCTTGGTGTGACCCATATTTCAAACTTTTGCTATGAATAAACTTTGTTTATAAACTTTGTTTATGGGTTTCCCTTGCCCCTACTCAGAGTCTGAGTGGGGAAACCACCATTGCCCAGTTAGGCACCTTGCAGTGGAGGGGCTTGAAAAGAAAACATCACTTGTCTTTTCTGTTGATTGGATCCCAGTCTAATTTTTGCTCTGCTCGATTTTAAGGAACTAAGCTCATACCATTGATACTTTGGTTATGCTAGGCTCTAATGCTAGGTGTGATTCCACTCCCTTTATACATAAGGGGAGCTTACCTGCTTCATTCTGTACAGCAGAGATGGCTGACCTGTGACCCTGCAGGTGTTGCTCAGCTCCAGCTCCCAACATCCCTGACTAGTTGCTGTGCTGGCTGGTGCCAATAGAAGCTGGAGTCCAGCTACATCTGGATGGCAGAAGGTGAGACAGCCCTGTTGCCCAATATTCTTCACATCTGGCTAGGATCCATTTAGGCTGAGTTTATTAATGCTTTCTCATGTATGTGAAACTTTAAGCTTATTCTGTTGTAGTAGAACAGGCTAGACGTCTATAAATTGCTTCCTCCTGTTTCCACTTTAATCATCTATACTTCACAGTAACCTCCAATTCCGTGAGATTAAAGACCATTAAAACAACAATAACCCTATGATGATTGCAATAGCTCTTGTTTGTGTTCCCCAGCAATTGATATTCAGAGGCAGAGTGCTTCTTATCCATGAGGTAGTATATAGACATCATATTGGCAGTTTGCTTTCAATTCCTTTTGTAATGATCCTTAATATGGAAACAAAATTAAAAAAAATCTTCCAGTAGCACCTTAGAGACCAACTAAGTTTGTTATTGGTATGAGCTTTCGTGTGCATGCACACTTCTTCAGATACCTTAATATGGAATTTGTCTTTTCTTAGCTGCCACACACTGGGTCTTCATTTTCTCTGTACTACTCATCGCAATTCCAAAGTTCTCCTGAGAATTGAAATGCTAGTAGAGGGTGGACCAGGACTGGACATGAAATAAAACTGAGTGTGGTTATTAGGCTGGGCTGTTAAGATCTGGTCTCTTCTTCATTCTCTCACCTCCCCAACAGATGTGCTTTTCTTGTCTGTCTTAATTAATGGCAGGTCTTAAGCAATGCTGCTGGTTGAACTAGCAGATCAGGAGAGAAGCAAAAGACTCAACCTTTTCCTTTCTTCTCTCCCTCTGCCATAGCTGCATCGTTCTTCCAAAGTTCAGCATTCAACCACTTGAGAGAAGGAAGTTAGTTGGCAGTCTTCCCAGAAGCAGTTTTGGAGAACGAGTTGCCCAAGCCCTTATACATTGTCCAGTATCCATCTGCATAACCCTTTCCATCTCTTTGTCATGCCAGTGTGTGTCTAAAGCAGATGGAACTCTTACATCTATGGCAATATAATTATTCATGAAATCATGTAGCTGTTGTTAGGTTGTGGGAGTGAGGACTCCTTTTAGTCTTCCTGCTCTTGCTTATCTCAGCCCTTTCTTTTACCCCCACTGTAGTCTACTAACTGCTCCAACATCTTTTGTCTAGGTAAAATCCTGTAAAGTTTCCTTTGGTGCTAGTTTTGAACAGTGTTCAGCAATTTGGTGGTGGTTGTTTCCTACACAGTCATAATAATTTATCTTGTAAGCATCAGTTATAAATTTTCACTGCCAAAAGGCAGCGAACAGCCAAGAAATGTACATAAGTAGTTCAATCCTGTGTCCAACAGGAAAGGTACATACGTTTTAGGAAGTAGATAACTCTTGGGTTTAAATTGCTTAACACTAATGTTTGCTTCCGATTCTGAAACTTGCATAGAGGCAGAAGTCTGATTTGCAATTGTTAATTCATAGTAAGGAAGATTTATTATGAGCAGTGTTGCAGTTGTTTAGGTTGTATGATTCTAATTAAGTAATGCAAGTTTTTTAAAGCTTTTTTAGTGTACTTCATCATCGTAATAGAGAATACTTTCCCATTTTAAGATTGTTATACTGTATTCATGATACTAATCAGAGAGCAATTTGGAATAATTCTTTTTGTTGCAGTGCATTGAATAAGATCCCACATAGTAGCTATGGATATTTTTCAGTTAAAGTTTACTTAGATACACTGAAATTTATTCAATTTACTTAAGTTTGATTAATTTCAATAGATCTACTTTTAGAAAAACTGAGTTGACTGTCACCCTGTTTTTCTCAAGAATGGCCCTATTTGCACATCTTGGGAAGAGCATTGTTTAGCTTCATGTGTGGCTTGCTTGGAGTGAAACAAACCATAACTCCTAGTTTGGCTACAACACTAAGCCACATGTCATTGTTGCTTTCACTTGTGCTACCAGAAGGATAAATCGGGAGCTTCCTGCACATTTACACTTAAGCATTAGCTATCGTTTGCTGTGACATGTGAATGTAGTCATTACATCTGTTTTGTTTGGTTGTCCTGTTTGCTTATATATATGTGTGCGTATATTGCTATATAGATACATTGTGTGTGTGTGTGTGTGTGTGTGTGTGCGCGTGCGCTAACACACACACAGAAAATCCCTCCTAGAATTGTAGCTGTCCATGGGCAGGACCTGGTGTTTATGTAGAAATAATATGTTTGGTAGACTTTTCCAAACTCTGGCATTGTTTGCAAAAGTAGATTAAAATAAATTCTGAGGCTGTGTTATTCTACACATTATTTTAATGTTAATACGTTTAAAAGTTTTTATAATACGTTTTTCAAATTCTTACTGACTTTCTATACAGCCATTGTAGTATCCATGAAAAATTCACTGACTTGAAATGTGTTGAACTTAGAAAACATTTCCAATGTACCCCTTTTGTTGCTCCTACTATGCTATTACATGCTGCATCAGGTGTTTGACAAGAAGTTGTGGTATAGCATTCCAGAAATTCACTTCTAAATTCCCATATGACCACAGTTACACCATAAATTGAGTGTGATGTTTTATTTCGTTGTTTGATTGTGAGTGTTGCTTATTCTTTGAGGAATTGCATGCATTTTTGTCAGCTTTAATTCAACGGGAGAGTAGGAGTAGGTGTTTTGCCTGCAGGAGGGCCCAGTTCTGAGTCAGTCCAAATTTTCTTCTATGTAATGAGTATTGTGCAGTGCCGATGACATTTTCTTAGCTTTTAAAATGTTCTCCTAGGCCCCAAAACTTTGGGGACCCCTGAAAATAGATAAACTCTTAAGCAAGTAGATGTGTCAAGAGTTCTCTACAATGTACTAAACAATAGCTTTTTTTTTGAAGGCTAAAACCAATACTATATATTTCTTTCTCTGCCATAATTCATTAATAGAATAACATTACGTTGTGTAATATTCTTGGGCAATGGTGGGCAATCTGTGGTCCTCTGCAGGTAGCAAGAAAGCAAAGTTAAGATTGTCACCAGCCCACACTTCCTTTCTCTCTTAAGATTATCACCGCCCACACTGTTCTTTCTCTCTGTGTCTTGAAAATTCAGGAGAGAAAAAAAGGAGGGAGAGAAATAGGGAGGAGTGATGATCATTTTAAGAGAAAAACAGTGTGGGGGTGGTTCTGGCCACACTCTCAGTGGCAGCATACAACCCCACTCCCTGCAAAGAGATTACCTCCAAGAGGGTGCATTTCTTGTAAAGAAAAAAAAAGCTCATTCCTGTTCTAGTGGTTATATCATTAAAAAAAAATGGTTGCTGCACACCTCAGATATGGAGACCAAACAAGAATCAAGCAGCCTGGTTTCAAATGACAGTACTAGTTGCAAAGATGTTGATCTTGCAAAAAAGGAATGCTCAAAAGGGGCAGATACAGTTTTCTGAGTGTAAGGGTCAAGAAGTCATGATTAGACCAATGAGAGTGGCTTATATAAAAAGAGAAATCAAGATAAATTTGGATGTCTGTGATAGGGCTTCCTAAACCTCTTCTCAGATTGAGGAGTGTGGAATCTCTTATTCCTTGGGGCAGCTGGAGGATCTCAGAAAACAATAAAACATCCCCCCTTCTTTCATTTTCCTAATTAACAATTAGAGAAAATGAGTTAAGCATCTTTTGTGATTTGCAGGTTGGGGCTTCTGGGAGAGTGAAAAGAGTATGTGGTCACTCTTTTCGAAGGTGCTGGATGGGTAGAGGAAGAGACACTTTGCATTTATTGTGCTAAATGGTTTGAAATAAAAGTTCAGGCAATAGTAGTTAACATGGGATAGCTCAATTGGTAGAGCATGAGACTCTTAATCTCAGGGTCATGGGTTCAACCCCCACGTTGATAAAAAGGCTTTTGCATTACAGGGGGTTGGACTAGATGACTTTCATCATACCTTCCAATTCTATGGCTCCACTGTATGTTTGCACTAATCTCTGCCAGAAATAGGGATTTGCACTGAAGTACTCTCTTGGCGTTGCAAGCATAGAAGTGGATATATGGGATTCCCTGCTTCCCTTCTTCAGTTGTCTAAACTACAGTGGTGCCTCGCAAGACGAAATTAATCCGTTCCGCGAGAGTCTTCGTCTAGCGGTTTTTTCGTCTTGCGAAGCAACCCTATTAGCGGCTTAACGGATTAGCGCTATTAGCGGTTTAGCGGCTATTAAAGGCTTAAAGGCTTAGGGGATTAGCTGCTAAAAGGCTATTAAAGGCTTAGCAGATTAGATAAAGGGGGGGAAAAGCGAAAAAAAAATCTCAAGACTCGCAAGACATTTTCGTCTTGCGAAGCAAGCCCATAGGGGAATTCGTCCTGCGAAGCAACTCCAAAACGGAAAACCCTTTCGTCTAGCGGTTTTTCCGTCTTGCGAGGCATTCGTCTTGCAGGGCACCACTGTATAATGCAGCCTCATTTTTCCAGTGATAACTTTGTGCTGGGAAAAGGCCGTCCTCTAGTTCATCGCCTGGTGCACAAGTGGCCCTCGTAGGTTCTGTTGTGCTTGTGAATATCTCTTAGCCACCTGCAAAGCTTCTGCATTCTTCTCTTCTCTTCTCCCCTCCCTGCCCATCTTCAGAGGTCTGAAGGGAGCAACATCTGCATTAGAATCGTAGAATCTTAGAGTTTAAAGGGACCCAAGGCTTACCTAGTCCAACCCCCTGCAATGCAGGAATCTCATCTAACGCATCCATGACAGATGGTCATCCAACGTTTCCTTAAAAACCTCCAAAGGAGAAGAGTCCATCATCTCTCATGGGAGTCTGTTCCCCACATTGAAAAGTACTGAACTCTGTGAACTTTTCAAAGCAGATCAGCAGCAAACAAAGCCGAAGGTGGAGAGACTGGGAGGGAAGGTAGGAAAGTACCTCATACTATACTACCCTTCTTCCAAGGATCACAAGGCAGTCTACAATATAAAAACACAAAAATACATAGCATAGTAACAAACATCGCAATGCACAATAACCAAAAAATGCCTTGTTAAATTCCTGGTGATTTCACATAATTTTAATTATGCATAAAGTATTTTAATGTGAGTTGTGCTGGAAAGGAGAAGGGCCTTTCTTATGCTGTCTTCCCTGCCGGATTTGTGTGCAATGAAATCCATGAGGGGCTCTGATGTACCCAGCTAGGGAGACCATTGCATAGCATGGGATCACTATGAAGGGTGGGGCAGAGTAGGACGTCATCTCACAATTTTATGAGCATGAAGAAGAGGAGTTTGGATTTGATATCCCACTTTATAACTACCCCAAGGAGTCTCAAAGTGGCTAACAATCTCCTTTCCCCTTCCTCCCCCACAAAAACACTCTGTGAGGTGAGTGAGAGACTTCAGAGAAGTGTGACTAGCCCAAGGTCACCCAGCAGCTGCATGTAGAGGAGCGGGGAAGCAAACCCTGTTCACCAGATTACGAGTCCACCGCTCTTAACTACTACACCACATGGCGAGATACATATGTTAGAAGGTACTCCTTAGAGTACAAGGACCTGGATCATTTGCATCTTTAGAGGTGACCACCAGCTATTTGGATTAGGATTGAAAGCAAGCGGACAACACCTGGTGTCGGCCAAAAGTTGTGGACTGCAACTGCCATCAGCCGCAGCCAGCATGGCCAATGGTCAGTTATAGTCAGTCAACATCTGGAGAGCACCACATTGGCTGCCTTTGCTGTAGGGAGAAAGACTGCACCATACTGCATTAGCTGCAGCTTCTGAATCATCTTCAAAGGCAGTCCCACGTACCCATTCAGTCATTTTTCTCTTGATTTAAAGCTTGAACAATGCCTTCAAGGTGTTGTGTTTATCTTTGAGAATGGTATGTAATGAAAGAAGACAAATCCAGCAGACAGCGCTTTCTAATTTCACTTTTGTCATATTAATGTTTAATTAAAGAGCTGCAGTATATTCTTCATGTTCCATAAATGCTGGATTATTCTGTCAGCCTGTTTTGACTTTTTCTGGTATGTGTGATTTTTTTTTAAAAAAACCTAATGTTTAGAAATGTGTGGTACAGAAGCAGGAAGAATTTGCAAAGCAAGGAGTTAGATATATGCATGAGACCCCCAAAGATGGCTAAAGAGACTAATCTATAATATGGCAAATTTTTGGAGGTGTTACCCCGTGCATGCTAGCCATACAGTGTTGTAAATAATATATTGAAAGAAATCCACGTTTGTGCTAATTTCCCCTGCTCCTTTTTTAATCTATTGCAAAATGATCACTATTCCACTTGAAATTTTGGAATGTACTCTTCCAAAATCACACATAGTGATGTGACCTACACTTTCCCCCCTTCAAAGCAGTACCAAAGAGGTTGAAACATCATGGTTCTGAACATATTTCAGAGACAGATCCAGATAAACTTGTCTGGATTAGCAGGAAGTCATCTGTGCAAAAAAATAGATTTGCTTGTTGAAAATGGTGAATGCAGGGAGCCTTGTAAGTGAAAGCTGGATTAATACTACTGTGCTTCAATTTCAAAGATCCCAGGTTCAGATAGAATGGTGAATGCATTGTGTGGTTTTGAAGTTAGAAGTTGAGCTAACAGTACAATAGAACTGGAATAGCTATAATTGTCCTTGTGAGAATTGTTCATGTCACAGTCTGTTCTCTTAGTAAAATAATTTTAACAGGAAAGAGGAATGAGATAAAATTATGGATTTGTGACATTTCAGCAAGGAGAGAATTTCATATGTTCCCTTAATTAAATGTGGGGTGCTTTTGATTTCTGAATCTACATTAGTTACTGACAGCTAGAATAGTTGCATAATTGTCTAGTTTCCTTAATAGCAAAAAGTATCCTCACTGTTACTCAAGAATTAATGCATTTCATGTAGTAGAATTTGAGATCCATCAAAATAGATTTTAATATTTTTTTAAAGTATGGTAGCCTCAAACCCATAGCATAGAATTGGAGTGTGTGAACCACACATGTCACATAATTGTACTACTCCATACAATTCTGTTGTGGTGTCTTCTGAAAAAAATAACTGCTGTTAGTGTAACTCTTTCCAGTTAGAGTACGGGGTGCAAAGTGAAGGTTTGTGAATATACCAGGAGCTGTTGCCATTAGAAGCAACTGAATTGGGAAGAGGCTGCTTTGAAAAGAATGAAGTCAGGCAGTGCATCTACACCACCATTGGAGCACACACTGTGGAATGCTGTGTGTACATCATTTTTAATAGGCAAAGTTAGTGAGACACACTTATTGTTTTGGATTGCAAGTCACTGATTAGTTGATGCATTATGCAAAGTAGCTCACTGAACTGGTGTCTTCTATCTTTTGTAACCCTTTTGTTAAAGGACACAGGGAGGGCATATAGCCATACCTCATGTTGCGTTAGGTTCATGTTGCATCTTTTTGGCTTGTGAACGTGACAAACCCGGTAGTGTATACTTCCGGGTTTTGCCCCGCACGTGTGCACAAAAGTGCTCTATCGCACTTACGCAGAAGCGCCGCTTTAATTGTGGACTTTTCGGGGTGCGAATGGCACCCCGGAACGGATCATGTCTGCAACTAGACGTACTACTGTACTTTGGACTGTAGCTTTTTTTAACTGGCAATAGTAGTAAATTGAGGAATATAGGTACTTTATAATATGCCTACTTTATTTACTGAAATATTTATAAGCCACATTTTCATATAAGATATCACAAGGCAGTATACAACCTTAAAACATAGCATTATAGTAAAAGCAATGGTTGGCAATAGGGCTGGGCAACATCGTAGTGTATCGCCAGCCAAACATCGCAGTTGGGCAGTATACTGCAATGTTGATAAAACAAGATGCATTGGCCTCTGCCCGCAAGACAGTGCTAGCAGTGCCGCTGGAGGAAGGAACTGCTAGAAGACGTTGCTAGCAGAGAGACTCAGGAGCAGTGATTACTGCTGCTGAACCTCTGTCAACAGGGCAGGGTCTGCCACACTAAAGACTCAGCCCCTAGTAGGTTATTCAGATTGTTTCAAACAGAAGCTGTCCCTAATCTTGCTATTCTCAACTGTAGAAAAGTCTGGTGCTTAAACCTCTGTACAGCTTGACCATTTGTAAGCAAACTTCTTATGAAGAGTTCTTTGAAAGCCACCAGCTTTAGCAATAATATACAGTGCATGATATTCTATTTTGAAAGACGCATTCTTTCCTCCTATAGAGAGCTACACAAAAAATACTGTCTGTCTTTCCCTGTATCCTGCAATTGGGGAGTGGGAACCTCTGGTCTGTGGGGCCTTTCCATCCAGTCCACAGTTTATCCTTCACCAGCCCTGTTCCATCTGCCTCTGCTTCACAGTAAATCGTTGCAAGCTGCTGCCGTTGCTTCCTGCTGCTGTATTTTTCATGCTGGACTCAGAGAAATATTTTCTTTCTTCTTCTTCGCCTAGCATGGAAGGAAATTGAGCTGCCAGTGGAGAAACAGATCACTCTGTTTGGGTATTAGCAGCCTGCGTTCCTTCTGTGCTGGCCTAAGGGAAATAGAAACCTATAACCCCACCCAGCAACAAGGAAAGATGCATAGAAAGAAAGTACAGTGGTACCTCAGGTTACATATGCTTCAGGTTACATACGCTTCAGGTTACAGACTCCGCTAACCCAGAAATAGTACCTTGGGTTAAGAACTTTGCTTCAGGATGAGAACAGAAATCGTGCTCCGACGGCGCGGCAGCAGCAGGAGGCCCCATTAGCTAAAGTGGTCTTCAGGTTAAGAACAGTTTCAGGTTAAGAATGCACCTCCCGAACGAATTACCGTATTTTTCGCTCTGTAAGACGCACCAGACCATAAGACACACCTAGTTTTTGGAGAAGGAAAACAAGAAAAAAAATATTCTGAATCCCAGAAGCCAGAACAGCAAGAGGGATTGCTGCGCAGTGAAAGCAGCGATCCCTCTTGCTGTTCTGGCTTCTGGGATAGCTGCGCAGCCTGCATTTGCTCCATAAGACACACACACATTTCCCCTTACTTTTTAGGAGGGAAAAAGTGAGTCTTATAGAGCAAAAAATATGGTAAGTACGTAACCCGAGGTACCACTGTAAATGAATTGTGGTTGGGGGTGGATAGAAGGAAAGCCTGTGGTGAGGGTGGGGTGGATGAAAAGAGAGGAAAAAGTATGGCAGAGACAAAGAAAATGGGTGTTTTGCCCATTTCTGCTTACTATTGGTAAGTAGCCCTTCAACCACTGCTCCCCCAAGCCCTTGACCCAGGGGTTGGGAACCCTTTTCAGTCTAAGGACCACATTCCCTTCTGACTGAGGGAGTGGGATCTAACCTGGCCAGTGTCCGAAGGGCCAGATAGGAAGGCCTGTAGTGTCACATTTGGCACCCTGTTCTTAGGTTCCCACCACTGCCTCGACCACATATCCCAAGAGAATGCAGCCTTTGGCTTTAAAAAGGCTCCCCATACCATCTCTATTCCTGAGCAGACACGACACCTAAGCACGTTGTTTTTCCCTTTAATTAACTATGTTGCATTTCAATACCTTAAGCATGGTCTGAAAACATGGCAATATCAAAATGCTCATCTTGTGTTTCTTCTCACTCCGTTGTAAGTATCAAGCCTGATGGCTCTTTCCACTGATGGGCTAGGCCTAGGCTAACCTAATTTTCTCAATTTGTGGTATGTGTTGGTTCACTTCCACATCTGAATTGCACATTTAGTTCTTGGTTTCACAGGTTGAGAAAGATGCTGACAGTGGAAAACAGATTTAGGGGAAATTTACAGGGGCAAAAGCAGGTCCTTTGTGGAAAACTTGAGGCATGTTCAGACTGGAGAAAACAAATGTATGCAGTCCAGAGAGTGACTTTAGTCTTACTCAACTGTGTGCATGCACAGTGGCCTGCAGATTCCTGTGCTTTATGTTTCAAACAGCTTTGGCAACTCGCCTGCATTTTAAAAGCAGGTTGCTATGCAACATGCAGGGACTGCAGTTCAAGGAACTTTACTCCAAAGTGCTGATGGTCATGGGGAAATAGTCATGCAATTCTGTAGACTGTGGGCAAAAAGAATATTGGTCAGCATCAACAAGAGCTCGCAACTAGTCCAGTGACTTTTTGACTACTGCTTTAGTAACATAACCACCTTTGTCACATGGCAAACTGTTCCTCTTTAAATTCTAGCCATTGGTATAGTATAACATATTGTCTAAAACACAATATAAGTGTGCTATGCTGAAGGGAAATAATTCCTTTCAGCGGCAGCCACTATTACCATATGGAGTCCTACACCAGAGGGCACAGGGGTTGCCACTGGGAGGAGGTAGCTTAAAAAAACCCCATGTGCAAGCAGAACATTGCATACCTTGCTGTGGAACCCAATGATTTTGAACTACATGGAGATTTAATGTTTGGGAAAATGTCCTAGTTGATAAAAGCAGTTAAGCAACTGAGTAAACTGTTTTGTGTGATTGTGACATTTCGTTCCTTGGTTACTTTTAATGGGGGGGACAGATTGTATTTGTCATTAATATTTTTTGTTATAGGATTTAACTTCTTGGGGAAATAAGTTGGGGTAGCTGATGCATGGGGCCCCATTTCCATATTATACACTTTGAACTGAATAGCTGAAATTAATAAAGGAGAGTAGCCTGGTAACAAGAAACAGACAAACAGGTATATTGTCACTAATGCTATGGTAACTTTGTGACATGAAAATAGTCAAATTTTCATTTATAAGTTGTGAATATTCATGTGGATCAGTTGCTCATAAATGTAATTGGACTGCATTATTACATGAATTGGAACAAGTATGAGTTGGCTGTGTTGTGGTAGGTTTGGAATTTGTGCAGAACGCAATCCCCTTCATGGCTGATTTTGCATTACAGTGGTACCTTGGTTCTCAAACTTAATCCATTCTGGAAGTCCGTTCCAAAACCAAAGCATTCCAAAACCAAGGTGCGCTTTCCCATAGAAAGTAATGCAGAATGGATTAATCCGTTCCAGACTTTTAAAAACAACCCCTAAAACAGCAATTTAACATGAATGTTACTATCTAACGAGACCATTGATCCATAAAATGAAAGCAAAAAACAATGTACCCCAGTCACACAATCAATCAATCAATCAATCAATAGCTGAACTGGGTTCCACACAGTCACAAAAACAAAACAAAAAAGCACCACAAAAAGGCAAAATAAATAGCAAAAACAGACAGACCTCAGTATAACACTCAAAATGGAAATGTGCAACTCAAATCAGAAGCATAACACTCAAAATGGAAGTGTGGCACTCAAAATGGAGCATGTTCGACTTCCAAAAAAGTTTGCAAACCGGAACATTTACTTCCAGATTTGCAGTGTTTGGGTTCCAAGTTGTTTGAGTACTATGACGTTTGAGAACCAAGGTTCCACTGTAAAAGACTGAAGGGGAGCTGTGGTGAGCTGTATTGTCAGAAAAGGTAAATGGGCATTTCTATATTTGGAAGTATAAGCATTTTCTTAATGTTTTTTTTTCTCCCCCACCCCAAGAAGTTAGTCTCAGCAATTTATCCACAGGATACTTCCTCAGTGTGGGGACAGTACCACATCAGAAGCAAATGTGATTAGCATTTAGTGCTTCAGAGTTAAAAGTAAAAACATGGTATTAATAGTAGTGAATGTTGCCACTTGGTAGAATCAGCTTATTGCCTATGATGTGCTGTCAGAAAATGGTTTTTATTAAAATACGATTGAATTTTCTAGGAAGATGTGGAAACGGGAGTTCACCTTGATCCAACTACAAAGGAAGTTCAGTTCAACCCAACCTATGACACAATGTTTGCACCTGAGGTAAGCAAACTAACTTTTGTTAAAAATATGAGTAAGTTGGAACAATATTGTCTAACTTTCTTCAAGGAATACCCTGTGAACTATTAAATCATTCCTGTTTAAAAAACAGTCCTTTTAAATTAGGAATAATACTAAATTCTACAGGCATTTCTATAAATCTTGATCTGAGGCCAAGCAAACTTGGCTTTCATTTTGTATATGTATACATCAAAATATGTAATGACATTGTATTTAAACTTTTAAATTAAGTACTTGAAATGTGGCATAGGTAGTTTCTTCTCATAATAAAGCCATAATTTGCACACACAAAAGTAAAATTTGCAGGGTAGTAAATAAAAAAAATTAGAAGTCAGATGTCCTTGTGAACATCTTTTTTAAAGTCATCGTTTTTAAATTTCTATAATGAGGCCACTTAAAGTTGCAAATAGGTATGTTCATCAGGCAAAAATCATGGAATTGCACACTCAGAGTTCATTTTCATGTTCGGTTGAAATGCTTAGGATATATCATGTTCAGACCGGGGAATATTAGACGAGTAAAAGAAAACCATGCATTATTCGCTGTTTATAATCTCCTAGCCAGGGGTTATGTTGTTTTTTTCTTTCCCCCCCATTTGTGGAATCACACAGTTGGTGGGTATACTGCATCTAGCCTGCCTCCACCTCTCTCTCTCTCTCTCTCTCTCTCTCTCTCTCTCTCTGATGAATTGTCATATCTGTATACACGAGCGTGCAAGTTATTTCTACTAAATGCTCAGACAATTCATATGTTTCATGATTTGTCAGATAGGAGGGTCACTTGTACCTCTCTGTATCCCAAAGTATCATGTATTCAAATCATGGGTACACTAATCTGGCACCATGTAAGATCTGTGCTTTATTATTTTTGCATGTTGTTTGTTTTTCTGAGTTTGCACAGTTTCAAAAATATACTGTATTTTTCACCCTATAGGACGCACTTTTTCCCCTCCAGAAATGAAGGGGAAATGTGTGTGCGTCCTATGGGCCGAATGCAGGCTTTCGCTGAAGCTTGGAGAGCGAGAGGGGTCCCCTCTCGCTCTCCAGGCTTCAGGAAGCTATCTGCAAGCCCTGGGAGCCCGGTGGGAGTTCCCGCCGGGCTCCCTAGGCTTGCAGAGAGCTGCCTGTTCTGGGGGCTGGGGTCGGGGGAAATAATTTTTCCCCCTTTATTCCCCCCCCCCAAAAAAAACTAGGTGTGCCCTATAGGGCAAAAAATACAGTAATCTGGATCTACCCTTATCTACATTAGCAGTATTTATCATAGCTGCAGCTGAGAATGCAGAAAGCATTGTAGTAAGTTACCCTTTTAAGAAATCTTCACAAATGTTAAAAAGAAATACGCTTTAAATGAGTGTGCATAATAAAATCTACTCCAGTACAGTGGGGGGGGGGGGAGGTTGGAAAATAATATTTACTATATAAAAGCTGTCAAATAAATGAAGTATAAAAACAATTTAATCTTGAAATCAAATATTCCTCATGGAAAAACACCTCTGGGGAAATGCAACCAGTATAAAAATACAATATAGTTAGTTTTAATACATGCAGCTGTCAAAATCTTGAAATTGTTGCTGTCCAAAGCTGTAAGTTATTTGTGTAAGCTTGAGGCAGTTTTCCTAGGTTTAGCCAATCAGTAAGTGTAGTTTCCATTCCCCATGGAAAAGCTCATCTGAAGCAAGGATGTTAATATGTACACTAATTTTCTGTTTATTTATTATTTTATAAAACTTAGTCACAGTTTAGGTTTAAATACCGATTATGAAGTTTCAACCTGTATTAAAAGCATGAGAGTGTATGGGAATGCTTCAATAAATAGAAATGGGTTTGATCCTCTTAACCCTTGAGAAATAGCAAACAATGCATGGAAGGAATCTGATTAGATTTAGCAAATGTGGCGCAACATTACTTTTCTGATGGCTGTGGACTTATTCATTATTTTAGGTTCTCTGTGGGTTATACTACACTTTACAGTAGCTGGTTTATGGGGTGCCAGCAGTTGGACAGGTCAGGCATTGTCCAAGGATCCCAGGGGCTCCAAATGGCTCTCACCTGGCCAGCCTGCTGGACCACACTCCCCACCTAGCCCCCAGAGCCATTTCAGCGATAACAGGCAGCGCTGCCAAGCTCAATTCCCATCCATGGTGCCCACTTGCTCTGTTTAATTACGGAAAACGTGCTAGCCACTCATTTGTTTTGCTGGTCAACTTGTACGCAAAGGCTTTAAAACAGAAAACTAGTAGGATGGATCACAGTGGATGTTGTCATCAGGACAGCCTTCTCCAACCTAGTGTCTTCCACGTGTTTTGGATTACAACTCCCATCATGCATGAGCATTGACCATGCTGCCTGAGGCTGATGGGAGTTGTAGTCCAGCAACATTTGGAGGTCATCAGGTTGGGGAAGACTGGATTAGACTAGAGTTGTTGAGCCCTGGGTTAAAAAGCCCAGCTAGTTGTGCATCTCACTGAGTGACCTTGGGCCAGCCAGTCACTACATCTCATGTTTGTTAAGGATAAAATGGGCAGGAAGAGAATCACTTTTATTCCCCTAAGAGCCTTAGAAGAAGAGCAGGATGAAAATGTTACAAATGCATGGATACACATATGTAAGTAAAGAGTTGCGTGTGAAATGGCCTTTATTTTTAATGCAGTTTGGGCCGGTGAATCCATTTAGGACTCAGCAGATGGCTGCACCTAGGAATATGCTTTCTGGATATACAGAACCAGCACACATTAATGATTTCATGTTTGAACAACAGAGAAGAACATTTGCAACCTATGGTAAGGTGTATTTTTAGATAATCCTCTTGTGATCTTGAATCTGCTACATTTGTCTGTGGTTGACATGGTCTGATAGAGTTCAAAGGTTTTAAATATACTCTTATTAGTTCTAAATGTTAGCTAGTTCAGATAATTAGAAAAGGGATCTGATTAGGAGTGTAATATCGACATGATATGTCCTATACAAGGCCATTGATCTTTGTGCATGGGTCAGTACACAGTCAATAGTCGCTTGACGTCCTTGTCTCCAGTTTGGAGACCTAGAGGTAGCATATGCCATATCCCTGTTTCCACCAGAATTGTCAGAAACTACAAAGCATGCAGCTTTCAGTTAGCCAGGTAGCTTTAACGTCTCAGTCACTCTTTTATTTGCTAATGTTCTTTCCCCCCCAATCTAAATTTTAATTGCATGAACTCTGAGGTGGGAGTTCATTATTTAGCATACAACACAGGCAGAAATGTACTTGAGTCTATAAGATAGCTGAAGCTTCTTTTAATTACTATGTGCTAAATGTATGTTAAAGTATGCCACAACTACTTATTTGTATTTATATTTGCTATATTATAATTTGGATTTCTTTATTTGTATTTGTGGGCTAGAGGGTGGTTTAAGGGCTTTCGCTGGGGAGTGTATTTTTTATTAGCTTGTATACATTAGTATTGTTAATTGTTTTAATTTTTATTCTGTATTTTGTGAACCACCCTGAGACCTACAAGTATAGGGCAGTATCCAGAATTTAAATAATAGTAATAGTAATAATTTCTACCTTCTAATGTAAGTTGAGAGTGCTGTTGAGATTGAACTGCACTTGCTCCAACATATGCATCATGGTGAGATAAGTGTTTTGGTTATTATGTATTTTCCTAAAATAACTAAATAAGTACAGAGCATACTATATCTGCAAGACATGCCTCCAAACTCTTGTCTCTTCAGAAGCTGCTTTGATTCCTAGAACCATTAATGCAGTCCCTTTTCATGCTGGTTCCCCTGGAAACTGCTAGGTTATCCAGGAGTTATGGTTACCCGATCTGTTCCAATTGTGAAATGCTGCTAGAGAAAGTGGAGCAGTGCTGTTGTTAATTCAAGTGGTAGTTAATATCATGAAGAGTATAGTATATTTTCTGAATTTTGTGTGCTATGATTTCGATCCTGACATCCACTAGCAGCTTCTTTGAAAAATGAAGCCTACTTATAAGAGTAACTTGAAGGAAATGTCAACTAGTGAATGGTATTTCACTATTCAATAGCCTTTGAGATTATTTTGTAGATGTCCTCTGTAAGAGGATCAGTGAATAGGAATTTCACAACAATAGTGGTAGTGAACACAAGGGCAGCAATTCTGAGAAGTACATCTAAACATTGTGCAAAAAGATTGAAGTCTAAAAAGATTCCCCGTGTCCATTCCACAAGCCTCGTGTTGCTGCTTTAAGCAATCCTATATGTCAGACAGTCAATTGATTGTGGCAAGTAGAGGGAGGAAGCATCTTCAAGAAACCCCAAAAAAATGGCTACGTAGAAAAAGGAAGACCCTGTCCTTTATTCTTTAGAGAATACTCATTGATGGGGCACATGCTTGCATGCAGAATGTCCCAGGTACAGTTCCCAGCATTTCTAGATAGGGCGAGGAAAGTCATTTGTCTGAAACCCTGAAGAACCACAGCTAGTTAGCGTAGCTAATATTGAGCTCGATAGACAGACTTATTTCTTTATTTCAACAATTTATATGCGGACTAATTACAATAATCTCTAAGTAGTATACAGGTGATTTAGCACAGTATAATGAAGATAAAAATCAGTTAAAACTATAAAATCAGAACAGTTAAAATGTCTGCTGAAATAATAACAATAAAAGTCTTCAGTAGCTGCTGGGCATCCAACCAGGAGGGACCTGTGCAATCTCAGCTGGAAGAATTGAGTCCATAACAGCTTCTGGTGGATCCAGGCTGTGCATCTGAGCCATGAGGATCTGCTGATAGTGACTCCCCAAAGAATTCCGTGATAAGGAACGGATATAATGAATCTGGTGGTCCTTAGGGTATCCTGGACCCAAGCTGTTAAGGGCTTGGTAAATTGATACCAGAACCTTGAACCCAGCCTATGGGCAGCCAGGGAAAGCTTTTAAGCACCAGAGTGGAAGCAATTGTCTGTCCCTATCAATAGTCTAGCCACAGCTTTCTGCACCAGCTGGAGCCTCTGGTCCTGACTCAAACGTAGCCTTAGTCTTGGTATAAGGCAGCCTCCGATGTTCTGAGAGCAATTTCCCATTTTAATTGAGATTTTTCAAATAAACAAAAATTACATAACAACAAACAAGACACATAAGAGGGCAACCATTTCTGAGCAGCATCAGCTTTACAAATAATCCCAAAGCCATTGGAATCTGCTAATCACTAATGCCTATTCCAATATGATGTCTGAAAATGGTTGTAAATGAAAGTAGAATGGATAGCAATCTGTGGATAATTTTTTTATCTCCCACCCGCATATACTGTTTTGGAGAGCTCTCCAAAGATAGCCCTTAATGCACCATTGCAATGTCTATATATAGGGGGATATGTGCATGTTGCCTTGGAATTAAATGTTGGTGTGGTTTCAGTGTACTTTATAAGAAGAAAAATACTTTGCTTTTCTATTGCATCCATGACATGGTGAGCGATTTCTCTCTGTAAAACCACAATAAAATAATTTTCTAAATACCAGGGTGCAGAGAAGGACATATTGTCTGTCTCCAAGAATGCAAGCTTCTTTGCACAGGAATGCACTTCATGCCTAAAATGTTGCTAGCATAAGACAAAGGCACCATTGTTCAGTTACATCAGGCTAATAAAATACGCTAGGATGTTGGCAGTAGGAACTAATAAATCTAATTCATCCAGATACAAGGCTGTCTTCCAGGCTCATCTTAGTGCTCCACCATCACAGTGCTGGTAGCTGGTCATAGTCCTTACGCTAACATTAGGCACTAGAATTTATTTTCAGAGAAGCAAAAAAAGAACAAAGCCTCAATTTTGCCCCAACTCTTGCATTTTGTCTTTAAGTAGGTACATTATGTTTCAACCTAGAAAGAGCATTATAGTATGTTTGACATTATTCACTCATTCAGAACTTATTCTTCACCAGCTAAAATATGGTTATACCCATTATGCTTTGTCAAGGCCGTTGAAGTCCTTCGCTTTTAGGAAGGTAGCCAGTCATTCCATTCAAGATCTTTGCTGTCAGGTTGCAGAGGAGCATTTTATTTTCAGGGGATATATGGAAGGAGAGCGATATCTGGGAATCAGAAGGGAGAGTATTGTTCTTTTTCCATACTCTGACCAGTAATAAAACATTTCTCTACTATCCATAAGCAAGATTCTACCTGCTGCATTATTGAAGCAAGTTTCATGCTGCCAGTGGATTATTCTACCCTGAGCTTGACCTTTGTGTGAATAGACAAACTCTGTGGTTTCATTTGGAAGGGAGCCATTCAGCTGCCTTTTGTCAGCATGCATGCTGGCCAGTGGCACTGCGGATAATTCCATCTTGCAGTGATAGCATTTATAGACCGGATGTCACTGAAACAAATAGTATTTATTAGCAGCCACATGCTTGTGTTGACCACATCACTTTCATTGTGTTTTATGTCAAATAGGAAGGAAGGAAAGGATCCTTCTTGGTCAATCTTGTGTTTTTGGACTGTGCTTTTAGACAACTTGCCATTTGCTTGTAACCTCCCAAAGGCAATTTAATGCTTGTGTCCTTACCACGGCTGAGTCAGTTCTGTTGCCACAGAGAAGGTAGGGAAGAGAAGGCAGCGCAGTCTCACAAATGTCTCCTTCTTTTTAAAGACTAAAACCATACAGTGTTCATCTTTCATTTTATTCTCAGTGACTGGGGAAGGTGAACCGCATGTGGGCCTGTTTATTTGTAATTGGGTTGGGGGGAGTTAAGTCAAAGGTTCTATGCAGAGACCAGTTACATAAAAAGAGGTCTGTTTTTAAAACAGCAGGTTTCTCCTTACAGCTGCATTTGGAAGTCTCTGTCAGAAAAAAAAGATAGGAATCTCTTTCACATTCTCAGCATAAAGTAGGAGTTGTTCAAAGTCCTTTTCATAAGGAAAAGATGCTGAATGAAATGCAGGCAGGCTATAGAGAACACAGCTCCCGCTGAAGATTAAATCTCACCCAGTGGCTCCATTCACGATCACTCGGCTTGAGGGAGCAAACAAATAGTCCCAGAAATGGCATCAATACAGTGAGAGGACAAATAAACTGCTGTATTGATTTTGACATACATCCAAATTGGCATTTCTGCCTTAAATAAGAACTGTGAAGTTGAGTCTAACTGAGAAATTGGCTCGTTGGCCCCACGCAAAGACCTCACTCAGCATAAAACTGGGTTCTATAATGCTTGGCTTATTTATGTGGAATTCTCATCAGAATAGTAAAATCCAGACAATTTTCATTTACAATGGTCATCCTTGCAAATTGTTCATGAAATCCCACCTCACCAGCTAGGTTCTGGCAATTGACCAGACTCTGGGTTGGATTGGAGAGTTGCTACTTTCATTTGGCAAGCAGATTGCACTCTAAAACTATTATTCAGTGTAGGTTTGTTAAGCTGGAAACTTTACTATGTTTATTCAGTTAATTATATTTGTATGCTGCCTTTTGACAGGGTCATTAAGGTTGTTAATATCTGCCACTTTGAGTCAGGGTACTGTAAGCTCAGGGTGTGCAAATCTCTGTTCTTATGAACAAGTTAACATTGTATTTCATTGGTTGTAGCAGATTCAAGAACAGTCTGCTACGTTCAGCTTTGATAAACAGACTGAGAATTTTGTTTAAACAGTTCATTCTTTGCTGAAAGCAAAGTGATCCCGTCTTCTATAGCAGATGATCCATGACTAGTAGCTGTCATATTAATATACTGGCACCTAGTAATAGATACTTTTGGTTGAGGCCTGCCACATCACCCAAGTTATTATTGGCCTACTTTCTGTCTTTATCTGAATTAAGATAGTATTGACTATAAACTATGAAGCTATTCTCATGTATCCACCATGTGAAAGGGTTGCTAGCATGGCAGGCACAGGGGCACGTGTCCCTACAGAGGCCTTCTCTGGCATCCAGAAGGTCCCCTTCCCTTGGTGAAATCAGGTTTGAAAGAAGCACACTTTTGTATTCTGGGTTCAAACAACATGCTAAGCTGAATGATGACTTAGTTCAGTGCAACAGCAAAATGGCCAGGGAGGAGCAAAGCGGTCACAATTGCCTCTCCAGAAAGCTGCATGTCTGTTCCTTTGTGCTAAGCTGTGCTTTGGCTTCACTATGATGGATGTGTCCTCAGGGTAAAGGTCTTCTGAGAGTTGGTAGCTGAAATTGGAGCTCTGCCAATAAAAATATTCCACAAGAGGTGAATCTTAAAATGTTATGGTTTTGTCCTTCCACAGGATATGCTTTGGATCCCTCAATAGATAATTATGAAGTTCCTACTAAATATATTGGTTCTGTTGAAGAAGCTGAAAAGAATCAAGGTAAAGAATATTTGTTATAGCGTCGCCTAATTACAAAGTTCAATCAGTTGTGTGTGTGTGCATTAACAAAATGTTTAAAATAAATTGTTATTAATGGATGAAATAGTAGTTTACTTAAGTAGGGAGGTGCTTTTAAGTGACTGATATTGGACATACAAAGGGACTGCTTCTGGAACATAGCAGAAGTCAGGCATAGTGTGTAAAGAACTTTGTGTATCTCAACTTCTTGACAAAATGCTAACAAGATTTGCATCTTATATGTTTCTTCATTGGAGAGTGCAGAAGGCGGCAATAGGTCAGTTGCCGATGAAGGCACAACTCTCTAGAAAGGCTAATAAAATATAGCGTATCGAGAGCTGATTGGTTTATCATCTTGTGATTTTACAGCTGCCATTCACTTTGCATGCAGTGCTTGTTTCTTGTTTGACAGATCATTTGAAGATGCATGTCCAAGGCCAACAATTGCACACAAAAGCCTCAATTTACCCTAATCTAGTACATTCTTTCTTTTCTGACAACACTGAAATGATTCAAGTGGAATGTGGAAGAATACATTGTCGTTCTTAAAGTGAACCTAGACTTAAACTTCTGCTACTGCCTACAGGTCTGACTGTGTTTGAAACAGGACAAAAGAAAACGGAGAAACGGAAGAAATTCAAAGAGAATGATGCATCTAACATTGATGGCTTCTTGGGACCGTGGGCAAAATATGTTGATGAAAAGGATGTTGCAAAACCTTCAGAAGTGAGCACCCCTTGTTTATTCTTCGAAGTAGAATAGTAGTGGTGATGCTTAGTCTGGGATCCCATGTGTGGTCATAGGGGAGTTCCTCACACCTTGCAGCAGGGTGCCTGGCTTTCCCTTCCAGCTCCATCTGCTTTTATTGCATTGAATGCTGCCCTGAGAGTCCCCTGAGCTTCTGGTAACTCTGAGGATGGGACACGGAGGGCTGAAGTGGGAGGGGTCTTGAAAAGTTCCCGTTGTCAGAATTAGTGTAGGTTTATTTGGGCAATCTTTCTGAAGGCACAGCAAGTGACAGGAGATGCCAGGGCTGCACACCAGTGGTGGGTGGGAGCTGGAGCCAATAGTGGGCCCAAAGCAAGAAGTGGCCAGTGCAGAGTTAACTGTGTCTACCCACCATGTTGGGCTGAATTCTTTTATATTGTACATGTGCATCTCTGCTGTTCCTTCTTGGCCATTTGTGTGCTTTCTATTGCTCCCTTCCATTCAGAAACTGCTTCTTGAAGCAGCAGCAAGGTTGATCTCTTCTCCATTGGGTGCTTGTCCCCCTAGCAACATTTGCCCCCTTCTCTCCCTGTCTCAATATTGGGTGCCTTTCTCAGGAGGCTTTTGTTCTGTGTCAGGATTTTCCTTCTGCCTGACTTAGTTCTTAACGAGAGGAATCTGACACTGCCATAAAGGGAAGCTATTAGGCATGGTGTCGGAGGCTTAGAGACCCAACCATAGAGCTCAGTGGCTAGAGCAGCATCTTTTGAAGTGGGTTTCTAAGTGCCATGCTTTTTGACTCAGTCTCTGAGCTCACACATATGCCCTGACTATCTTCACTGTGGTGGCAGGTGATCAGAGTGATTTCTGCGTGAAGGTATGGTACATGCCACTGTGTCCAGTCCCAGATATAGTAAAACATTGGATTTGTCCATTGATTTTTGTAGGCATTTATCACTTTCATCTCAGTGGTGCTACTTAAAATTAACATCTTGCTGTAAGCCAATACAGCAACTTTGGAGTTGTGTATGGCTGTTGCTGTTTGACTATATAAGCAATGAATTGAATCAGAATTGGGAAACATGTTTAGAATTTATTTTGTGAAAACTTGTTTCTAAACTGAATAGTTTACTGACCTTTTGTTTAACATGCTTTTTCGACCTTCCCCCCCCTAAATAGCATTAAAATTGGAAACTTTAAGTGAATTCAGTGAAAATATTCTAGATTTTGTTGTAAAAACAAGACTGGTAATTTTTAATGTTTGGGCTACTTAGGAAGAACAGAGGGAACTGGATGAAATAACAGCAAAGAGACAAAAGAAAGGCAAACATGAAGATGATAAGCCTGGAGAAGAAAAGACTATTTTGCATGGTAAGTGCTTTCTTTAGCAGCTGATTTGCATTTCCTGCATCTACTTTCAAACACTTGTTTATCAGGAATAATGTATGTTGTCATTTATTTGCTATGTTAGTTCTTCTTGCAGCGTACCATGTAGGAAGAAACGATCTCTTAAAGAAAACATGGTGCCAGAGACACAAGGGGGATTTCAGTAAGGAAGAAACTTAGAAACAGCCTGGTTTTGTTGTTTCTGGTAACACCGGAAAGAATTTCAAGATGTGGTTAAATTTAGCTTGTGGGCAGATTGTATTATTGGGAACACTGTGGAAATGTCATTTGCTTGTATATTCATCTCAAATGTCAGTTCCTTGTATTTTAATTTGGCAGCCTCCTTTTCTTGGCTGTCATTTGTACCACATCAAACTTAATCGTTTGAATCTTTACTTTTGTCAACTTTTAGATCATTACATATTGATCTTGCCTCATTTTTGACGATATAGGAATGTAGGCTTCATTGTTGACTATAAAGGCTTGAAATTGTCATTTTTTATTTTGCTGCTGATGTGGAAGCAATTCATAGGATTATGGAGAAAAGTCTTTTTTGTTCCCCACTTCTACATAATGCATTTTCTTAACCTAATGTTTTGCTCCTCTCTTTGTCACATCTCTCCTGAGATTCACACATGTGGCAGGACTTCATTCACATCTCCTTTTTTATAGAACCCTCTTGCCCATCACCACAAATGCAATGATAATTTGCAAGTTAACTTTGAAATTTGAAGTTACATGCAGTGTTTTAATGTACACTTCACTGCTTGGTGCCTTCGTCAAAGATTGCAAGGGGTGTGCAGAAATTGCAAACAGGATTTCTGAATTGTTTCTCATTGGATTTTCATAAACCAATAAAAAAACCCCTAACATTGCAGATAAATCATTTTTGATGTTTCTTGATACAGAGCTGGGTATTTTAAACATAAATATTATACAGCGTTGGGTATAGCATTTTAGCCTATGGAGATTTAAATTGTTACCTAAGAGGCATGAAAAAGCCAGCTAGAATAAAGTATTTAAGATCATGAATGTGTGTATCTGGTCAGGAGAAGTTAGTTTTTGAGCCGTGTAGTTAGTAGATTATTCATTTTAATCACTGTTGTGTCCTAAAACTGATTTCATCCATGTCATATTTGAGGGAGACTGTAAATCTGCATGTTCTAATTTTGTTTTGTTTATTTTGCAGTCAAAGACATGTATGACTATCAAGGGAGATCCTATCTTCATGTTCCTCAGGATGTTGGGGTTAACCTACGTTCAACAGTACCCCCTGAGAAATGCTACCTTCCTAAGAAACAGATCCATGTATGGTCTGGTCATACAAAGGTAAGAGACAATTAAAATATTAAGTTTTCTTGGTTTCATAATTATGGGCCCAGCATCATTTTTTTTTTCAATTTCAAAAATTGCCCTTGCACAAACATATTTCATGTGCCAGCTTGTATTCATTCAGTACTTGGCGATCCTATATAGGTGGAGACACCTGTGGGTAGATTCAGCTGCCCAGTTCTCTTAGCAGAAGCCAGCACAAGGACTACTAGCACAGCTGAACTTCCCCCCTCTGCCACCTCCAAATCCTCTCTGGTGGGTAGGGAGAACAACCAGAATATGGGGTGAGAAGGAGAAATAGGAGGTTGAATGTCCAAAGTCTTCCAAATGCAGCACTGTATGGTTGCTCAGCCAGTTGCTAAACTTGCCAAATCATTTCCTTTGCCACTAGGTAAGGTTCCTCTGCAGTGGAGGCAGGAGTGGACTCTGCATTATCCCAATTCTCACCCATAGTTTAGACCGGTGTCATTAGGTGCACAATAGTGTTCATTTGCTAATGGTGTGTGAAAACCTTATTACTATATTCGGAACTATGAATATTTAATTTCACACTCTATATAGGCCATCATTCTTTCACCATTAAGCCATGATACAAGCACGCAAATCCCCTGAGATGCAATTCTCTCAGCCAGTTAGTCTCCTAACTAATAATTCCCTATCATGGGTCCCTGTTAGTGAACTAAACTGGCTTTGAGAAATGTGTTTCCTTATTCATACAGAGGTTATTTATATATTTTGCACCGGTAGTCCTCGCTGTACATTTTGTAGAATTACAAGTGTGTTTCTGTGATTTTATGTTGCTAATCTTTGAGACTTTCTTGGGGAGCTTATACAAATTCAGATGCCTACTTGGAGATGGTAGGAATGGAATGGCAGAAATTATTCCTCAAACTTTAGCACATATAGCTGTCATTTAGATGCAATATGCTTAACTTGAATCCATCAGGGCCCCCAAAGCCAAAGACATGGGCAAATCTGCAAAACTTTGATTCAGTTAGATTTGGAGTGCCTGCTTAGTAGCTACTCCCAGGCTTTTTCTATATGTCATATGAAGCTATGGGCCTGAGTCAACTAAGTCGTTGCGCTGGCGGAAGCCAGTGCAATGAGTCCCAATAGTGCAACAGAACTACCCCCAATGTGTGTCCCCTGTTGTTGTTTAGTCGTTTAGTCGTGTCCGACTCCTCGTGACCCCATGGACCAGAGCACACCAGGCACTCCTGTCTTCCACTGCCTCCCGCAGTTTGGTCAAACACATGTTGGTAGCTTTGAGAACACTGTCCAACCACTCGTCCTCTGTCCCCTACTCCTTGTGCCCTCAATCTTTCCCCTGTACCATCCCCAAATTGGGTTGGGAGAACCCCAAGAACCATGCATGGGGTGAGGGTAGGAGGGGGGAATTCCACTGATAAAGCTGTACTCTTAAAAACAACAGCAACAACCAGAGCCTTTTATTCAGTGGTGAGAATAAAAATTGGGTGAGAATAAAAATCAGCATGATTTCAAAACATTGATAATGTTTTGAAAAGGAACCCATTTTCCAAACACACAGTACATGTTTCTTCGTTAAGAGATTTTGGTGGGCACCAGTGCAACTTGTGCTACTTACTCTATTCAGTAGTATCAAGATAGCGACCTGTTGAATCAGCAAACGGAATTGTTGCTGTGCCAACAGCTAAGTTAGTGGCATTGGCAGCCACCCTTTAACAATGAATGTCTCCTATAGGATCAAATATAAACATGTTTGGAAAGAAAAGAAAAATATTTGTAGCTATTTCATAGTTGTTTTTATTTATAAGGGAGTCAGCGCTGTCAGACTGTTTCCTCTTTCTGGCCACTTGCTGTTGTCTTCTTCCATGGACTGTAAAATTAAGGTGAGTACCTTCAGAAAGTACACTTATTGCTGCCTACAGATGGTTAAATTCACATCAAAAGTATTGGGATATGCCTCCCCTTTAACACTCATGTCAAGGCAAATTCAGTTGTTGCCTTTTTGTTACGCTAAAGTAATAGGTCAGGTTCATAATGGAACCTTCTGTTTATCATGAAACAAATACAGTGACTCTTTAATCACTGTAAAGCAACAACAAGACTACAGCAATATATACCAAGCAGGGTGCCGTACAAACTTTTTGTGTGGGGAGGCGAATCTCCTTGGTCAGTGGCTTTAACTTAGCCTGCAGAGGTCAAGTCATATGTTCTGGTAACCTTTACTATTTCTTTCTGTTTCCTTCAATAATGAGGACTTCAAATAGATGTCTGAAATCTGTTCAGCTACTCTGCACTGACACCTTGCTCAAAACAGGCAGCAATTCATCTCTATAAGTGAGGGAAAGAAATGCACACCTGCCTCTCCATAAAGCAGATGCCTTCGTGCATAACAGCCCAGTTTTGTGCTGTTTCTACTTTTAAAAAATTCCTGAAAGGGGGCTGCAAAAAAATGGGCTGTCAGGCATGCAAACCTTTGCATGGAAGATGCACCTCACATGTTACTGTTTGTGTTTGAACTCGAAAGTGGATTGCTACTCAAAGTATGTGGTACAGGCTATGCTTTTCCAAAACTGCTGTTAATTGAGACAGCATGTAGTAGTTCTCTTATGTCCCAGTCCACCACGCTAGCCACTACATTACACTGCTTTTCTCTCTTTAGGGATGCAATATTTATTCAATTTATCTTAATTTCTTTTGATCAGTGGAAAATGTGACCCTGTTTTTTAAAAAGTGTATAAGTGTTCTCTACTGCCTTGCCGGATATTGTCGAGAGAAGAAAGTGCTAAGGAGTAAACCCTACACAAATCAGGAGTGGAGTCCTTAAGATGGTAGGATGGTGCCTTGTACGCCTCCTTCCAGCCACTCCTGCATCCAAGCTGGTGCCAAATGTATTGCTCTGCTTTCCTTTGGACCACATGAGTGAGGCTGAGAGAGGGGTCTCGTCCATCTGGGCAGCCCAGGACCCCCATACACACCACCCAGGGTTACGCCCTGCGAGGTCACCTTGGTGCTGTAAACGCAGCAGTTTGTTTCTCAAGACAGGAGGATGCCAACAATACAATATGTAGTAAGACATGGGGGGGGGGGAGAGGTACACGTGGCAATGCAGCTGCACTTTCCTTCTCCATTGCTGCTGCCACACTTCCCTTGTTTGTTGATACGCAGTTCCAAGAAGTAGCTCTGTGAACATCCTATGAATCAGCAAGTTCTCTTGGTATAACATTTTTCAAATCACACAGTTAATTACATTTTGTACCTGTTTTGTTATATTATGGGAATTACTTTTAAAAAAACCATAGCTTTTCATTCAGCAGGTGTTATAAAGCTTTTTTAACCAAGAAAGAATGTTAACAGTACTGGATTTGAAATAGTGTAAATGTATGTTTTCTTAGGAACACGGGTGGCACTGTGGGTTAAACCACAGAGCCTAGGACTTGCTGATCAGAAGGTTGACGGTTTGAATCCCCGCAATGGGGATGGCTCCTGTTGCTCGGTCCCTGCTCCTGCCAACCTAGCAGTTCAAAAGCACCTCAAAGTGCAAGTAGATAAATAGGTACCACTCCGGCGGGAAGGTAAACGGCGTTTCCATTCGCTGCTCTGGTTCGCCAGAAGCAGCTTAGTCATGCTGGCCACATGACCCGGAAGCTGTACGCCGGCTCCCTCGGCCAATAAAGTGAGATGAGCGCCGCATCCCCAGAGTCGGTCACAACTGGACCTAATGGTCAGGTCCCCTTTACCCTTTACCTATGTTTTTCTTGTTGATTTTGTTTTGTTTTGTTGAATTGCTTCAAGAAATTTTATGGGAAGCAATTCATAAATGAGGCAAAAATAAGATGGGCTTAATTTAAAATAGTAAGTTGTGTGCATTAGCTGTTCTACTTGCATTTTGTGTCTTCCTTAAACCATATTGTAAAATGTATTTTCCACCCACCAGCTCTGGGAAGTATATGGTGAACGAAGATGCTTAAGAACTTTCATTGGTAATATTTTTAATTTTTAAAAAAAATAATAATCAGCTTTTTAATAAATGCTAATTGTGTCAGATTCCAGTTGTGTGCTGCCTTTAGCAATATGTCCAAATATTAATGTGTGCCTCAAGGGAATAATTAGAAGTGATGGATGCTAAGAAAATAATTATTGAGCATGGTAGTTCAAAATTCTCCCTGCGGTACAATTCATTCATGTGTGGTACATAGCTAAACACACGTTTATCCCAAGTAAAGCAATTGGGTGGTACCAGAGGGGAGGGCAAGGGAAGCTCCCACCCCAACAAATAGCTTATCCCCCCCCCCCCGCCCGGATCTTCAGGGCTGCTTGTTTTTAGAATGGGGTCATTAACATGAAATATATGTATTTTTGCTCAGCATCTCTTTCCACTTACATTTTAAAAACTACGGTTCACGTGAAGTAGCTTAAGGACACCCTGATCCTAGTGAGGGGGTGGTGCACAGGTGGATCTGGGCCTCCCTGTGCGCAGCCACTGTTGAATTGAGAACTGCATGCGCAAAAAGGTGCTGTATCCCTAGTTTCCAGTGTTGGATTGAGAACCACAGTCACAGCACTTGAGCCCAAATGGTTTGTGCTCTTAATTAGATAGAATAGCTTGCTTTTAAGGGGAAGCAGGGGCAATGGAGATGGGAGGACTGAATAGAGGGGGAGATAAAAAGTGCATGAGCCATATTGCAAATCACAGACACTGCACGTCCAACAACTGCCCTAGTACCGAAAAGAAAAACATCTGGTACCCTTTCCTACTAATACTATATATATTTGTCCTGCAGGGCACAGTAAAGCTGTTAGAGATATATGCTTTAACAATGCTGGGACTCAGTTTCTCAGTGCTGCATATGATCGGTATCTTAAACTCTGGGACACGGAGACAGGTAGGCGAATGCTTGTTATGTTTCCTCTTCTGATACCTGTATTTTTGTGAATGACAAATACAACTGTTAAAAGTGCAACAGGGTGGCAGGAGCGCAGATCCCTCTACAGCATTATTGTCTTAGAATAGCTTTGCTTTTTGGATGCATTTAAACCGTTCTGGAAAATGGTTGGTTCAAAAGTGAATAAGGGTGTATTTATGAAATAGGATAAGGAAACATAGCTCAGTGATAGAACATCTTGACACTCTGGCATTTTCAGGGCGGGCTAGGAAACACCATTGTCTGAATCCTGGGGAGTTCACTGCCAATCAGGACCACTGTGAACAATCTTGAGTTAGATGAACCAGTGGTTTGAGGGTAACTGCCTATATTTCTGTACTCCAGAAATTACAGTTGTTGGCAAAACCAGGTTTGTTGCTTTGTATTGCATGAAATGGCCATCAATGGATTGGGTTTGGTAATCTGGATTTAAGGCAAATGGCACTCCCTTCAGAAATACAGGTTGAGGCTTATTTTATTATGTGCAAAATTGTCATCCCACCATACAACCCAACAGCTACAACAGAAAACGAAGAAGCTGGGTATGTGAATCTCTTCCTCTTCATTGATCTGTTTCCCCTCCCACCCCCTCTCTAGGACAGTGTATTTCAAGATTCACAAACAGGAAAGTTCCCTACTGTGTCAAATTCAATCCAGATGAAGATAAGCAAAATCTTTTTGTAGCAGGAATGTCAGATAAGAAAATTGTACAGGTAAGTTAGAAAATTCAGAGTATTTGGTAAAGATCATGCAGAAACAATTTGAAGATCAAACCAATTGACTATTTAACCAGAATTCTTTTCGTATTGTTGCAGTAATAATAGGCTATTTCTGTTACAAAATACTTGGTTTTTTAAAATGGATCATTTTCTTCACCATTTTTAAGGAGTTGTTTGGATTTGTCTTGCAGTGGGATATTCGAAGTGGAGAAATTGTTCAGGAATATGATAGGCATTTGGGTGCTGTTAACACCATTGTTTTCGTGGATGAGAATAGAAGATTTGTGAGTACATCTGACGACAAGAGTTTAAGAGTCTGGGAATGGTAAGTAAAAAAACTGTGTCTTGACTTTTTTATTAGAGAGGAAGAAAATATAGTTTGAGTAGTGAATGTATTCTCTTTATACTTTCCCCCTCAATATAGCCATGATGCCCACTGGTTGCAGAACTTTAGACTTCTTTCCTGTGAGTCTACCCCATCCAGAATGTTTAGTAAATTCTCGACTTGGTTTTGCAATTTATGCTGTAGAATCTAAATTTTAGGACCTAGAGTCACAGGTCTCCTCCCCTTCTCTGGAATTAATGATGCTGAGATGTAGCATACAATGACATGGCCTGATTCCTAAACCTTGGTTAGCTTGCATCTCTGTACCAGCCTTGAGATAAAACTTAGGAGGGACCGCAGTTTACTCCACATTTAAAGGGGATGTTGTCAAAGAAACAATGGGCAAATATGGCAAAGAAAGGAGTATGTTTTCCAGTGTTGTGTCAAATCGTGGGTTATTCAAGAAAGGATGCCAAGACACAAACATTTTACTTTCAGGTCAGAGACTGGAGTTATCAGAATGAAGACATACTTTTAGTCAGCTTTCTTTCTTTCTTTCTTTCTTTCTTTCTTTCTTTCTTTCTTTTTAAATGGAACCATTGCAATAAAATTATTTGTTTGGGCTTTGGTTAGTTATTGACTCTGGGGAAAGAGCACCACCTACTGGCTTTACCAGTACCACTTCATAATGCTTAAGGGCCATATGAACATCTACTATAACCATGAGGAATGGGTAGATGAAATACAGAAATCACAGTAAATGCAAATGGAGAAATTCATGGAGGGACAATTACACCTAGTGTCTGTACTACCTCCATTATCCAAAGTGGTATAGCTCTAATAATCAGTTGCTGGGAATCTCAAGTGGAAAAGAGTGCTGTTGCACTGGGCTCCTGCTCTAATCTTTCTTGGGGGGCATTTTGACTTCATTTTAATGATCTCTGAAGTTGAATAATAAACTTCAAAATAACAGAATGTTTGGTATAGTGAGTGAGAGATTGGTTGAGGGCCCTCGCATCCTGTCTACTCAGATTTGCTGTGCCCTTCAGGGTGAGGGTTACTTGTTTTCTTAAACAAAAACAAATAAATGTGTGGTTTATCTAAAATCTGTAGGATTCTTTTAATGATGTGCTGCATAAAAGCTGGACATGAAGTACTGAAGTTATTTGCCATAACAGGCAAATAGGTTTTCCTCCCTTGCATTTTTGCTTCTTAAAGGTGTGAGTGAATCTTCTAAAAAAAGCTTTCCGGTCTTTCTGTTGGCCCAAAGCGCCAGTGGTAGAATTTGATTACTTTGAATTTATATGATCTCATGGTTATATGAACAAAATTAAGCTGCAATTAACCTTCATGAGAGCATTTACACTCCATCTAATTTGTCATTAATGTGATGTATGTAAATATTATGGAGGTTAATGTAGCTGTGTAATGAATGGTTTCTGCATTGTTAAATCTTCAGTGCCACCCACAGACGCTGATGATATTTATATCAGCCATAGCAATTCTCAAGAGTTTCCAAAGACCATTTAGTTAACCAAAACTAAACAGTTAAATGCCTTGAGCAGAATCATGAAGCAAAAGAAAATTCTAGTGGGAAATCTTTTATTCTTTGTACAGTGTAAGTGTGCTGAAGTCCTTTAACTCTCTCCTACTTGAGGCAGATCTTCCCATGTATTTATTTTCAAGTATTTATTTATTTTTTAAAAACAAGAAAATCATGTTGAATGCTGCCTTTTTCTTTCTACAAATCTTGAGATATTACTAGGAACTATTCCTAGTAATGGTGAAGCAGCCGCCAGCAGGATTGAGCCTTGCCCTCCCCCATTAGCCCACGATTCAAGCTTCCCTACCCTAGTCTAGAGCAGGGGTAGGCAACCTAAGGCCCGGGGGCCAGATGCGGCCCAATCGCCTTCTCAGTCCGGCCCCGCGGATGGTCCGGGAATCAGCGTGCTTTTACATGAGTAGAATGTGTACTTCTATTTAAAATGCATCTCTGGGTTGTTTGTGGGGCATAGGAATTCGTTCATTTTGCCCCCCAAAATATAATCCGGCCTACCACATGGTCTGAGGGATGGTGGACCGGCCCACGTTTGAAAAAGGTTGCTGACCCCCTGGTCTAGAGCATTATTCAAAAATAAAGAACTAGAGAGATCTGCAACAAAGTGCTGCTGTGCATACCTAGGAATGTTCCTTTTCAGGGCTCCAGCTAGCATAGAATGAGGAGTCTTGTGACACAGTGTGGGTTTGTGAATGATAGGTAAAGAGACTCCTCCCCAACTCTTCTCTTTCCAGCCCTCCTAAAAACCACCTCCACAGTGTGCATAATGCCAAAGGGCTCAGATTTAAAGCTGTCTGCCTGGCCCAAACCTGAGTCCACTTTGTTGTTTTACACAGGGAGGGGAGCTCTGGAGAATGAGAGAGGAAAATGCTGCTGCCCCACACCAGCTGTCATTTATGACATCTGGTGTAGGGCAGGTGAGTGTGGCTTGGCCAAATGGCAGGCCTAATTAGGCCTGTGGGCGAGGTATCTCCCACTGCTGCCCTACCCCATCCAATGCACTATAAACTGTTAGAAGCTCAAGCCAGCCCATTCCTTCCTCCTCCATTGTTCTTTTGTTTATTTCCAGCTGATACCCTCAACCTTTCGGGGCTCAACTGCTGTTTTGAGGCTAGGGATTTTTCATGAGCAGGTGGTAACATTTTGCTCTAACTGGCAAACTACTGTATGACAGAATGCAGAAACCCCACAACATTGTCCAGGGCAGGGGGCTCATTTCACTTCAAAATGGTTAGGCATTAGACCACCCACTCTCTGCATTGAAGGAGATCCTGATTCCTAAATTTGGAACACAGGGAGAAAGAAAGTAAGTGTATTACACATGGCGTTGTTAGACACTGCAGAATTCAATAGCCAAGTAAACACATTTAGACTGCAGACCTCTAGGCCCCTCTCATCTCTTAATTTTGTTTACTAGGTGTATTTTTGTAGTATTTCATCCATATATTTTGTCTTCTTCCATAGGGACATACCAGTAGATTTCAAATACATAGCAGAACCCAGTATGCACTCAATGCCAGCAGTGACTTTGTCTCCAAATGGTAAGCCAACGTATCTTCTTAGGCCTCTCATAGAATAATTTATTGCTTTAGAATTTAGCTCTTGAGGCTCCATATTTATGGCAGAATACAAATCCATGTTAAGTCCTATTACAACCAAAATAATTCATAATTGCATGTCTCAGATTGTGTGTCTTTGTAGAATGCAAAATTGGGGCTTTCTTTTTTTAAATATACTATGGATATCAGATGTAGAAATCTAAGTGCATGAATTTATTTTAAGAATGACATTTAACATTCATGTTTTTTACTCTTAACAGGGAAGTGGCTGGCTTGTCAATCGATGGACAACCAGATTTTGATTTTTGGAGCTCAAAACAGATTCAGGCTAAATAAAAAGAAAATATTCAAGGGCCATATGGTGGCTGGGTATGCTTGCCAAGTAGATTTTTCACCTGACATGAGGTATGTTTCATTATAGTTCATCTGGCTATTATGGGATATCATTCCCCATTTTGATTTTCAGACTTTTTCCCCATGGTCTGATTTTGGACTCTAAAGTGATTTAAAAGATGTTTTTAAACTGTCAAAGGAGTCCTCATATGTGTATAGTCTGTAACAATGATTCTGGATTAGGGAGGAGGAAGAGTGTCCAGGTTCCTCCATCCAGTAGTCAAGGCTGCACATGTGGTGCCCAATACTAGCAGTGCTGAGCCTATGTTTTGGTACCATTCGTTTTTGACAGAATCTTGGGGGAGGGGAGGAATTGGGGGTTGTCTTCCCCTTCCTTGTCATATGATGGGGGCAGCATGAGGAGAAATTGGTTTAACTATTTTAACCCTTTTGAGCAGCTGATTTGCATGGTGATACTGACCACAGCGGCAACCAGTTGGGCAACTGATGCGCACAGCATCTTGTAAGCAGCCCACTGCTGGGCAGGTAACTTTTGAGGCCATTGTGATTAGTGTAATTCATCGCAAAAACCCTGCAGTAAAAAGTAAGCATGGAAAGCAATTACTATTTCATCTGCTTTCTATGTTAAACCATATTTTGGTGTTTTGACATAACCCTTCAGAATTTGATTTCAATGGATTGAAGCCATTTTTAATTTTTCTTTGAAGCTATGTTATATCAGGTGATGCAGATGGAAAACTGAACATCTGGGACTGGAAGACAACAAAACTATACAGTCGATTGAAAGCCCATGACAAAGTCTGTATAGGTGCAGTATGGCACCCACATGAGACATCCAAGGTAATCACGTGTGGATGGGATGGTCTTATTAAGCTGTGGGACTGAAGGCCATACTGGAGAACTCTAAACTTCTCATCACTTGGTGAACACCTGAGATTTTGGAACACCTATTCTGCAACAAAGATGACCTATTCTGCAACAAAGACATTAGAATATAAAGATGGGTTGCCTCAGGTATTTCAGTATTACAGTGCACATATACCATATGGGGAATTCAGAAGATTTCATCTGAAATGTTTTCAATCTCAAACTATTATAAGCTGAAAGTGACCAAATGAAGTGGTCTAAATGGAATATCCTTTGTAAGATATTTTAAAATTAAATTAAACTGAGGAGATTTGTGTCTAGCTTTGTGTTCATGAAGCTGAAGTATACACTTCATAAGCTTCACTCTATTCTCGAAAGTGCACAATTTGGGAGAAAAAAATGTTTTCATTTCAGCATTGTAAGATGATGCACCTGTTTATAAATACTGTTTGGCAGTACTCTCAAATTTCCAAATGTGTGTGTACAGTATAATAGAAGTTGTTAGAATTGTTTTTGTATTTTAACAGCAGTTGTTGGTCATGTTGAAATACACAAAGATTTTATATGTGCAACACGGTTGTTGTTTCTTTGTGAGGGCAATCCCCTCAAACCCAACAGCCCGGCTTGAAAATATGAAGGAAAGCCTAGTGCAGAGACCCAGATAGGCAGAGGATGTCTATCTGTTGCTATGTTTAGCTCCAAGATGGGTTCCATCAAGTCCTGGATGTTTCTCTTCACCCTTATCCATTTTGTGGAGCAGATGGATATAGCTAATGGGTTAGATCAGAAAAATGCTTACGAAAGGTGATGAGCATGAGGTACATTTAATAGCTCCTCCCCACTACCAAAAGGCCTTTCCTGGATGTTAGGGCATGCTGCTGAGTGTGGTGGGCTGTAGCTAAAGCAGAAGTCACCAAAAATTGGGTGGGGGCACCTTCTTTTTACAGGAGCCCAATATTCAGCAATCCACATCCTTCCTGTCAGCCTCCAACACCACAACCCATGCCATTCACCGAGGGACAGGCTGTTTGTGGTGAGATGGGATAGGAAATACACTTTATGCTCCCTCACCTCCAGGTATTTTTCTCAATCCCATTATATTTGCAGATGCATGGATTTGGATACATGCTAAGAAATTCTTCATTTTTATCATGACTCCTTTTTTATAATTATTATTGACAAGTCAGGTTTCTATTCTTACTCAAATATTTTCTTTTTATAATGAAAAAAAATCCAAAGAATATTATGTATATATGTATATAAGACAGTTAATGAGTAATTCATCAAATGCTGTTTTAGCATAGGCCCCATTCAGCCAGTGGAGCTTGTGCAATTAGTGAATTACTGCCTTTGTGGAGATGCTTCCGAGAGGTATAACTGAAAGCACATTGCAGCTTCATTGCCATTTGACCACCTATGTCTTGTAAAAGGGCACTTTAATATCTATTTTTATTTCATAGAATTATGTGTTTTGTGCTAAACTACTGTACATATGTCTCAATCCTCCTTTTTACAGATCTTATTTTTAATAAATGTTTTATATTAAAAGATGGATACCAGCTTAGTGTAACATCTCTAGCATTGTCTGCAGGTGGCTGCTGCTTCTTCCTTTCTTTCTTTTTACTCTTTATTTGATATTAAAGTTGTAACTGCCTAGTTTTCTGCAGTGCCAGAGTGTAAATTTATCTTTCATTGAATTTATTATATTAAAATATTGTGGGAGAATTTCTTTGTGCTGTACATTTCTACAGTTGAAGGTGTGCAGCATCTTCAGAAATCTAGAACCGCTTCACACATTTCTGGTAACATGGCATTTACAGTGGATGAAGCATGTAAGAATACTACATTATAGCTACGCAACCACTTTTTTATTCTAAATACATGCATCAATAAATTGCTGCTGCCAAATTTGTGTTTCCCATCTACTCACCCACTGCTACATGTGCTTCATCTAAGGGCCTAACTAGGCATGATCTCACACTGTTTTTTAAACTTAAAATCAGCTCTTTGGGGGGTGTTTGTAGTGGAGTCATAGCATGGAGAGAGGAAAGGTCTCACCTTTTTCATTGCTACCATAGTCCCAGTTCCACATGCCTCCTCAAACAGCTGTTTGCCCCATGGGTGTGAAGCATACAGGCCCCTGTGTGCCACTTTGGGAGGATTCAGATAGGGCAATTGCAGGGGGCTTAATTCCCCCAGAAGCCCCAATCTGAATTGCCTTTGGAAAACCTTGGCTGTTGCTGTGTGAATTTACACAACTGTTTTGTAGTTGTGCATGGCTGCTTCTAAAAATGTGGTCATGGACCAAAACTGACACATTTCACACGATGATGGGCAGTTAATAACAGCATATGTTGTAAACCACCATTCTGATAACCTTAGCCCCCGCCCCAGTGAAGAAAGCTTAGTATTTTAAGACAGCTTTTTTTGGGGGGGGGATGCTATTCAGCCATGAAGAAACAATTTATTTGTCACACATTTTGAGTTTTTAATCAGTATGATGATGAAAACATCTCAACAGGCTTGGGCTGGGCAGCAGCCAAGCGCATAGATAAAGTAAACAAAATACTTTATCTTAAAAGAGTTGAAGCTTGAATTTATAGAACAGGCTTCCTCAAACTCGGCCCTCCAGATGTTTTTGGCCTACAACTCCCATGATCCCTAGCTAGCAGGACCAGTGGTCAGGGATGATGGGAATTGTAGTCTCAAAACATCTGGAGGGCCAAGGTTGAGGAAGCCTAATATAGAAGCTATGCCTTCCCACTTTTGTTGGGGAACAAAAATATATATTATATACCATAGCTGCTGTATTTGCACTTTGGATAATTTTTGACAGTGCATCTCTGAACTCACCTCCAATAGTACCGTTGAAGGGGATGAGTCGCAGTTCTGTTCTGTAGGCCGAAGCCCCTATTTCCATCTTGTATTCACCCAGCTCAGTGTATAACAACTACTTGCGTTGAAGGCTTCCCTTTTTAGGAACATCTGTGGTTTTGATAAGTCTTTGTAAGTGTGAAAAAGCCTGAAGTCTTTCAGTTCTAGCTCTTTGAGGAGACTGTACCAGTACCGAACCACAGTGCTGTCATTGCCGCTGACCTCAAATCCCGGCCAATGAACATGGATTTCCAAGACCAGTTGCCCTATGTGTTCCACAACGTCCTCTAGGATCAGGTTTTCCAAAATTTTCCACTCTGCACTTTCCATATCTGCTTTGAGGATATCGATCTGTAACAGTATGACAAGAAAGCATGAAAAAGAGGCTCCTTGTTTCATAAATAAATTGTCATATGAATCAACTATGTATTTAATATATCAAGCCTCATCAGGGAGGCCATTTCCATGTGATTAGAGGTTAGAATGGTAGATTATTTACCACAGAAAAGAGATTGCAAAGGAGGTATAAAAAGAACTAATTATTAGAAAACAGAGACATGCATTATGGTGAGATCAGTGTCCCCTTGCACAACTGACTTCCACATGTGCAAATAAGACCTATGCTTCCTTTCTTCATTGCAGCCCGCCCCCCGCCCCCCGGGCAATCTGCTTTGGAGTTTGGTGAGCCACTGGAGGAGATGGAAGGGGCTGCAGGGAACAGAAGAAGCAGCCTCATCATATCTGTTAGCCTATTGTTGGGTCCTGTGCATAGTATTCTATGCACTACTAATAAATTCATGTTCCAGGTGTGGATCCTTATGTAACTGAACAGTTCTTTGTGCGGATACTGGTTGTATCTTAACAGCCACTGGAACATCCATACTCCCTTTCATATAACACAATAATGATAGATAACCTGATAAAAATTATCATGCAGAAGACTTCCCAAATAAAAGACCACACACACACTCCTACAACACAGAGAGATGCACCAGCCAAGTGTTTGTCAAGAGCGATTGCTCAGCTGTCCTGACTACCCTTTGACTGACTTGGCTGAACGAAGTGCTATCTGTCGTTTCCATGGGCACTCGATTCATTCCTAGATACAAATTCCTTCCTGATTGCTTCACAGTTTCAACAGTCACAGATAACTTGGCTTTTAGGCATCCTTGCTGGGGAGCAAGTCCCATTGAACTAAATGTGAGTTACGGTACTTCTAAGTAGATGTCTGTAAGATTGTGCCATTAGCATCTATGGAACATTTTAAGAAAAAGGAAATCCTTTCTCTTGTCATAGTCTCTCCTGGTGAAAGCAAAAGTCACTATCAGGAACCAAAATAAAAGACTTTATTAATGTGGAATTTGAGAAGCAAATGTCACAATAGCATCCACATTTCCCATGAAAATTATTTCAAGTATGGTGGCTGGTGTTCCTTCCTTAGCCTCTGCACTGCCAATGCCCCCAATAGATCTAAAGGCAATTACAACAAATGACAATCATTAGGAGTAGGAGCCAGCCAAAGTTCAGCACTTTCAAATTCCACTATTTCAGCAGCAGAGTCAAGTATGTGTTGAACCTTTGGCTTCAGGTGGAACATGACTATGGAAAACAAGAGACATCAGTGGAAGTGGTAAGGAAATGATTGTGGCTCATGGCTGTGAGCACCAAACTCCAGGATAATGAGTTGCTCTTAAATATCCCAGTGTGGTACATTTTACTATATAGTCCCTAGATCATGCAAGGCTATTTAAAGGAACTAAGCTTATAGATTGCTTTTTTAAACAGGACTAGAGCATTCCCTTGAGACTGGATGTCAAACATCTGAAAGGCACTCATCTCTTCTAAAGAAGAAGTACAAACATGGAATGCTATGCAGATGTTTGCTTAAGTATATTAATTACTGCAGGACTGCTACTACTGCCAAAGAAAAATCCCTATTAATGCTTTTGCAGAAGAGGATTCATAGCAATTTCCTTACTGTGTGTGAAAGAGAACCTAGACTATTTAGTATTCACGTCAGACATTTGTTGTCTCCACCCAGATCCACAGCTGTCAGTTTATGTCTTCCAAAAGGAGAAAAGAAAAAGTCCATCTTGGAAGATGGAGAAAAGCATGCACTCGTCACCAGGCTCCATCTGGTGATAATTCAGTTGTGCCATCTCAGTTTTGCTATGTGCGCCATCTGCATGATTTTGCTTCATGCCCTGTTTAACTCTTCAATACCTATTAACTGCCTGCAATAATTAAATTAGGGTCAGAGCAGACAGTGCAACCTCTTTGTGGGGGCTGCTTGACAGAGCAAATGTGCTCACCCAGTGAACTACTTTTGTGTAGTGACCTACGGAGTGGATGGATTTTCACCTGGGCAATCCTGGTGGTTGCTCTTTTTTCTATCTGTGGTGGGATCCCATACAGAAAATAATTCAATACATACAGTAGGCAGCAAGCTCCTACTTAGGGCAATTGAAAATGACATCCACAAGACATCTGTTTGGTGCATTAGGTCTTAAATCTTTTTTTGTATTGGGACAAGTAACAAGAGGTTCAGATATCGTACATCCCATATTTAATACGGTACAGGGGGAAACTGTCCTCCCCAAACAAAAAGAGAATTTAGACTACTTGGGAAATATGCTCATATTTGTACACAGGTAGGATTCATTCACACAATCCATCTGCTGCAGTCAAAAGCAATAGATGGTTCACGAAACAGAGGAAGCCTATTTGTGCAGGAATGTTTGCACATAGGTCATTCACAATAAGCAGCCTGATAGGGAGTGGCAGGGGGAAGCCCCGCTGGGCAAGGCCCAAGACTCCCTGCCATGATCCACCACATGTAGAATTTACACACACCATTGAATTAGCCCTACAATTAGAATTCCAAGAGGGATTTCATCAGTTTCAGTTCAGTGGAGAAACAGCTGCATCTCATGCTAACAGCTGTTAGCCAGTATGATACAGGTCGAGAGAGGGGGTGGGTGGAAATGTATAAATGGTGAATATGCATTGCATTTAGTAAAATGTTAAAAATATCATAAGATACACTTGAAAAATTAGTTTAGTTCCTGCAGTTGTGCAGAAATATTAAGCCACAGGCGACACATTTAACCATTAAAGTTCTTGTGCCTTCTGTAAACACCCAGCTCACTGGTTGCTATGTTTCCATGTGACATATAAGGTAACCAAGTATATCTGAATAGGAGTATCTTAAGATCTATTCAGAGAAAAATATGCTCCTCCATCAATTTTGTGGGTATTTTAAAAGAAACATCTCCCCCCCCCCCCGCCCACTGTTTCCAGTGGGAGGGGGAAAACAAGGAAGTGGTTTAAAGGAGCTCCTTAAATAGACCACGTCATCCTCGTTTAGGTTTAGGGAATCCCTGGTGGGTGAGACAGCTTTGCACCCTTCAGAACCAAGCTGATTCCGAGTCCTTTCTCAAAACTGCCTCAACGCATACCGTTTCTGGCTCTTCTGATGTCAGAGCTCCAGTGTCGGTAGAGCCAAGATGCTGGAGGCTGCAGTGGCAGAAGGGAGGAGGGATCCAACACCAGATCTCTCTGGCACTGCATGCTTGCATATGGTTTTAAATAAGAAGAAAGGGACATCTCCCTTACTGAAATAGTTACGTAGAAGAGGAGGGAATTTCAATGGCTGCTACTTGTCTCACAAGCTGCGATTTCCAGGATTTTCTCTCTTGCACAACTATTGAAAGCATAGAGATCCTCTACTCCTTTGCAGTTGGTCCAGGGACCCTAAAGGAGGGGTAAATAACCAGTGGCTCTCCATATGTTGCTAGACTACAGCTCAAATCCTCCTTGACCATTGGCCATACTGGGGGAAACATATGAAAGTTCAACAACACCTGGAAGGCCACAGGTCTCTGCTTTAGAGAAAAGCCGATGTACAGCATGGTAAAAAATTTAAGGGGGTTTCCAGTTTGCATAACTATTGTAACTAGATATCTGACTGCCTTCTCATACAAGCATTTCCCTTTTCTTACACACCTGCAAATGCAACCTTTTCTTTTTTACATAAATAAGAATAACTTGGCTTTCCCCCCTTTCCATTCCATCAGTGACAGGATGTTTTTTGGGGAAATGTTTCTGTCACATACCAGACCTTCAGGTTTGCATAATAAAAGTGGATTAAGCTGCTCTTTCACACTAGCACAACAAATCCACTTTTAAAAAATAAACAAACTTGTGTGGTTTAGAAAATGACAAGGAAATGCACTGAGGGTGCATCCAGACATCCTTTTCATGGTGCATTCATGGTGCTTTGTGCTCATGATGGGATCTACATGCTCAGTGGTTTTTGGTTTTTTTAAAAAAAGAGGTGCTGGCATTCATATATTGATAGGATTGCTCTGCCAGAATAAAACAGCTGCCATTGGCAGCAAAAGAACAGGTGCTGGTATTCCGCATAGGGAGTTACTGTCACAAAAATGCCATGACATGCAGCAATGTGTGATCCCATTTTCAATACTGTTTGCTCCTACAGAAGTTCTGGGATGGACATACTGCTTCATTTCCAATTGCTGCCTATCCTGAAACTCTTCATGCTACAACAACAATAATAATAATTTATTATTTATACCCCACCCATCTGGCTGGGTTTCCCCAGCCACTCTGCGCAGCTTCCAACAAAAGATTAAAAATACATTAAAACATCAGTCATTAAAAACTTCCCTAAACAGGGAATGTTCCAGGATTGTGTGTTACTGTTTTTGTCCAGCTTTTGCTGTGTCTCCAGATGACAATAATTGCAGTAACAATGGGGAAGCATCACCGAACAACACATAAAGCAGAATCATGTGCGGACGGTCTATTGTTGCATCAACAACATTGTGAACAACACACACACACACACACACACACACACACACCTGTCGAGTGGCCTGAAGAGGGTGAGATGAATAAATAACTAATGGGAAGCTGTGAAAACACCCTGTAAGCAAATCGGGAAGAATGCTCATTGACTAAATCATAACAAATGCTTAATAAAGACCAGATATAATCTAATCTTGATGTAAGGATAGTGCACACAAGTCCAGATGAATACTCAGTATATGGGTCATCTGGAGGGGCTTTTAGGTTGTGGTATTCTGGCTTTGATGCCTCCCTTCACCTCATGTACTCTCAAGTTAATGCCCAAAAGAGTTGAGAGCCTTGCATTCAGGAGGACAAGCAGCAGGTATTTAGCTCATAACCTACAACATTCACAAAACTGAACTGAAATGTGACTGTTATGAACAGCATCTCCAGGATAAAGTGAGCTGCCGGAAGAAGAAAAGCATAAGCTGTGCCTCTGTATCTGTTGCATACGGGAAAGCTCACAAAAGAAAGATGACAGTATTAAGAGATAGCAGGTAGCCAATTCAAAGTTTGACACTACCTGCACTGCTCACACAAAAATGTTCAGCATGCTTAGAAAAAGAAAAAAGATTGACAGAAAAGCACAGCATCTAAAATGCTCCAGCATCTAAAACCCAAAACAATGCCTGCCATGAAGGGCAGATTTCTACCCTCAGCTCTAAAAAAAAGGCGTGAGTAAGTAAAATAAAGACATGAACCAAATAGATGTGTCTTTCTACTCATGACTTTCTATACATTACTGTTGTGTTACTAGTGCACGTCATTCTGGACAGTTCTGTCACCAGACGTACACACCCCACATACACACTAAATCCATGTCAGGCAAGGGGTGTGTGATTCTGTGGCCCTCCTGACAGGCCCTGCTAGCTGGCTGAGGAGAGTCCAGCAACATCTGGAAGGCCAAAGCTCCCTCAGCCCTGATGTAAGGGCTGCTCTGGACGAGCACAGGCCTGTTCCAGTCAGAGCTCTAAGGAAAGAGGACAGCAGACATGTACTTAGCAACAGAAAAACAGATCTTTGTGGAAGTGGCAACATCACCACTCTTCCCATTGCACCCAGAATGAAGCCTAGAAAAGGCTACTCTGGGCAGAACTATTAAATATTGAATTAGAAAGTCTTCCTCTTTCTCTCTCTGTGAGACACACTCTCTCTCTCTCTCTCTCTCTCTCTCACACACACACACACACACACACACACCAGCACAGCTGTCTGCTCACTATAGGAAGAAGTCCAAGTGGGCAATGCTGCCATTATTGCTCATGTGCCCCTAAGCAAAACAGGTGGTCATGCGACCATGCACACATTAAAACTACATTTTCCCAGACATTAATAGAATACTATAAGGCGGCTTCATGGTGTGCCAAAGATTGATTTTCCCTCCTTATTTCCAGATTCATTTTACAGTGTGGAACTGTAGGAAATTTCCAGGGAAGGAGCATAGCACATACTTTGCCTACTTAGTTCAATCCCCGATTCCATGGCATATTTAGCTAAAAGGATCACTTTGCTGCCTGAGATCCTGGAAAGCTGCCGTCAGTCAAGAGACATCAAGTCACAGGAAACTGCTTTATACAATATCAGACTTTGGTCCACCTAGCTCAGTTTTATCTACACTGGCAGTGGGTCTCCAGAGTTTCAGGTAGGAGTCTCTCCCAGTCTTGTCTGGAGATGCCAAGCACAGAATGTGGGACTTTCTGCATACATAGCAGATCCCCTGCCACTGAGTTATGGCCCCTGCCCTAGACAATTTGGGGATGGATTGACAAAGAACCTGGCTTGGTGTAATGCACCTTCCTTTGTTCTCACAATGCACACTCCCTACTCCTGCAATTTGCTTGAACTGTTTTTAATTTCTGAATTTTAAATTGTCCTGAGATCTGCTGCTGAAGGGCATGCAATAAACTTAGCAATAATACTGCTGCTGCTGATATTGTTGCACACCTAACCTTCATTATTTCAGGCTCAGTCATAAAAATGGAGATGCCAAAGGAGTGTGCAGGTTCTGTGTCTTAAGCATTCTACCTACGCGGTGCTTATCACCAGGACACCATGCGCATCTGAAAAACATTTTATGTTCCTGCTGCAAATTACCCTCAGGAGAGACAAAAGAATGTTGCTTTAATGATTCACCATGCATTTGCCAGCATTATGTTCCGTGTATAATCTGTTTCCCTGGTGCTACATTGCCATTCTTCCACACGCTGGTGCTGAGTATGGGAGACTGGGGAAAGAGGAGACAGATAAATCTGAAGTATACTTATGTTTACATGCAATTTCTTCAGCAACTGGAATGAAAAGTAATAAAGACTTCTAATTTCTAAACCCGCAGGCCCATAGTGCCTGCTCTACTCACAGCCGTGTGGAGCTGGTGCACTTAGCTGCTACAACAGCTACAAGGACGGATGAAATCCAGAGCTCATCAGAGAGCCTTGAGATAGCACTGACAATCCATTTCCGGTTTCTTTTATATGACCAAAAAACATACCGGGAGTGCACTTGTAGAAGTACTGAAAGGAATGTAACATGCCAACTGGACTCATTTTTGTGGCACAGTCCCAGCCTATGTCTTAAATTTTTTTTAAAAAGCTTCACAGTTCCCTCAGCTTCCATTCCCTAGAGGCAGGCAGACCGTGGAAGCTCCTGCCAAGTCTCAGTGCACAAGCTGTGCAAAGCTTGCTGTCTGGCAGGGGAGTTGGGCAACTCTGACAGTCATTAACGCTGTGATAGCCGCATCCCAAAAGGTGGTAACAGTACCTTTCCTGGCTATGTGCCACTCATCAGACTGGCTTGCTCAGAGCCACCTGTCAATCAGAGCCCACCCGGACAAGGAACCCTTCACAATGGAATTTGGCCAATATTCACCGTCCATCCAGTCAACCTAGTGCTGCATTACTCAGGGGCCTATGTTTGTGAGTAACTACTTAGGATAGTTGCTTAGATACTTAGATAGATACTTAGGATAGTAGCTCGGTCCCAGGTCCAGCCAACCTAGCAGTTCGAAAGCACGTCCAAGTGCAAGTAGGTACCGCTCCTGCGGGAAGGTAAACAGCATTTCGGTGCACTGCTCTGGTTTCACCACAAGCAGCTTAGTCATGCTGGCCACATGACCTGGAAAAACTGTCTGCGGACAAATGTCGGCTCCCTCAGCCGGTAAAGCAAGATGAGACTTGCAACCCCAGAGTCGTCCATGACTGGACTTAACTGTCAGAGGTCCTTTACCTTTACCTTTCTACTTAGGATAGAGTAGACTTGGTATCAGGGCCAGATGAAGACATGCTGAGACTATAACCCTAGTCAACTTTAAGAGATCCCATAGCACATGAAACACCTTTAAATGAAAGTACCTTCTGAATTCTTACTTAGCATATATGAAAACTTTTTATGCTCAGGAACATAAAATCAGTTACACACATAGTTTAGCACTTAACGAAGCAGAAGAGGCATGCACCCTGTGTGTTATGCACATATCATAAAATTTAGAAAGAATGAAAAAAGCATTTAGAGCCCCCTCTTAATCTGAGGCCTCAAGCTGTAGTTCACTTAGCATGAAATGTGTGAAGTGCTTTTTACTTCCTTTCATGCAGTATTCTGCCTTTCCCCTTTTTGTTCCCTTAAACCCTTTTCTCTTAAAACTGGTTGTAGGGGATTAATCATGTGTTGTTGTGACTGCTCACAAGATAGTCTTCTCTCCAGGGTGCCTAGATCTCTGGGTCCATGCTGTTTTCATGTCTAGGGAGAACTGCGGGAAAGCTAGCTGCCCTCCTTCGTAGAGGGAGAGAGGTGTGGGCTGGATGCTCCCACATCTCCCTAACCAGGATGAATTGCTCACAGCCTTGAGCACTGCCCTTCTCTCAAAGTCAGAGGAAAAGGAAGGGCTGGTGGCAGCAGACCAAATGGTTAGAGACAGGAGCTGTTCCTGTTCCCAGGAGAGAGGGAGGGAATGAACTCTCAGGCTTTCGCTACAATAGTCAGGGCCAAGGGGGCCTTAATATCTGCAACAACAAGGTTAATGGGATTTCTGATATATCTGGCATTGACCTGAGTGCCATTTAAAGTTCCCTACAGAGAACAATCAGTTGAGAGTAAGTACCTGAGAGAAGCTATTTGCCAGCGTTATCACAGCATGTGATAAAAGCCACTAGAGAAAGCAAGATATCCCAATTTACCACACATCAGGTTTCCTGCATCTCTGCACATAACAAGAGATCATATCTGCAGTGCTTGGGTCCAAAGAGATTTAGGTTACATAGCCATAGTGTCAAAGTTAAGCACTGTAATCTTTTCTGGTTGGGAAAGAAGGGAGAAAATAATTTCCCTAGTTCCTATACTTTGCATGGATGACAAATCTACCACATCGTATATTTACATGTTTAAGCCATATGCAAATAAAGGAGTGGATTGTAACGATTTCCCTTCTTATTTGGGCTATTCAGGAAGAGTTCACCCCATAACAGCTGTTCCATCACCATGACCTATTCTTGGCATAGGGAGCATTTGGTGTTTTGCTCTTGTAGGATTTGTTTAGGATTCTGTTCCTGGGATAGTAGTACCTCAATCAAGAGATACACACAAGGACTGGATGAGCAGCACAACAAACACAGAGCACCACAAGCCTCCTTCATATAACGGCAGGATGGAAAACCTATCCAAGGGTCTGACCTCTTGCCAATATATAAGGACTTCTCCTGCCTTTCAATACACAAGCGCGCGCACACACACACACTCAAGAGTAAAACACAGTCCAAGGCTACCCAGAGCTTAACCCTGGAAGCAAGGGTCTTTATCATTCCATAACTTCTACTATTAGGGTGTTTAGGGCCTGCTGACACACCCATAAAAGCTATTAAGAAGAATGGCTTTAAAGCCTGAGACATCCCTTCTGTACTATCCTGAATTGTGGATTTCCCTGGACTGATCTGGGAGCAGGTTTCTTGCCAATAAAACCTGAATAAAAAAAGAACATAAAAAGAGCCCTGTTGGATCATCCAAAGGGGGTCATCCCTAGTCTAGTACAGTGGCGGAGCAACCTGCTCTGGCACTGGGAGTGGTGTATATCCGGGGGCGTGGCTGGCATGCATCCCAGGGGGTGTGGCGTGCCACTGGCAGGGGCATGGTACACGTCGGAGGGGTGCGCAGCAAGCAGTGTTGTCCCAGGACGTGTGCGGTGAGTAGCAAGCATCTCGAGGGTGCGCGCCAAGTGCCCTGGGGGGTGGGGGTGGCTGCGATGTCACCCCCCCAGGATGGGCCGCGATGTCACCCCCACCTTCGTCTGCCAGTAGTCTAGTATTGTTTTCAAGAGTGACCAGACAGATGCCTCTGGGAAACCTACAAGCAGAGCGTGAGGCCGCAGCCCTTGCTATTTTTTGTCCCCAGCATTGTGTAAGTAAAGGTGTAGCATCTTTGACTCTGGGCATTCTAATTAGCTCAAATAGTTAACAGCCATTGACAGGTTTTTCCTTCATGCATTTAGTCCTCAGACTCTACCTAAGAATAAGAACAGCCTGCTGGGTCAGGTCCCCGAGGCCGGTATTGCATCTTGTCCAGCATCCTCTTCTCACAGTGGCCACCCAGAAGCCAATGGGAAGGCCACAAGCAGGACCTGAGTGCAACAACACTGTCCCCATCTTTGGTTTCTAGCAACTCTATATTGCCTCCAACAGTGAAGGTAGAACAGAGCCATTGGGTGAGTAGCCACCAATAGCCTTATCCACCATGAATTTGTCTAATCTCCTTTGGAAGTCTTCTAAGTTCCCCTGTTCTTAACTTCACATTTCAGAGGCTTTCCTATGGTAGTAAAATGCAGCAGTTACTATAGAATAGAATGTAGAATCCCCGTGGACTAGACAAACTTTTGTAGAAATGACTGAGGTTCTCTTATTTACATTTCTATCTTTCTATGAAAAATATTGCACTAAAGGCAGGCAATTCATACTCTGCTGCACAAACTAAAACTCACACACTGTAAAAGCCTTAAAGTGCTGGCTTTCTTCCTCTTCTTCTTCTTCTTCTTTTTAAAAAAGCACCTTAACTTAATCTCTTCTGCCATCAACCATCAATAAAATGAGTTGCTGTCTCCCCCCATCCCCACAATACATTTAAAGCATGCCCAATGCACATTTAAAGCACTGGACTTCTCCCAAACAATCCTGAGGACCATAGTTTCCCTTCACAACGTTGCAATTCCCAGCACCCTTCTCAAACAACAGTACCCAGGATTCCTTAGGGGAAGTGATGTGCTTTAAATGAACATTGGATGTGCTTCAAACATACGGTGCGGATCTGCTAAAGATGAACTCGTGGACTGGAGGAAAAGATTCTGCTAACAATGGGCACAATCCAGTCCCAAAGGTAGGCATCAAAAGTTGAGGTTATGTTTAATTCTCTCACTGAGGTTAGTAGGACTCAGAGTGGAATCTTATGCATGTTTACTTGGAATCATCTGTAGTGCAAAAGAAAAATCCCATCTTATCTGCAGTTTTGATATGAAGTGCCACAGGCCCAGACACAGCTGGATTCCCTAGCATACCGGATGTTTACATAAAAGAATTCATTATTTACAACAGTGAGCCCCTGTTGCTCCTTTTTGACAGAAGAACAAATATTTGCAGCTTGTTTACACTGTTCTGGTTTTAAGCTATGCGGCAAGTTTGCAATACGTAACCAATCTCAATCAGCAGCCTCTCTCTGAATGTAAAAGCACGTTACAATGCATTTGAAATTATACCTGCAGCTGATTAGAAAGAGAAGTTTTATGTATTTCTAACACAAAGCAAATATTTAAACAAGCAGAAACATTACAGTATGTCACACATCACCCCAACCTCCGCGTGGTGCAAGATTCCAGGGGCTCCAGGCACTTCCACAGAATGTGAGACAGCAGAGACTGTGGTGCCTTTACGATATATGGTTTATTCACAAATACATACAACCTGAGCCTAAGTTGCAGGAGCTCACAGCGTTAACACCCCCAAAGGTCTTGCTTCCCCCATAGTCACAGCCTTGGATTCTAGCATAGACCAGTCATGCCTCTCTCCCAGCTTCTGCCCACTTGCAGCTCTCCACTCAGCTCACTCTGCCCTTGTTTTCCAAATACCGGCCAGGTGAGGGAGGGGGCCCATCCATTTGCCCTCTGGCAGAGAGCAACTTCTTTTGTTATACCAGGGATGGTACTCAGGCATCATTGAGGCTAACCATCCTCCCACCAATTCACAACAGCAATTCAAATATGTGCAATAATTGTGTTTGATTGTTCAGCGTTATAACTATAACTACTGTATTTAATTCTTTCCCCATACTCCCTTTAGCACGCAAAGAGATGTTCATGGCAGCTGTTACCAGGATTATCATCTTTGGGAGGAGAGGGTGCTAGAAAATTGATAGTCTATTTATTTACAGCTGAACAGAATACAGCAGGAATTGGACAGAAGCAAGAATGCACAGGCAGAGAATACTAGTAACACGGCAGTATTGAGCCGTGCCCTAAAGCTGCCATCTTTCAAAAAGCCTACTGAGTCAGTCAACACCAAGCAGCTTCTTTCACTTCTTCTTGCCCATTTTTTTTTACAGACAAATCCCAGCTTCCTAATGACCTGCAGAAAGAGCAACCCTGGCTGGATACAACATCTGGAGTCCCATGGTAGTTAAGAGCATGAGCCACAAAGTAACCAATTCAAATCTCTGCTCAAACCACAAAGCCTTTAAGAAGCCTTAGGCAAGTCAATATGTCCACTGCTGCCGAGCCACTCCAGGTACTTCTGGATGATACTGATGATCAATATCTGCTTCAATCTGCTTTTTTACCATGATTTTTTGGCACTGAAAGGGCCTTGGTCATCCTGGTTAATGATCCACGGCAGGAGTTGAGCAGGAAGGGATCAGATTCTTCATCTAGCTACCACTCACACCATTTCCTCATTTGGGGGGGGCAACCTCACCACCACTGCTCATTTTCCAGAAATAGGTTACTCCTACAGCTCAGGATTTATCATCCCCAGGCAGATACTTTCTGCCCCTATCCAGGAGGTCCCACCTCAAACTAGGTTATGATGCCTCTTGCAAAACACACATGAATTGCTTTGGTTGCTTACAAAATGCTTATTTTCCTATGAAGGGGAAGTATCTTACATCCCATGGTGCCTTTGCAAAAAGAACAACCTAAGGACTGCCTGCTGTAACCTATCAAAGACTTGAGCCAGATGCAGAAGAAAGAAAGAACACAAGGAAGAATCACAACAGTACCACAGGAACATCACACCAAAAGCCTTCATTGCTAGGACATGTTACAGGGGAGTAACAGATACCCGATTCAGTTACTACTTCCCAGCATCTCCCTTCCACTCAGTTTAACCTCTTCATTTAAATTAACACCTCTCCGCTGAAATTCATGCCTAGGCTCTCTGGAGATTCATAGCCTCTAACTTTCCGCCAGCCTTCACCATTATTCAGAAGATAATCACAGATAAAAGCAAGCTCCTAAAAAAATAATCCAGATTTGAATTCGAAAGCTGTTTTCACAAGTGAGGCATACCTAAGTGCTCCCACTTTTCCAGCTCTGCAAATGGAATGAAGAAAGAAAAAGAGACATCCATTAGACTGTTCACTAGATCTTAAAACAGCCATTTTCCTTTCTCACATTAGCAACATGTACAAACAACACATCCCAGACCGCGGCATTTTCAGCATCGCTTGTGAGAACACCCAAGGGGTCTGGGTTGAACTGTAAAATAATAGTCATGCATGATAATTAAAATATGCTGCTATTTTTAGATAGCTTCCGTTTTAACGCTAAAGGAGGAGCAAAATGTTAAATGGAAACTATTTGTTCTGAACTCTTTCTCTTCCCAAGCCCTTCTGCAATTTTCCTGTTTCCTTTTGCCTGATCTGACAAGTTAACTGCCTTGCTGTTCTCACTAGCCCAGGGGTAGGCAACCTAAGGCCCGGGGGATGGATACGGCCCAATCGCCTTCTCAATCCGGCCTGTGGACAGTCCGGGAATCAGTGTGTTTTTACATGAGTAGAATGTGTGCTTTTATTTAAAATGCATCTCTGGGTTATTTGTGGGGCATTTGTTCGTTTTTTATTTTTTTCAAAATATAGTCCAGCCCACCACATGGACTGAGGGACGGTGGACCGGCTCACGGCTGAAGAAGGTTGCTGACCCCTGCACTAGCCTTCCTGATTCTATCCCTTCCTGCTTGACAACTTCCCTACCATTATCCTTCCTCTCAGAGGCAGATTTAGGACAGCGTGACCAGATCCTCCAAACTGGGCACTGAGCCTCGGGGCACTGCAGGGCGTTGCAACTGTGACCTAGTGAATTAAGTAGAACAGAAGGTTGAGAGGCAGGGGGACACAAATTCTGGCCTTGCACAGGGCACTGCTGAAAGTTCAAAGACCGAAGTCTGTCACTACTCCTTACCACCACATAATTATTTTCAGGCTGCTCCCCTACCACACTCCAATATACCACCAATCTCCCCATTCAGTCATCCTTGCCACGTCCTTCTCTTCAACATCTGCCTGGTTCCATTTTACTCTTAGCCTCCAAGCTCCTGAAACTTGCAGCTTCTGCCCATCACCTCAGCCTTCTCTCCCCTGACTTCTCTACTGGCCTCCTCTAGCTTCTAGGTTCTGCCCATAGTGCTCTAAAATCATTGCACTGATTTTGCACTTCTCTGAATTTTGTGATACTGTTCTTGGCTGTAAAAAAGTACCAAAATGTATTTTAAGATTAAAAAGAGGCCAAGAAATGTGTATGTTGAGATAAAATATTTAAGTATATACAGCGGTACCTCGGGTTACATACGCTTCAGGTTACAGACTCCGCTAAGCCAGAAATATTACCTCGGGTTAAGAACTTTGCTTCAGGATGAGAACAGAAACTGCGCAGCAGCAGCGGGAGGCCCCATTAGCTACAGTGGTACCTCAGGTTAAGAACAGTTTCAGGTTAAGAACGGACCTCCAGAACGAATTAAGTACTTAACCCGAGGTACCGCTGTATATACTTAGTAGTGCAATTAAGAACAAATTTCCTTGCAGGTTTAAAAAAATTCACAAGGTGATGACTGAACAGACTTGGGAATTATCACTTGTGAAATTGACATGGACCGAAATTGCCTGACCCACCCATCCCTGGAAAATATGCAGATTTCAAACATCTTAATATAGGACTAATGCTTCACCAGCACTTGCAGAATGCTCCCAGACAGTAGTTATCTTCCTGTGTTCCACCACCAAAACTGCTCATTTTCTAGCCTGACTCCTTCCTTCATCTCCCAGAGGAAGGATAGCTACTTTTTCTAGGTCACAGTCAATGAGGCTGTTGGGAAATGTAGCCCTTAGCTTCAGAATTATTGTTACAATATCATTAAAACACATTTATGAATGGGAAACAAACCTGACAGTTTTCAACACAACAGTGACATTCCATTTTTTTAAAGGACCATTTGATGTCCACTGAATTTATCTTATTCTAAAAGCAATGACTTCCCACACCTCAATGATGCAGGTTTAACCGGTGAAGGTCAAGATGCCACAAATGAGCTTAGTTCTAAAATATTAAATGGAAACACCTGCTACTTGGCTACCAATAACAGTTTGCCATAGAAACAGCATTCGCTTGTGTGTTGACATATCATTGGAAAGAAGGCTCACACGTGGTAATGGTTAATGCACAAAATTAAGTTGTAGTAATCATAATGGCATTCCTGGGCTTCCACCAAGGTTCAACTCGGTCCTGATTGTGTAAGCATGATCCTGGTGGAACTTAATTTGTATCATGCACCATCAATCTTGCATGAGCCCATAATTCAATTATAGAACTGAAGACAGATGTTTCTTGTTGAATCACATGCTCTAATAGTTTCGGATTTATCACCTTAACATGATGGTTTTTAAAAGAGCTTTCGATTTTATCACTAGCTATTTCCCCATGATTTTAAAAGGAAGGCCCTACATTAACAAGCCCTTTCCCCTTTCTGTTCCTGCCGTTTCCCATCTTCCATTTCTGTTCAGACATCATAGGCATTTTTCCACTTGTCAAACTTTTCAGTAAGTACACCTGCTGGCTACAGCAATCCAACTTGTTGCCAATTCCCCCCCCCCCTTTTTTTTTAAAGAAACGTTTTGGTACAGCAGTAAGAAAGTCTGACCTTCATATTCTACTGTACTGTGCTTTCATAAAATAGAAAGATTTCAAAGTCAACCTGGAGATAACGCGTTACGGTGCTTTTCTATTAGAAAGCACAAAATCTGCTCCAGATCTAACATTCTTTAGCGTTTGATTTCATCCTGCTGATGTACCTCTGCCTCTGCTGGCAAAGCAGCCTTTATGCCCCTTCTTGAGGCCCCTCATTGGATTTACCTATCAGGGTAGGGGCACCTTCAGACTGTTCAAATTTTGTGGGAAGGATTCAAGTGCATTACAAAAAAATTAAGTTTTCACAATTAAAGTGGGTGCTTTACCCCAGTGCAACAAATCCACAGAAAGAGGGGTTTTTGTGGTTAGGAAAGTGATGGGATAATGCATTGAGAAGTGTAGAATAATCAAATAAATGTAAGCACAGCAAAAACAAATCGGAATGAACACTCATTGTCCTAAAAAGTCCTCACAAACAAATCAGAACCAATGCTCTATAAAGACCAGGTATAAGCCAATCTGAAGGAGCCCTAGGATTCCTAGCTAAGGGCTTATCCACACCTACCTTTCCTCTGCGCTTTCCAGGCACAGTCCACAAAAAAACCCAAATAGCCATTTGTTCTGATTCAACTTTAAAGAGCAGGTGTTCGTGGGGAAAGCTCTGGAGCAAAATAAGGGGAGCACTCAAACACGGAGCTTTAAACCTGTACGGGAAGCAGTGGGGCAAAATAAGTGTGGATAAGCCCCAAGTGTTTTAACCAGTTATAAGAAAATTGAGGTTTTTATTTAGTACACATAAACAAGGAAGTTCCCACTGCATCACTAACAGATACTCTAATCCAAAGACCTACAATTGCACACTTGGATCTCTTGCATGCTTCCCATTCATTTCAATCACAAGTTACCGTATTTTTTGCACCATAACACTCACTTTTTTCCTCCTAGAAAGTAAGGGGAAATGTCTGTGCGTGTTATGGAGCGAATGCACGAGGGTGGCGGGGGGGATCTGCTGCAGTCGTGAGCAGAGGATCCATGGTTCCCCTTCCTTCCCTCCTCCGTGGTTACAAAGCATGGATCCACATGGATCCTCAGGATTTTTGCATTGGGCTACTCCAAACTCACTATCAGATCACATGTCTGTGGCCACAGCATGAACCACAAAAATCATATATCCACTATTTCATTTAGAATATTTTTTTTCTTGTTTTCCTCCTCTAAAAACTACGTGTGTGTTATGGTCTGGTGCGTGTTATAGAGCGAAAAATATGTAATTTATTTGTGCTGGCATATCAGATTCCTGCATGAAACCGGTGGAGGACCCATTATAGATAGGTTACGAAAGGTATATGTGGTATATGTTGCAAATTCCACAGCCCTAAAAAACAACTGCTTTTGTGTTTTTATTTCTTGCTCTTACTATGTCAGCATATAAAAATGAGCTTATTGTCCTTTGTTAGAAGGCCTGGAAAATTTTGAGAGATCAAGGAGGAGTGAGTTTTGCTTTTTTTGTCACTATGGGCAGCCATGTCTTTGAGCCTCCCTGCCATTAGCCTGACTTTTGATCCTGGGGGCTTTCTTCATTCCATTGTTAGGCGGCACAGCAGACAGAGCCAGTGCCAACATTATGATTTTCCACCACACAGGAATGCCAAAAAGAAAGAAAGAAAAAAATGTGACATTTGAATTCACAATCCACACAGACTTTGCCACCCGGTAGAGCATTTTTTTTACATGAATCCCTTCGTGGATGAAGAAAAAAGTAGGGAAGAAGCACTAAAGGCTGGGATCTTCAATTTCAATTCATGTGCAAAGTAAGAAAAGAGTGATATTGCTTCCCCAAAACTACAATTTGCCTTCTGATAAAGCTGGAAGCAAAAACTCCTCATTATTTCTCACCGTTTTACTTATTGGGCAATGCTGCAGAACCATAAATAGAAAGAAGTTCTCTTAGTTCACTGCTTTGAAAATTAAGAATAGCTTTTCTTCAGGCACATGTTCTATACTGTCTAAATCAGGGGCAAAAAAAACCCAAAAAACCCTCAGGATCAAGGGCTGAATATAGCCACTGCTCTCTCTTTCTGGCCACAGAGAATGTACCCAGGCTACATCTCCCACCAGCCCTGCTGTGTTCACCTTGCCTAAGATGGAGAGAAGTGTGTGTGTGTTTAGAAACCTCTGACCTTTGCATGGCTGGAATTTAGTCTACCGTACAGAGGTAAGAACTACTGTCACACATCTGTTGCTTGGCCCCCTTTTGCCTCTGGCCCTGTTCACCACTGGCATGAGGAAGCCCCACAAGGCTGCCTAGAGGAAATGTTGCCCCTAGCTTGAAAAAGCTCTCCAAGCCTGGTCTAAATGCTAGAAGTAACTAACATGCACAATTTTTTTTTCATCTGCACAATTATTTCAATAGTTTGCATAGCTTCCACCAGAAATGGCAGAAAAATTTCATGACACAGACAGTTTACCACTTGTTTATATCTCTGCTGCTATGTGGTTTGTACTTGGCCAGCTGTTGCTCAGTTCTAATTTATTGCTATTATGATCCAGCCATAAGGTCTCCCGTGAGTTGAGAAAAGGGACACTGCCAGGATACTTTGGGATTGAGAGGGTGACCTAGTTCTTTTCTCGAGGGCCGAAATAGATGATTGGAGTGCTATTTTCAAAGGCAGCAGACTCCAGTCTCCAATTCAATGAAATGAACTGTGACATAACCTGGGCCAGCCCATGACGTTTTGCAGCCTGTGGTGAAGCAGCAAATAGCACCTTTCTCCCAACCAAGGCCATTTGTTTATTTGGAGACCTGAGGCAGAAAATCCCACAAGCACCTCTCCTCTTTTCCTGGCAGTAAAATATTGTCATGGATTGGTTAGACACAGAGGACTGGTGGGAGGAACCAGCTGGGGAGCCACCAAAGGAAGAAGGCTCAGAGCCCAGAGAGTGGTGGTGGGATGACGATGAGTGGTCAGAGGGAGAAGACTGGGAAGAGGTGGTGTTGAAAGCTGAAGGGGTATCAGGGCTTAATGAGCTGGGAGAGTCTGTGGCAGAGAAGTTCAGAATCAGAAGATGAAGCTAGCAAGTGGGAGGAGGGAGGTCAAGAGGCAGGGATGAGTCAAGCTGGTGAAGTTACGGGTGTCTCACCCTCTGCGACAAGCTTCTCTCCCCCATCTCCCAGAACCAGGAGATGCATGAAAAGGGCATGAAATATACTCAGAGTCGCAAAGTGATTTCATGCTCTTTATTCAGCTCATAGTGGTGAGGAGGAAGAATGAAAGTCCCCTCAAGGTATCTGCTTATATACATTATTTACACAATGGGCTGCACATGATTGGCTAATTCCGGAATTCTCCTGTAGGCCAATCAGGTTGTGGATTCACTTCTATCTGCAGCATGATTGGGTGGTTCCTGCCGACCAATCATACTGCTGCATTCTGAATCCTATTGTTCTAGGACCAATCAGACTGCTGCATTTTGGATCCTATTGTTCTAGGACCAATCAGACTGCTGCAGTTTGGATCCTATTCAACTCAGTACATAACAGGGCAGATGAGACTGGCTGCACACAGGCGCAGTCTCAGATTGCTTGGGGAAAGCCCTGGAGAGAAGGAGACTTAGACCGCAGTGGGGAGGCGGGGACCTTAATCTTGGCAACTGATTTCATGGGGTAAGACCCACAGGGAATGAGCTGCTGTACTCATGAAGCCTGAGACTCAGCCCAGTCTGTGGAGATCATGTTTTCGCTAATAAAGAGTTAACTACAACTTTGAACTGTGTAATTTACTGACCGGCACGCTCTGTAACAAATATATACTAATAATTAAGTAAATTAACAATCTGCTCCACTTTCGTAACACTCAAAACCAACTGCCTGAGGTGGCTGCCCCACTTTGCCTAATGACAGGGTCGGCTCTGCATCATTAGTACATTTCTTCAAGTTTGGAATGTAGAGCAAGGAGAAATGGCAGCTGTTTAATCTCTGGAGATGTGGCAGCACAGAAGGGAAGCATAATAATGGTGAATATAGAGATAAAATATTTCTATTTGAGGAAGGAGGTGCAAACGTCTTCAAAACAGAGTATTCATATTTGAGCTGTCACCTTAGATTTATGCAATAAAATAAGAAGAGGTAAAAATAATGATGTTCCTACTCCAAACCAAAGGGTATGTGCTTTAGGTTGCAAATATGCACACACCTGGAAGTAAGCCCCACTGGATTTGCTTTTGAGTAGAAATGTATGGAATTGTGCTGTTTAAGATTTGCATGAACTGCCTGGAAATAAAAAAGTGGACAGGAAAAACTCCTTGTCCAGGAAGGCACTGAGCTGTTAATGCATTCTACCACAGAGTTAAGTTCTTCAGCAATGGCGTTGGATATTTAAAAATACACCAAAAGTTAGTTTTTTGCTTACTAAGCCTTAAATCTCGGCATGCTTTTCCAAACAGAGCTGACATCTGTTAGCAGATTTGTCACACAAGCCACCTTTACTTAAGAAGCCAGCACCAATTATCCTTAAAATAGCCACTGTGACTCAAAGACTGCTTTCCTTTCTTTTAACTGGGAACCTAAGGGTGAAATCTAATGTCAGGCAAGCAGGCATCCTCTCACACAGTGATGCTTCTCTTTCTTCTTCTCCTTGTAGCCCCCACATGCCCTGAAAAATCTGCTTGGGGTGGGGGTGGGGTGTGCAGGTTGCAGAGTGGGAGATGAGAAATGCCTTTGCCTACAAACCTGATTTCAACCCAGTTTTAAATATTAAGACTTTGTAAAATTTAACATATTAAAAAAGGCTTTATGGAGATAACAAATAACTAAAGATATATGGGTGATTTTAGAAACCCAGTGCAATGTTGAACAGGTTTTCTGACTGTCAGAAGTTGAAGATCCATATCTGAACATTCCTTTTATTTTGTCATGGTTATTTTTCTCCATCTCCTGGTGCTTCTACTCTCACAGGTACCAGAAGGAATGCCTAATCCCATATAAAACTGCTCCTATTCCAAGGCCCTCCAGGGTCCCCCATCAACTTAGATGGCATCTGGAAACTGGAGGGAGGGCCTTCTTGGTGGTGGTGTCCTGTTTGTAGAATTCCCTCTCCAAAGAGGCTTGCCTGGCACCTACTATGCTATATTTTTGGCACCAGTCCAAGACATTTTTGTTCTCCCAGGCTTTTAAAATTAAAACAGTTTAAGTTTCAATGGGAACTTTGAAGTGTTTGGCTTTAGTACAAATCTATTTCATTCCTGTTGTGCTGATTTTACTGCTATTCAATTTTTACCTGAACAGTGGTATAGGAATGCATTAAATAATAGACATATGAGCAAATATATACCGTATTTTTTGCTCTATAAGACTCACTTTTCCCCTCCTAAAAAGTAAGGGGAAATGTGTGTGCGTCTTATGGAGCAAATGCAGGCTGCGCAGCTATCACAGAAGCCAGAACAGCAAGAGGGATTGCTGCTTTCACTGCGCAGCTATCCCTCTTGCTGTTCTGGCTTCTGAGAGTCAGAATATTTTTTTTCTTGTTTTCCTCCTCCAAAAACTAGGTGCATCTTGTGGTCTGGTGTGTCTTATAGAGCGAAAAATATGGTAAATGAATTAACATCTATCCTCAAGCTCCATAATAATCCCTGCTTCCCTTATCCAAGAACTCAAAAAGCTCAATAAATTCTGCTTCAAGAAATTTCCACTTCCAGAAGCCAACCCCATAAAATATAATAATTGCTTTTATTTTGTATCTCTGATTCAGGGCTATATGCATTTTTCAAGCACTGAAATTTGTGTTAGGCACAGAATACCGCATACTGAGTGTCATACAATCTGCTGTATGGCCTTCCTAGAAGAGCAGCCACTTTGCGTTGATCTGTTGAAGATCAATGTACAGACATCTGGGTGTAGACAAATGTTGGTGCAACAAATGTTGTACATAAATGAATATTTCTACATCTGTGCTCACAGTAGCAGTGACTTGCTGTAGAAAGAATAGCAGCTACCACAAAGCAGCCATGAAAATGGGCTCTCAGCTTACATTAGCCCAATACTCTCTGTGCTGGCTGGAAGAAGCTCTCCAGTACCTTAGCAAATTCCTAGTCTTTAAGGCACAGAAGATCAGCAATGCCAGGCTGATGAAACCTCAGAAACAGGTGGGTGGTGTGCATAAAGCAACAAGATTTCTACCAGTTATAGGACAGGTCCTCAGTGTACTACTCCATGTTTGGCATAAGTAGAACAAAACAGGGCAAAATAATTTTTACTGCTTTGCAAATTCAGCTTTTCATGATATGTTCCCTTAGGATTGCCTAAGTACACAGTCCTACCTGACCTCCAAGAGTAAGGTTGCGTACATATTACCAGCTAAACTGTTCTTTTCCTCAATTTCAATTAAAGCTGTTTTGGAGGAAAACACAGCATTTCATAAGAAAGGACAGGATAGATACAGGATTGTGGGTAATATTGTGTTTACCGAAACCAGCAGTGGGAGTGCACTGGAGCAAGCAGGAGTGTGAACACAGCCTCAGAGCCAATTGCAAGTGATACTGAGTTGTGTGTAGTTTTCCCAACCTACTTCTCCATTCAGTGGAGGCTGGTGGAAACAGGACCTGGTGGGGTGCCTAGGAGGTCATGTGGGTGGTGCTTAGGTCACATGGGTGGCACCTAGGTCCCCATGCTCCCCCCTTTCGGTTGTAATGGTAAAGAAGGTAAAGGACCTCTGGACGGTTAAGTCCAGTCAAAGATAACTATGGGGTGTGGCACTCATCTCGCTTTCAGGCCAAAGGAGCTGGTGTTTGTCTGCAGACAGCTTTCTGGGTCATGTGGCCAGCTTGACTAAACCATTTTTGGCGTGACAGAAGCCAGAGCGCACAGAAACACGGTTTACCTTTCCGCTGCAGCAGTACCTATTAATCTACTTGCACTGGTGTGCTTTTAAACTGCTAGGTTGGCAAAAGCTGGGACAAAGCAACCGGAGCTCACCCCACCGAGCACATTTGAACCGCTGATCAGCAAGCCCAAGAGGCTCAGTGGTTTAGACCACAGTGCCACCAGCTCCCTTTCTACTAGGTCAGCCACTTTTGTGGCTTGTTTACCTGTTCAAATGAGGGAGGAGCTTGATGAAACTTAGAGGATTGCATACAGCATACATCATTCATCAAAATAAAATGACAGCAATTGCCTCACTGTGATACAGTGACAATACAAAGACTGGACCATGGCGTTGGATGTTTAGGTGAGTTTGTAATCTTGACAGAACTATGTCCCACTTTTCCCATAAAAAAAGCCCTGCCCCCATGGCTTTTTCTTTTCTTTTTCTTTTTTGGAAAAAGAAGCCTCAGAGCTGCAGAGGAAGAGGGTCCTAACCCATTCCTATTGCCAGTTTTCTGTTAAAATTCCTCCAAGCTGGGTTTTTCACCCATAGCAGGAAAGAGAGGTGTAGCCCCACCCCTCAACTAAGTGAAAGAAGCTTGGGGTGTGTCATGTACTGAGTTGAATAGGATCCAAAAGGCAGCAGTCTGATTGGTCCTAGAACAATAGGATTCAGAATGCAACAGTCTGATTGGTCCACAGGAGCCACCCAATCCAGCTCCAGGTGGAAGTGAATCCGTAACCTGATTGGCCTACAGGTGAATCCCGGAATTAGCCAATCATGTGGGGCCCACTGTGTAAATAATGTATATAAAGCAGACATTCTGGGGGAACTTCCATTCCTCCTCACCACTATGAGCTGAATAACGAGCATGAAATCCACTCTTGACTCCGAGTATATTTCAGGGTGTTTCACTGCAGTAAGGGAAAGGGTTAAGAAGCCTCTCTGCTGCACATTTTGTGCTTCAGTAGCAACCTCCATGAGTGCATTTTGTTTTCTATTTAAAACTCAGCACATTGTATAATTTGGCCCTATCCCAACAATAACTGTTCTGCCACCAGCAATGTATACATATGGCAGAGCTAATGCCAGGGGGATCCTCAAATTATTACATGGGGGGAGGCTTTCCTAAAAGGATAATAAATCATTGTTGAGGGGTTCCAGATAGATATATCTTCATTATTTTGTGATCCCAGGCTATTTCTACAGTGCCTTGGCCCAAGGGCACAAACAGATTTATGGAGAATGAAACATCCTCCAAAGTTGCAAATTGCTGCCATGACTGACGATGTTTAGATTCTGCTGGATCATTAGAAATGCAAGTCACAGGCACATGGCTGAAGGAGAAGGGAGATAGTGAGTTAAAGCCAAAAAGAAATGCCTGATGTGCAAGTGAAACGTGGACACCCAACATACAAAGCTGCCTTGGGCAATCGTTCTGTTTAAGCCAAGATAGGTGTAATCCTTTTGCATACACTCTTTCTCCCCTACACACACACACACACACACACACACACACACAGAGTCCTGTTGCTTTTCACTTCTGCACAAATCGTGATGAAACAAGGAAGTCTCTCATTAACCACAGTTTATCATTTTCTTCACTTTAAACCATGGTTTAATATAGTCGCTGGTTCCAAAGATGACATCATGAATTTCCTGATTTGGACAAAATAGGAAACTAATACTATGGTTAATCAGAAACTCCATGGGGGAATGGCTTGTGTGCAGAGGCAAAATATCCATGCACATTTCAGTTTAATAAGCAGATGTATGATTGTATGAACACAGCCACACTTTAACTTCTAAAATAGTAGGGGTGCTCTTTTTTGTGTCAGCCACATGAATATGAAGACAAATATTTCCAAAAGAACACTCAAGAGACAATCCATCGCAAACTCACAGAGCTGCCTTAGAAGCAGACCTGAGAGAAAATACAATTTATAGAAAGAATCAGAAATTAGTAGAAAGAGCTGCATGAATGGCTCCCCATGATCTGTTGTGGAGGTCAGATGTGGAAAAATTAAGCAGGAGCTACTAAGGGATAATGCAGGCAGTTTTATGGGACATGTTCTTTTTAATGCAGGAACCAAATCTGATTTTTAATTTCAATGGGAATGGCTTGGATTGTAGCAACTGGAAAAAGGAGATGTGGTATTAGATAATAGAACAGTCACCAGGAATGTTACTATGTCAAAGCATACCCACCAACACTGCTATGGTAAATATGCAAAGAAGCCCAAAGAACATCCACATGTTTGGATTGTGCCCTGGGATTGGATCTTCCCAAAAACTCCATGTTTTCACGTTAGTGGAAAAATGGAAGGAGGAAAAGGCAAGGAGTAATTTTCAAAAAGATGCTGGTGCCATGCCCGATTCCCCCCGCCCCTCCCAAAACAAGAGCTGCAGAAAGAGCACTGAAAGGCCCTTCTAGAATTACCCTAAGAAAGTGAATGAACAAAGTGAATGAAGAATGCAGGGAAGAAGAGACCTCTAATTAATATGTGCTGGAAAGTTCTGGCATCAATTTGTTCTCAGGCAGAACATGATAGACATATAGGCAGATGAAAAGCCCAGGCGGCAATTATATAAACACTTACAAAGAAGTAAATCCTATTGAACTCGGTGGGACTTACTTCTTAGTAGACATGTCTGGGATTGTACTGTCAGTATTTACTCTGATGCACTCTTTAATTGATAAGGAGCTTTGGGGAGCCTCTCTGCAATACCCAACGCAACCTTAATTCCCCCAGCCTTTTCTCAAGAACAGAGAAAGCAGTGTAAACAAACTGTGTGTTTCATTCTGTAAACAAGAAATTCTCATTAATTGGAAGCAACACGGTTCTAATTCTCCCTAAGTAACCACCCCAGACAAAAAAAAACAACAAAACACGCTGTGAATATAAGCCTTCTACAGGACAAGATGCGGTGATCACTTGGCTGGCTTCCATCTCCTTTGTTCTGTCATCCTGCAGGGGTGGCCCCATCATGAGACATATTGAGACAGTCACCTCAAGCAGCAAATGCTAGGGGGCAGAGACAGGATGGAGCTGTGTGTGCTCTGCACTCCCTAAGATAGCCTTCAAATGTAGTGGAGGATGGGACTTCCGGGTTGGCGCCTCTGGCAATGGCGGATTTCCTCCGATCGGGAGGAATCCGCTCCGTGGAAAAAAGGGTCTGAACCGCCACGGCGAGGCAGAGACCCATTAAAAACCACAGGCGGGAGAAGCCTGTGGACGTGGGATTCGGCTGGCACCTTTTGCGCCTCCCCTACTCGCGGGGAGACCCGGTTTCGGGGATCCGGAGCGACGTGGGGTGAGCGGCGCGGTGCCTTGAATCGACTGCTTCTTTCACGGAGTGAAGCCACATGGCTGTTGCCGGAGAGCGCTGACTTTTTCCTGTGGACAATTGGACTCTAAACAACGACCCGTGAGTAGAACGGAAAATTGGATTAAGAAATTTCTTCTAATTTGGCACTGAAGCGGGAAGGTCTAAACAGGAAGTCAGCCTTCCGCTTTTTGTAGATAGATTAAAGCAAAGACACGGCAAGCTAGAGTTAAGAAAATCGCCTGTAAAGGATCAATTTTCATCATCTAAAATTACTGAACCCCCCTTGGAAGCAGGAGAAGAGGGGGGATTTTTTTTCTGGACTGTTTAAACCTGCAGAAGAGAGTGTAAAGAAAAGTAATTTTCCACCGTCTTGAACCTGGGAGCGGGGTGTCAGGACAGACGTCCTCGGGAAGTTCATTGACTATAGACAAACGTTTTTGACAGACAGTTAAAAGAAGAGAAACATAGTGACTCCATTGTTCCCCTTCGCATCTAAAAGGAACAAAATATTGACAAAATATCTGAAAAAGGAAACTTTGTTGTTAGATCTGCTATAAAAAAAAAAAGAGAGAGAGGGACACAAATAGAAGCTTTTCCCCTAGAGGGAGCTTGTGAAACTGTTATTAAATCTGAACTGGGGAGCTTTGCAGCTGCAATAGATTAAGATCGTGGGATCAGACTTTGACCTTGCACAAGAATGTACTCGGAGGCTCTGGTGCGTGCTTTCTGCAAGACAAGTGCTTTATTGGAACAGTTACATGAGAAGACGGATTTGATGACTGTTGCGATCGGAAATTTTGGACAGGTAGTGGGTATCTATATAGAACCCACTCAGGAATTAATCCAGGAGTGTGCTCTGACAGATCAGATGAGGGAGGAGGTTGTGGCTGGACCTCGGGAGGCAGAGATGGAGGGAACTGTGGCCCAGCAGGAACATGAGTTGTTGGATCTGACGAATGAACCTGGAAAAAGCCAGATTTGGAGAGATAGAGTTTTGCTTGGCTTGGAGATGGGGGGCTGGATAGACCCCCCTATGCAGGGATGTTTTGACTTTTCAAGTCTGGCTTTGGGCCGGGAGGAGTTTGGAGTTGTGGGGGTCCTCAACTTTGGAGGGATTTTGAAACATGCTTTTAAATACCACATGGAGTTCAGTGTTGACTATGGAAAAGGGGCTGATCTGTCGAGAAGGGACAAAAATATTGTCAAGCTGGAGTCTCCACGAGTGAAAGGAGCAGAAGACAAAGTAAAGTACAGGTATAAATATGAAGAAGATCTGCGGAAGGGACATGGAAGAGACTTAAGGGCCTCGGACATAAGGTTACCAGGTTAATGAACTAGATGGATGGGATAGAAAGGACTGACAAAACCCGAGACCAGGAGGAAGAGATGTTGGATGAAGATTGGAAGAAAGTTTTAAAAATTTTACTTAGGAATGTTTTGTAAAATTAATGAGTATTAGAAAAATGTTGGAATGAAATTATTTGGCTTTAGCAGAAATGTTAAAAAGAATTATGTAAGAATATGCTATGGTTATGAGAAATTGGTATAAATAAGATTTAAGTTTTAAGTTTTAGGGTTTTTATGGTAAGATAAGGTTAAAATAGATTAAGGTAATTTAATGACAGAATATTATGAAAAATGGAAAGGATTTGCTGTGATAATCAACAACTAGAATACAAAAAAGGGGGTGTGAGGAGGTCAATGAAATAAGGTAATGACAGTTAAGGATTTGGGAATACTGGATCTGTTTTTAAAATTTTTGGCTTATTTTGCTTTTGACTTTGATGTGTTATGTGTTTTGTTTTGTTTTTGACTTTGATTTTTATCGATTTGTATTGTTTAATTGCTATTTGTTCTTTCCTTGTTTTTTCCTTCTTTTTCTCTTTGGTTTTTTTTTGTAATTTTAAAATTCTCAATAAATATCTTTAAAAAAAAACAACAACAGATGTAGTGGAGGATGCTGTCCCACTGCCCGTGTCAAAGTAAGATGAAACTCCCAGTCTCGCTGGCTTCTGTGCAAGGAATGAGGGGAGGCGTAATCTTGTCTGCCTCAGGCAGCAAAATGTCTTAAGATGGCCCTGCTGCCTTGTCTAGTTCTGGCTGCTCAAAACTAGGGTTTTAAGGAGATAGTCTTCTCCTATTGTTTATCCCTATGTTCCAGTATAGAGACCTCTAAAGTTCCACATAAGCAGGCATGTCCAAAGTCCATTTCGGGGGCCTAATCCAGCCCGCCGGTCAGTTTAATCCGGCCCCTGTGGCAGTTAACTTCAACCTGAACAACTTCAATCCTAAAAAAAAAGTCAGCAACTTTGGTCGGCCCCTTGGTTGGCCCTCACGGCCCTTTAAATCCGGCCCTCTTTGAAAAAAGTTTGGACACCACTGAAAGGTATGGCTCTTTTTAGAGGCTTTCCCAGTCTTTACAAACTCCAGTCATTCTAGTTTGAAAAGAGAGACAGACATTGGCATTGTTGACAAGGGGCATTATTTCATAGCAACAAAATATTACAGTCCAAACGGAGAATTAAATATACCTGCAAAAGAGGTATATTTTCAAAGAGAATGGCTAGAATCGCAGCAGATATGAGATGCAGCATTAGAGAGCACAACCAAACAAAATGGGATGACTCCAACACAGTAACAGACTCAATGGACACAACTCACTTAAGTCCATTGATTTCAATGGGTCTACTCAGAGTATGACTTAGATGGATACAATTTGGTGTGTTGAGAAATTCCCTTAGAAACAAAGGAGCATTCAGAAATGCTGCCCAGAGTGGCTGGGGCAACCCAGTCAGATGTGTGGGATTAAAATAAAATACTAATACTAATAATCAGAATGACCTTTTTAATACATCTCTTAAAAATAAATTATACCCTACCTTTTTGAAAGAGCTCAAGAATACACACAACATAATAATGTATCAATGACAAATGATAACAAACAATAAAAAGTAAGAATCCAAAGTTCAAAAATCAGCGAACAGCAGCCACCTGAAGTACACCCACCCACCAAATGTAAGTGTTACCAAAAGGTACCATTTCTCTCTGTGGTTAAGTATTATCTGGTCCCAAGACAGATTCATAATGTGATTCAATGGTAAAAAAAAAAGATTTTTAGCTATTTCAGAAGTGTTAATTCCCCAGAAAATAGCACATTGCACTTTGCAATGATGCTTTATGTTTCACAGCCTTGCTCTGCAAGCCCTGGAGGTGGTGTCCTCAGCCAGGTCTGCCCATGTCTTAAAAAGGAACCAGAAAGCATACAGCACTACCTGCAGGCATCAAGATATATTAGCAATCTAATTCATTCCCTGCACACTCTCAAGGGCAGCTGTAACTTGAAAGTATGCTAGCTGAGAATGTCATGAACTTTTTGAAGTATGCATTGGCAAAAAGTTAGTGGAAAGCTTCTACTGCATTCACAGTTCCCTAAAAGGAGGTCAGGTCAGGCAAGTCCATTAAAAAAAACTGCACTCCATTTCAAGCCAGGATGTTTTTGCTACTGGTGTCACTAACAGGGAGAAAATAGTGACCCTATGAACATCAACAATCCCTTTATAATCTCTTCTGCTCCAATTATAGCTGGAAATGTTTCCCCATCTCTTTAAATTCTGCACTTAGGACCACTGTACAATTCTGCTCATTGCTACATTTTCAGAGCCAGTAAAGAATAAAAGTTGCAGATATTGTAAGACATACAGTACAGTACTGATGGGGCAGAAAGGGAGAAAAATATGATCTTAAGAAAGTGAGGGTGATTTAAAAATTGTGGGGGTGTTTGACTATTAATTTTAAATCACGATTCCTTCCCCCATTTGTGTCCCTCCCATCCTCAAATATCCACAGTAGAAGCTTGATTACTCACATCATGACTACCTAAATACACGTTAGTGTAGTTCTATGTCAATGTAGAAAAACAGTCCGAATTATCTAAACATCTGACTATCCTAATATTATGGTCATTCTCTGCGTTGCTTATATAAATGGAGTTTAAGCTCTAACGGCTTATAAACAAAATGAAGGCCCCCAGTAATTCATAAAGCTATATGAACAGTAAGTGGAGTCTTACCTTGTGGTGTCCAAAGTCATTTAATACAGTGCCAAGCTTCTTGGTGTTGGTATGAAGCTTATGAGCCACGATCATTGGATTTGGATCCCGCCAGTCAATGGACAGGCGATGGTACCAGAGGCGCTGTCCTTTCTGAATATGTGCCAGTTTGATACTGGGGTCAAAGCGATGCACCTCACATCCACTATTGGCCATGCTGATCTCAAACTGGTTGTTGTCACTGCCCAGTCTTCCCAAAGCAAACAGAAGAGGTATTGTTACTTCAAATAAAAACAAATATGAAGGATCGCTACTATTAACATCTTAGCGCACCTACCCCTGAAGGACTTAAGGTAGAAAACATTAATTCTTGGTAGATGTGCGGAAGCACTAGAAAGAGTTTAAGGGCCAGTCGTGTCCGACTCTAGGGTTGTGCGCCCATCTCACTTAAGAGGCCGGGGGCCAGCGCTGTCCGGAGACACTTCCGGGTCACGTGGCCAGCGTGACGAAGCTGCTCTGGCGAGCCAGCACCAGCGCAGCACACGGAAACGCCATTTACCTTCCTGCTAGAAAGCGGTACCTATTTATCTACTTGCACTTAGGGGTGCTTTCGAACTGCTAGGTGGGCAGGAGCTGGGACCGAAGGACGGGAGCTCACCCCGCTGCAGGGATTCGAACCGCCGACCATGCAATCAGCAAGCCCTAGGCGCTGAGGTTTTACCCACAGCGCCACCCGCGTCCCGTCAGAAAGAGCTTACAATACCACAATTTTCAGAAAATACGTAAATAAAAACAGTAATAATAATAATAATAATAATAATAATGAAAAACAGTCACTGCATGATTTGTCAGCCTAATTCTAATCAGCCCAGAAGTTTTCCTGAAAAGTGAAAAGCCAACAGTGAAGTAGAAGATACAAGGATTTGTTTAGAGAGGGCATTCCATAATCTAGGTGCTACACTCAAAAAGACCCTGTCGCGTTCCTGCATGTTACACTTCAGACAGTGGGGGGAAGGGGCAGTCAGCAGGGTATCAGTAGTTGACTGAAGCACCTAGGCAAATTCATATGCAAGTTTGGGGACCTTAAGAAACCCTAGTTACAAATTATTCCGGGCCTTAATGGATATTACCAATGGATATGGCATATTTAATTGGGCTCATAAGGAACTTAGCAGACAGCATAGTTGAAACAAAACTAGAATGATGTGCTCAGAACACATCTGCCCAGAAGTCTGTATGATGCATTCTGGAGCAGCTGAAGCTTCCAACCTCTTCAACGCAACCTTCCCATGCAGATGCTCTAATCCAGATGTAACTAAGGTATGAAAGACTATGGTTCGGTCCAATTTCTCCAGTTCGGATGTGCATGTGCATTGCATGATGTAACTTCATTCAATGGCTGTCAGCTAAACTTGTCGACTTACTCAGTTGAAAGCCATTTTGTATGTAGTGAAACATATCTGTAACATGTCAGGTGTTAATGGCACGTTGGCACATGCTTGTCACCAGTTAATGCTCCTGCTATCAAGGGGTGAAGGCGCATGTATGAGTTTGTCCAAACACTGCAAGATGAATTAAACTCAGGGCATTCTCAGGGCTAAACGTCACATTATATTAATCACAATTTTTTAAAGAGCATGCTTAGTGCTGATATCTTTATTTTGAAGGGGAAGTAGCTGTGGGGCCCCCATCTAGTTTCACACTCCCAATTCAGACTGAGGTCTAAAAACCAGTTGCTCATTAACTCCACACTCACCCCACCCCACCGGGCCTCAGAACAGTTTGTAGTAAAGAAGCACCTTTGGAACCAGTAGTAACTGGGGCAATTTCAGGTGGGAAAATAGGGAACAGGAGATGGCACCAAAGACCCATGGCTACATTTCCTTTAGCATAAACCAATAGTGTTAAGCACATTAAAAACCACAGGGCGAGGCCTTCCACACATAAGCTGAATTGTGACTGACTACTGCATATTGGCAAGTCTCTACATAGCATGATAACATAAGAAATGTAGTATGGCTTAAGGTCATAAACAATGCTCTTCTGTGGGCTACACACTGATTTTCATGCTGCTCTGATTTCTGGAAACGGAGGCAGATGGGAATCTAGAAGAAAAGTTGAGCATCCTGTTTCCACCTAGCATTCATTAGTTCCACCTAGCTTCCTCTGAAATCAATGGAGTTTAAGTCAAGTCATAATGGGGATTACATGCAGCTAACAGCACAATCCTAACCATGTCTACTCAGAAGTAAGTCTTGTTGAATTCCATGGAGCTTACTTCCCAGAAAGTGGGGTTAGGATTGCAGCCTTAGTCTGGATCCCGCCTCATGAGTGTTCAGTAGCTAGAGGAAAATGTAAAATGAAAGCTGTCTTACATTCATTGCTTACTGTCAATTTAAAAATGCTTAACGATTGTGTGCATAGTTAAACACCTCAGAATGCTGAAACCTGGTAAAACCTTTTGTGAGTCTGTGGTTGTTGTTTTTTTTTAAAAAAACAACAACACTTTCAGATGGAGCATTAATCTCTTTAATAAATTCAGAGTGCTTTTTATACTAAGCCAATTTAAAAATGATCATTCAAATTCATTGATGCATTTTGCGATATCCCAGCCAGCCAGTAACATTGCCCTCTGTACACCACAGAGTGTCACGTGCCTCCCAATGGATGGAGTAGCTAGAAAATAATCTAAAATGGGCAGCCTCCAGAGGATTTGAGCTCTGCTCCATCATGTTCATATGAAATGCTTCTGCTTTTCATCTCAGTCCTCACAAATGCACAGACAATAACTTCATTCCTCTCAATGTTTCATGCAATACGTATTTTTCATAGGGCTGTCCTATATATACTCAAAAACATTTGTTCTCTCTCTAGTCATCCTCTGGGAAGAAACCAGCTGGTCTTCATTTCCTCTTTCATAAATAGAAATTCATTAGATAAGAAGTGTATTTCAAGGAGATTTTGTCTCATTCTGAACAAGATTGCTTCTCTGTGCAATCATACACCAAAGAGCAGAATTAAGTGCCAATGTTACTGAAAGATTGTAATTGGATTGGAGTCACAAGGAATTAGAATTGATTGCTATGTAATTCCTCAAGAATTGCAAACACACGCGTGCACACTTAATTTATTTGAACGTTACTAGAGTTCGTTCCTTATTTTCATTCTGTGCTTTAGGGGAAAATCTTCAGTGCTTATATATTCCAGCAGAAGGGACTGGTTTAGTTTCCATTTTTTAAATATTTTATTTATGCAGCAAAACATTTTTTCAAAGGTCTCATTGTGCGCTTGCTTTTCTTAGGCTAGCAGAAGGCATTCTTAATGGAAGATAGATACGGAGGCAATAATGTTCTTTGAAGTAAGGTGACAAAATTCAACATGAAATTTAAAACTGACTCAATTGAATTATTTCTACATAATCTATGTGAAATCATAAGGAGGTAAGAATAGACCTGTTGGCTCAGAGTAAAGGCCTGTCTAGTCCAGCATCCTATTCTCACAGCACCCAACCAAATGCCTATGGAAAGCCCCTAAGCAGGACATGAGTGCAACTGCCCTCTCCCCATTTGTGGTTCCCTATCAACCACTTCATCAAAAGCTTTTTGAAAGTACACAGTGTCAATTGAATTGCCTCTATCCATAGGCATCTTGTTGCAAAATGGATATGCACCAGTCTGTGCTTGAGTGGTGCAAATACCTCTGAATACACATTTGCATGACTTTTTTATTTTTTGAAAAAGTTGGCTACTTCAGCCCACATTCTTCCAATTAATCTTGCAATGGGGTTTTTTTTAAAAGAGAAAACCACATATATCCTGGAGCAAGATAAGCATAAGATAGCCTAGCAGATTGTGTGAAGAGCATGCCATTCACGATTGCTTCATTTGAATTTCCCCCATCATGCATCTACCTGTGCTTAAAGATCAGCACCTGATGCCCTCCTCTGTATGCCACCTCCAAGAGAGGTTCAGAGGGTAGCAACAAGGGAGAAGGGACTTTTTGGTTGTGGCTCCCCACTTATGGAATGCTCTCCCCAGTGACACCTGCCTGGCGCTGACACTGCTATCTTTTCAGCAACAAGTTAATTTTTTCATGTACCCCCAGGTATTTGGTGCTATGTGATGGGCTGTTTTTAACACTGCTTTTGCACCAGTGTTGTTTTTGTTGCTTTGTAATGGAGCTGGGGTGGTTTTAGCACTAAATGAATTGTTGCTTCTGTTGCTTTGTTTTAAATTTTGGATACCTTATATTTCTGTAAGTCAACTTGGATCTCTCTGAAAAGGGCCCCTTAAGAATGTTAATTAATCATGAATAACATAAATGGTTCCCCCCACTCAAAAGGGAGACTTACCCCAGTGAATATAGACGGCACTGCTTTCTTTTGATTTGATGAACTAAACTGAATCGGTCATCCAAGCATATTGACCATGGCCTCCTTGAGCTGTTGGGGTTTCCCGGCAGGTTGTTCATGCTCATATGATCACATGAAATCTGTTAAAATAACAAATGTTGATTTCATTCTGTGTTACAATCTTTCTACACATCTCACATTCTGTTTGAGCAGGGAGAAGGGAGGATGAGGGAATGTCTTACAGGAAATTGTTCAACAGTTATGTGACTGACAAAGTGGGGTGAGGGAAAGGCAGCCAGGCTTAATTTATTGTTTGCTTATCTCTTGTTTGTTTGCTTTGCTAAAAGAAGGATGTGCCAGATCGAAAGAAGTCAGACAGTGAGAAGAGCAAAGCAAACATTAAAAGGCAAATAATTGAATTCCAGTGAATATTATGTGCCAGATGCATTTCACCAAAAACAGCTCCCTGGACTACAAAAGACCATTTATTTTTATCCTTCAAGCCTTGGATTCGATTCCGCATTTAACATTATTTAAATAATAGTAATGACCTAACTCCCACTCTTAACTTTAGGTTACTTGCCCTACAGGTCTGAAATCTGTATCTATTGGGATCTAGCCTCCCCACTAGAACATCAAGGGGCCTCTTTGGCACAGGGAACCTTAAACCAACTGAGGCTGCCCCAATGGGTACAACCCCTTTTGAATGGACACAGCCTGGCCACAGGGACCGTTGTAGCAGCTTCCAAGTTAGATTACTGTATGCGGGGGCTGCCTTCAAAAACTGTATGGAAACCGCAGTAAGTCCCAATGCAGCTATTAACAGAGACCAAGTGCTGAGATCATATCACACGAGTGCTTAAATAGCTACACCATCTCCCAGTCCATTTCCAGGAACAAATACTGGGGTGGAACTCAATGTTGTGCCATTATGAACAAAATGCACAATCATTTCAGCTTGCCAGATGTAACAATCCCCGCCCCACTGCACACGCCGTTCTGTGGGTTCTTGCGTACCCACACCAGTACAATTTTGGGGGTTCACACACACTGCAACATGCTGAAGTCACTCGTGCATGCCACACAATGTGCCCTCCTCCTGTCCTGATGCTGCAGCCATTCTGTCTCCTGGTGGCTCGCTGTGAGGAAGGTCACTAGCCACCTTTCTCAAAGTAAAACATTGGGGTGTTCAAAAAGGATGTGTTATACAGCATGTGTGTGCTGGGCCTTCTCAGTTGTGACCCCTCAGCAAAGCGCATGCTCCTGGTGATGGGCATTGCTTAATGCTTGCTTACTTTGTTATCTCTTTGGTGCCTGGTGAACTCCTTTTCCATTTCTTAGGCCTTTTAACGAATCCAGCACGTGATATAAAAATGTATTTTCCTGCTCTTTTATAGGCTGTTCCCCCCCCCCCACCTGCTGTTAGTTTTGATATCGTCACATTTTCCGTGGTTGCATTTGTTTTTGTGTGTAGTAAAGAAAGTCATTTTGAAAGAGAGGCTATACATATGGTAAAATAATACGATTTTCTTAAATGGAGGTTGTCCTACAGGCATGCAAAGCAACAGTCAAGCCAATATAAAGTCTCTGATAAAAAAAAATATCTCTCTCCCACCCGCCTCCCTACCCTCCCGTGGGGCTTAAATCCCTGCTCATTTGAATACCCATATGCTTAAATCCATTCATTCTTTTTCAGTGGATGTGCTTAAATAAATCCCACTGGAGAAAATGAGAATTAATTATATGTTCAGCTCTTTGCTGAACATATTCTATATAAAGTAAGAATGCACTGTAATAATCCTGTCTAGAACTCACAACAGGATTATTTGATACAGAAGGAGTCAAACTAACAATTGCCCTGCTATGCACATATGAAGCAAAAGAAATCTTGACTCAGAATTCCACAAGGTTCCACAAGGCAAGGTTGCTCATACTCTGTAGTCCAAAGATCCAAGCTCTGTAACATAATACTCCAGATTCAGCAATCTGAATAAATTCTACACACACACACACACACACACACACACACACACACACACACATTTGATTTCCTACCATAACGGTTTTCACTTATTTTATTTATTTCAATGTATTTATATCCCGTTTTCATTTAATTTATATATTTCTGTTTGGAGTGCCTAGGCTGTTCCTGACGAGAAACAGGAAGCTCATTCAGGGGACAGAATTATAACACCCCAATAAATAAAAGTCCTGCTCAGCCGCTCCTGGCTGGCTTTGAGATTTCACAAGCCAGGATGCTAGAGGCCGTTTCTGCAAAGAAATAGAAGAAGTTTGAAAGAGTGATAGTTCCACTTTCACCACTTCTTAATATATTACAAAAACCTGCAAAACCTATTCAGCAAACAGGATTTGTGGGATTTTGCATTCTATTAAAATCTACAAAGCCTGTTTGATCAGTGACTGGAAGCAACACTGAGATAGAAAGGCCTCTCTCAAACCACTCTCTAAGAACTAGAAATTTTCTAACGGGAGGGGACACATTTCCATGTTTACAGAGTAATATCTAAGACACATAGAACTATGAAGGTTCTTGAAGAATTTGATTCCAATGCTAATTGATACAATCCTGGACAACTGTGCAGTTTGAAACCGAGTTGTCTTTTGGATTTCGTACCCCTCTGACTTTTGTGTTATTATTCTTGGCTGCGTATACACCATACATTTAAACCACATTACTTCCCACACAACTGTGCCCTCCTGTAGCACAGAGAAGGTTACCAGGGCTTTTTATCTGATATTGATGCAGGCTGAGGGGTGGATATTGCTGGCTTCCTGAGATAAAAATATATTTATATGTACTTGTCTTTAACTGCTGTAATGTACAGTATCTTTTATCTTTGCACTCAATTTTCTTGGCCTGCTACCATAACAAACTGCTTGGTTGCCCAAAGCATCGGGAACTGTATGTAGTTTGTTAAGGGTGCTGGTAACTGGAACTCTATGAGGGGTAAACTAGAGTTCCTAGGATTCCTTTGAGTGCAGGAAATATGCTTTAAATGTATGGTGTGTATGCAGTCCTTGACTCAAAAAATGTATCCTAAAAAAGCATGTTTTAGGATAAAAAATGTTTACAAATGAGATTAAAACATATTAAATTTTTAAATATATATTTAAATGCAAATTTTCATATTATTTTCTCTTTAAAGTTACAGATTAGCACAGAAATGGGATGGCATGATCACAGGCAGGAAAGAGACTGATCCATTCATCCTGACACAGAACACGCACCGTCTTGCTTATACGAAAATCCCATCAGACTTTCCAAGACTGGAAAAAAAATCTATAAAAATCCTACCCATGCAAATGGAAGTTGAATTAAAGAAGCAAAAATGAAAATCAGGAGTCCGCCTTGACTAAAGCAGATGCTAACTAATCCTTCCTAATGAGCAAACTGAACAAACATGATTAACGAATATTAAACTTTATGAATGTGTTATACTGGGAGAATTAACACTGGAAGGGCTGGATGCTACTGTGGTTATTTCTCACTCCTCCGTTCTTCATTCCCACAAGATTTTTATGATTTTTATTGTAAGGATCTGACTTTCCTTCCTCTACCCTTCCATAAATGTAGTAAGCACTTGTTTTAAATATGGGAGTGGGAGACTGCTTAACTGTGCAACACATTAAACTGAAGTAAAATTAATAAGAGTTCTATTAACATTGCTAGCAGGGGTCACTGATGAAGGAACTGGTGGGTATTTTAGCAGGGCAATTTCAATCTTTATGAGAAATTATTGGGTGCTGGGGAGGAGGCAGGGGGTGCCACAGCCAGCACCATGAAAGCATGTGATTGCTAACTAGTTAGCCTTGCCTCAAACCCCATTGGGTTGCTGATATAAGCAAGAGATGCTAACAACTATATGCTTGCATGAGGCTGACAGAAGTGCCCCTTTCTCCAGCACTGCCTCCTAATCTCTGGTAAGAACAAGAATTCCTCTACTTTCCTTGATCTCCCAGCAATGTTCACCAGCACGACGAGCGAACTGGTCCCTGATCATAGCAAGCAGTTGAAATGGTAATGTAGATGTCATGAGTCCCATGGAGGTGTTGGTCAGATTCTGAGGCGGAATGGGAGGAGCTCAGGGAATCAGAGCTATAGGAATTGGGACCCCAAAAACATGACTGAGCCCAGGAGGGAGCCAGAGTCTTCGCAGAGGGAGATCTGGATCCAGTGGAGGGGCTTAGTGGTTATGTAAGAGCCCCATACTCATATTACACCCTCACTAAAAGCAGTCATGAATAAAGGCATTAAAAGAGCCCACCAGAATGATAGTAAGAGAGAAAAGATAGCTTGCTGAAACCATGAAATAAAACTGCAGAACGCCTAACGTTCATTGTTAGGTGGGAATTCTGAAGCATCTGGCAAAAAGAGAATGCGGATTCCTCTTCCTTCTCCATTTTAATTTATGCCTGCCTGGAGGAGTTGAGGCATTCATTCTCCAAACTTAAAAGTCCTGATTGCTATGCCAGCAACTATAAATTCTCTACAAATTGATGCGCTTGTAGGTTTTGACCCAGCTAGTGAAGCCTAGCAGACTCTGCCACATTTTATTACATCCTTGAATGCGGTAAAGGGCTGGCTTGCTGCACAGTGAAGCTACTTCACTCCGTCGCTCTAGTCAAAAGCTAGGTTGCATTTCCACACCTTCAGACCTCACAGGTGTTGTTTCATTGCTCTCCTTTCAAATGCAGTTATTTGATTTTCAAATGCAGGATGTGTTTCTGTTTTGTTTCATCTGGGTGCCACTTTTTATGTGTGTGGGTTTTTTTTCCTGGCGTGGAGAACAATACCAGTGGTGGAAGAAGTCTGCACTTTTCAGGTTATGAGTGGAGGGAAATGGTCTCTTTCCGACTCAGGTTTATCCTCAGTCCCCAAGGTGGCAATGGCAGTTCTATCACCATTGCATACTTTTCCTAACAGGAAGGTTTTCCTACATAGCCAACAAATGCAGGAAACAAAGTATTATACAAGTATTTAATATCTCACCCCCCCCCAAAAAAAACCAGAGTAAAGATAATATGGAACGGTTTGGTATCACCCGTCACTTCAGGTATTCAAGGCCTTGACTACTGAAAGGATCCTCAGGTAAGCCAGGTCTCTGCTGTAAGGATTCTGTAGCTTAGAACCTCAGCACAGGGCAAATAGTTCCATAAAGGCATAAAAGCAATGCCCAGTCAAACCACAGAAAAAGGGCACTGCAGAAAAGAGTCAGGGTACAATGCAGCATAAACGACATGAATGTTGCAGTTTCAGAGATTTCTCACCATGAAGTGCACACCAGTTGGTAAGCATTCATTTAAAAAACAAAGCTGTCCTTTGACAGGTTGAGTGGCACATGCCTAGGACAAAGTCATTGTCTTCATGCTTGGGAGCATTTCATGGGGAAATGTTTTCTCAAGGGAATGTACATCCATCATACAACATTCATTGCTCTTCCTAGACACAAAGCAATAGTACTAAAAAAAAAAAGGAGTTAGGAAAATGGCTTTCAGACTACCATTCAGATGCACATTAGATGCACACTTCCATTTTGTAGTCCCACAAGTCATTTGGGTGACAGAGGCAGAGGTACACTTGGAAGGGAGTCCCACTGAACTCAGTGAGGCTAACTGCTATGTAAACTTGCACAGGATCACAATGTCAAACTGTAATAATGAAAGGTTCATGCACAATTCTACGTGCTTTTGACTCATGTGTTACTGCAGATACTGAAATATCTTCTCACACTGTGGTTCTGCTCTGCTCACAGAAGTGATTTGCATGAGCACTTCTGTTAATGAAAATTGCAATCTGCGAAGCTGACCTGAAACATTCACCTTGCTGGAGTGGTAAATACCCTTCACTATTCCTCTTCAGCGAAGGAGAGTTAAATAAAGTCAGAACATATTCTCTCTTTTAACAGGAATCTGGAACAGTGTTAGAAACTGAGATATGAAAGCTAGGAGTTAAATGGCACCTTAAACCTAGGTTATGGGCACTTTTTTAAATAACAAGAATACAAAGCTGGAAATGAATGAACTGCAGCTAAAATATTATGTTCGTTTTTCACATGGTCTAGTCTTCATCTGAAGACTGCAAAAAATAAAGCTATGCTTCCCCTAACCACCCCCCTAATATTCTTAAGAGGGTCTCTTCTCCAGTCTTCAGAGAGTAGCTGGAAGTGGGGAGGCAGAAAAAGGTCCTCCTTTGCTTCCACTCTGCAGTTTTAATCTGAAATCTTAGGAAGAACCTACAGGGGATGGGGGTAGGCCAAGGTTTTGAAAATGGTATAGGTGCAATATACTCTGAACAAAAGGCTAAATTAATTGTAAATAATGTGGTGACGGAAGAATTTAAGATAGAAAAAGGGACACGACAGGGGTGCCCAATCTCCCCACTGCTTTTTATATATCGGTCCTGGAGGTTCTGCTGAATATGATTAGAAGGGACCGGTTGGTTAAAGGTATACAGGTCGGAGCCAAACAGTACAAACTGAGAGCATTTGCAGATGACTTAGTATTGACGTTACAGGAGCCAGAATCTAGTACTAAAAGGGTTTTAGAATTAATTCAAGAATTTGGTCAAGTGGCAGGATTTAAACTGAACAAGCTAAAAACTAAGGTTTTAGAGAAAAATTTAACACCGATTGAAAGAGAGAGGTTTCAGAATGAGACAGGTCTGACTGTGGTTAAGAAAGTGAAATACCTGGGGATTAATATGACAGCCAAAAATGGGAACTTATTTAAAGATAATTATGAAAAATGTTGGACGGAAGTGAAAAAGATTTAGAAATCTGGTCAAAATTGACGCTTTCACTGTTGGGTCGTATTGCTGTGATAAAAATGAATGTATTGCCTAGAATTTTGTTTTTGTTTCAGACATTGCAAATTGTGGACAAGATGGACTGTTTCAAGAAGCGGCAGAGAGATATTTCTAGATTTGTCTGGCAGGGCAAGAAGCCCAGAATAAAATTTAAGATATTAACTGATGCAAAGGAAAGAGGTGGATTTGCCCTGCCAGACTTTAAACTTTATTATGAATCAGCAGCTTTTTGCTGGTTGAAAGAATGGCTACTTCTTGAAAATACAGACATTTTGGATTTAGAAGGTTTTAACAACGTATTTGGATGGCATGCATATTTATGGTATGATAAGGTCAAAGCACATAAAGTATTTAAAAATCATATTGTCAGGAAAGCACTGTTTAATGTTTGGATAAGATACAAGGATTTATTGGAAAATAAAACTCCAAGGTGATTGTCACCGATGGAAGCGAAAGCTCTGAAAAGGCTCAATATGGAGGCCAAATGGCCGAAATATTGGGAAATTTTGGAACAAGAAGCAGATAAATTGAAATTGCAGAGTTTCGAGAAATTAAAAAACAAAGTGAGAGACTGGCTTCATTATTATCAGATAATGGAGGCATATAATTTGGATAAGAAAATTGGCTTCCAGGTGGAAAAATCAAAACTAGAAACAGTACTGTTAGAACCCAAAACTAAGAATTTGTCAAGAATGTATAACTTGCTGTTGAAATGGAATACTCAGGATGAAACGGTGAAATCTGCTATGATTAAATGGGCACAAGACGTTGGACATAATATTATGTTTGCTGACTGGGAACAGTTATGGACCACAGGTATGAAGTTTACGGCATGTAATGCCCTAAGAGAGAATATTATGAAAATGATATACAGGTGGTACATGACCCCAGTCAAGCTTGCAAAAATCTATCATTTGCCCGACAGTAAATGCTGGAAATATAAAGAAACTGAAGGTACATTTTTTCACCTTTGGTGGACGTGCCCAAGGATTAAGGCTTTCTGGGAAATGATATATAATGAACTGAAAAAGGTATTTAAATATACCTTCTTGAAGAAACCAGAGGCCTTTCTTCTGGGCATTGTCGGCCAATTGGTGCCAAAGAAGGACAGAACTTTTTTAATGTATGCTACAACAGCAGAAAGAATATTCACTGCAAAGTATTGGAAGACACAAGATCTACCCACTTTGGAAGAATAGCAGATGAAGGTGATGGACTATATGGAATTGGCAGAAATGACTGGCAGAATCCGAGACCAGGGAGAAGAGTCAGTGGAAGAAGATTGGAAGAAATTTAAAGACTATTTACAGAAATATTGTAAAATTAATGAATAATAGAATGATGTTGGATAGTAATTAAGTGGTTTCCAGCTGTAATGCTCTAAGTGAATATGAAAAAAGGGTTATAAATGGGTTAAAATTTAATGGTAAGGATTTGCTGAACCAATAAATTGAAGTGGAATACAAAAAAGGGAGGTACGAGGAGGTCCGGGAAACAAGCTAAAGGAAAATAAGTAACAGAAAATATGTGTGTTTTTAACTGTTTTTATTTTGTATTTTTCTTTTTTCTTTTTCATTTTCACTGTAATATTTCAAAAAACCTTAATAAATATCTTATATATAAAAAAAATGAAATCTTAGGTGCAGCACTGCGCCCAGAGCTCAGAAACTGCTCATGCTAATGAAATTCCTTGTCGCAAAACGCACCTGGAACAATGGGCGTTTTGAACGCTGATCTGGAACTAATATTGACAACTGATGCTAGCTTTAGGGAGGATTCACTCCGCATTTGGTGGTGAACCTTTCGCCCTCCACCCCAGGTCCTGTGCACATATCAGAATGTAGTTCTGCAGATTAAGTTGCATAATCAACAAACTAACCCACACATGGGTCCTGCACTTACAAGACAGTCGAGGGCTGCCTCTTTCTTCCTTTAAATGTTTTAAGCTGTTTAGAGCAACTCCATGCAGTAAAAATTCTCTGTTGAAACATTGTTCAAATACATCATATTGTTCAGTGGGGAATTGTATGGAGAAAGGGATGGCTGCCCCATGTACCTATGGGAGTTCCCATCTTTTTCTTCATTCAATTCCCCAAGAAGGGACTGCACATTTTGATGTATGGTCATTTCCTGGGAGCAACTTAAAATATATATTTTTTGCCTCATGGAGCTGCTGTAAAGAGCTTAAAATGTTAAGGAAGAAAGAGGCAGTCCACAGACTACCTGGAAAGTATTTTTGTTTGTTTGTTAAAATGGGTGTATTTATCCGCCCATAAACAAGATGAAACAGAATCAGTTTTGTTAAAAAAAGAAAACGAAACCAGTACATTTTTTTTGAACTTTACCTTTGGGCTATAGTCTTTGAGAGCAAAAAAACCCAACACCCTTATGGTTTAGATCCTTTGCTTAAGTTATTGTGGAAGAGCTATACCAAATGAACAGAATTTCATAAAGACGAAGATTAACCAGAGTCATATAACAAGAGGTTAGGAGGGGTCTACAGCTGCCATCTGTGAGAAGGTCTTCATTTGTTCTGAAATTTGTATGAAATGGGATGCAATCCAGGAGATTGTACTAAACATCTGAGATCCAAGAACACATTTTCCCCCACCAAGGGGATTTGCTGTCATATAGCACAATGCTGGTTACCTGGATAGAGCAGTGGTACATCCAACTTTTAATTCGAAGGGACCCTATTCAGGCATACAATGATGTCCACCCAAATCCTCACTAAATTTCCACTTGTGCAAAAGGACTTCCTTCATCTACCCCCTGAAACCCTCCTGCACCTCCATAATCTGCTCCAAAGGGTCAAGCTTTCAGGACAGATTTTGGGGGTGTGCAGGGGTATTCAGGGGAGAGTTGAAGTTTACCTGAACCATGTTGGATACCACCCACAGCTCTCTTCTTGAAAACCAATAGTTTGGACCCTGGGGAGTGGATACATGTTGGCCTCAGAATGGGAAAGAATCATCCATGAAACTCATTGGGTGAACTTAGTCCAGTCACTAGCCTAATCTACTTCACAGAGTTATTGTGAAGCTACATATTCTAGAGCTCGATAGATGGAATGGTGGAATAGAAGTATATTTAATAAAATAAATAAATACTCGGAAGTGCTTCAATGTTTTAGAGACGGTGTGCCATAAAATGCACAAACAATAAAGTCCCCGTCAAAGCTTCCTAGTTTTCAGGGTAATGATGGATTTTGTGAATCAGAACCCCTCTTTAGAGCTTTGGTTTTGACTACTATTTTTATCTGAAGCAGTGCCTGTTAAATGGTAAAATCACAAAATGAATGGTCATACCTTACCCATTATGCTACTTGCCGTATGATTATGCCACAGATTTTTTTTTCTGAGAACAAATCTATATAAACTGTGATTTCCTAAATGACTGTCAAGATGAAAACCAACCTGTGCAGTGCTGATGTATTTTAAGAGCCTGCGGGCTTCGTTATTCAGGGACGCTGTAGGACTTGCCCAGGGTTGCAAATTTATGTGCCAGCGGATTGTCTGGAATACCAAGGAGAGACAAAAAGAATATTAGCATAGTCAAGAATAAACATATTTTCAAGAAAAGACATTTCTTGATCTAGAGCAGAATGCATTGAAAGTCTAATTATACTATGTCAATATATATTTTATATTTAACAATACTTCCACCCAGTGCTTTTTTTTAGGCGGTATGCCGTACCGCTGTCTCTTTTTCCCTTGCCTGCTGCCGCCACCGCTTCCCGTGATGGCAGGCACCAGTTTTTGCAGAATAGACATTCAGTTAACTGTCCTATAATTTCCCGCATCCACACTGGATCCCATTTACGGATTTCTTTTTTTGTGGCTGGCTTTATGAGGTAAGAATAAAAATTTATAAAAACACAAGCTTGTCTGTTCCTGCCAGCCATGTGGAACAATGGATGCAGCCTATCTAGACTTAGAGGAAGTCAGAAAGAAAGACCAAGATCATAAGAAAAGCTGCAAAGGGGAGTCAAACAGGGCTCCCCAAATCAGTCCTCTGATTTTGTGAATCTAACCTTATAATTCAAGAAGCTATTCTGCACCTGTAGAGAAAAGTTATTCCACCACCCCCCCCCGTCGAGACCATTTTGTGGTGTCCTGAAAGAGGCAATGTTGTTGCCCACAGCATGGCATGCTCTTGATTTCATCTCTAGGGAAAGCTAGTGTCAGCACTGTTCGTACTTTTTGGAATCTGTGAAACCTGTCAGCTCAAAACCTTGGAGATCCTGTCAGCCTAGCATATAACTTTTCACACATAAAATAGGACAGGAAAGAACTTGAGGAAATGTGCTTGCATTAACAAAGGCAATTGCATTCCTTCGCACCCTCCAGAAACCCATTCCCTTGGTGGAATCTCTGTCATCATGTCAAAAATGCATATGGCCACCCTTTTCCTCTCAGAAATACATAAAAAATAATGCTCTTTTAAAGCAGGGGTGGCGCATCAGTGGCCAGGCCATATTGTTGGAGTACAACTCCCACCCTTTGACCATGTAGGCTGGGGCCTGATGGGCGTCAGAGTTCAATAGCAACTGAAGTAGAACAACACAGTTCCAATTTCTTTATTGAGGTACTTTCATCTGGCTTCAGAAGGAAGAGAAATCAGACTCCATTGACTTGGCTGAGGGACAAGCTGAAACCTGCATAACCACTAGCACAGCCTCATTTGAACATCTGCTACTTCTTCCCACCTTCCATAGGAAGACTACGGTTAAATGCAGACTCCATGGCTGCAACATCAGTCAGCTTTCTTTCTTTCCTTCCCCCATCCCTTCCTTGTTTGGTTTACCATTTGCCTGGAGAAATAGGATTTTGGTTTGCCTTTGTATTGCCCTACTGGGGATGCTGGAATTAAAAAGGATTCTTCCATGCTGTTGATATGCTGTGGCTATGATGTGAATGGTAGTTTCATTTGATATTCAGAGACTGGGGAAGTGGGGGAATGTATGAAGTCTGAAGTAGGAAGTTATGCTTCCTCTCTCCTGTTCTCTATGATACACCTAATGCCAACCACAGAAAAAGCAAACAAAGTGAGAGCCAGCTTCTGATGGCAAGTATCACTACGTTGAGTCCCACAGGGATTTTCGTTAGAAGAGGTGCTGAATAGGGCAATGTATCACCAGCCAAACATTGTGATGTAGTGACATATCAGGATGTTGAAAAGCGGGAGTGGTGGTGGTTTCACCCTGGCACCTCATGGGGCCAGGGCTGGTGCAGCTTGTTCCTCCCTCCATGTGCCAGGTGCTGGCGGCGGAGGGAGTCAGGCAAGCCCCACTCACCGTATACCGCCTGGTGAAAGTGCCATCATGCTCTGGCCCTCAAACCAGTCCTGGGAGATGAATCAATACATCGCCCAGGCCTAGTTCTGATGAGGAGTTATTTCATTCATTAATTTGTACACGGGCATGTTCAGATTTGGATCCTAGGTATTAACACTGTGCTATTGGGATGTGCTATTGTTGGCTATTTGCAGTTTAGTAGCGCTGCAGAGAGCTTGCTGGGGAGACCATGCATTAAAAAGGGACTCAAAAATAACTTAAACAAGGTTTTAATAACAAAAACTCCTTAAACACTAAATACATCAACAACAAACCAGACCCAAACACCAACCCATCCCCCAGGGTAATGGGAAAGCTAGGTGCTGCTCCTTATATACTACACCCAATTGCTGACACAGCTTAATCAATACAACTCAGCAACACCTGCTATGTTTCACAGCTGTAAAGCTGGGTCTCGTTATTTTGCTCTGGCCCTTGCTCTGGCCCCTTAAAGGCATACACATCGGGTGGAACAATGATGAACCTTTACATTTAAAGAAACCATTCAACACTTTTCTGACAAAGCCAGTGTCCGGCTCCTGATATTTATCATTAAGAAGAGCGAACTCAAGCAGGAGGAGCAGAGTTGGCGTTAGAGACCATGGATTAGGAAACCTGTGTTTTTCCTCTATTGCACAGAAAAGGAGAAAATAAATATATGTAAAAATAATGGGAAGGGAGGTACCCATCAGGAATTCTAGGAGGTTGGAAACTAAAACACAGTCCCTGAACAAGAGTGCAATTGGGGATTTGATAGGGCAGAGGTCTCCAACCTTTTTAGGCCAGCCCCTCTCATCACTTCCCCCCTCCCCTCCACTGGATCACCTCCTCTCCCCCTCCCCCAGCAGAAACAGAAAAAGAGAAGGCACCTGTACACCTATTTTGCTTTTCCAAGGGAGGTGAGTAAAAGTTGGATCCAGTAGAATTGATCTGGGCCTTGGAAAGCACATAGAGCTTAAAGAGAAAATTGGAAACTGTGTTTAAAGATGAAATGGGAAGAGTGACACTATGTGCTTTTCAAGAGAGAGAAAAGGTAACCTCCTCGTGACCAAAGGGGCAGTGAGCGTGGGAGTTCGAAGGCTTTGTGAGTGCCCATGCCATTCCACCCATGAGTACAGTGGTGCTTCGGGTTACAGACACTTCAGGTTACAGACGCTTCAGGTTACAGACTCCACTAACCCAAAATTATTACTTCAGGTTAAGAACTTTGCTTCAGGATGAGAGCAGAAATTGTGCAATGGCAGTGCGGTGGCCCCATTAGCTAAAGTGGTACCTCAGGTTAAGAACAGTTTCAGGTTAAGAACGGACCTCCAGAAGTTCTTGACTTGAGGTACCACTGTACCACATTGGTAACCCTGTTTCTATCATAAAAAACCTCAGAGTCTGTAATAGAAACGCCTTGTACCATTCAAGAACACTAACAGAAACAAAAGCAAAATGGGTGCCAGGCTCTGAATTCATCTACAACGGACTTCATGGAGGTCATATCCTTAGGACTACCAGAAAAGGATCCTTTGCAAGGATGGATGGTAGACACATTGCAGGGAGCGGGGTGGAATGTAATGAGAGGGAAAGGGCAAAGTTCAAAGACAAAAGGGGGATGAGAGTCAGACCAGATCAACAGCCATGAATGGATAGCGTGAGTCATATTTTTGCAGCTTAAATAAACACTGTCTTGCTGGGAGCCAAAAACACTACACGAAGCTTTTTGTTCATTGAGGGTAGAATTCTCCCTCGTTCCCTTGTAGAGGAATGATGAAAAGAACATTTTAGAAATTTTTTGCAGTTGACAGCCAGAAAGCCGACTTCGGTTTTTCCATCACTTAAACTGTTCTTTTGCACTCTCTTAACTTTCCATTACTGGTCAATGAATGAGCTTGCATGCCCTTCAAAACTGAAGCTGAAATACCAACTTGCAGCATCTGTCACTGCTATCTCATTTCTAGGCAGCAGTGTTGAATTGCCTGGACCCATTGGGAGGGAGAAGCATGAAGTTTTCCAAAACCATTCAAAACTTTCCAGCAGCCAGACAGCATTTGAAGGAACTTGAAGGCTGGAATTCTGACAGGTCAGAAGACAGAGATGAGAATGAGAATTGACAACACATTCCCAGGCAGAAGCCAAGGACATATGCAGACCTGAGTCCAGTTAATTCAGAAGTGTCTTTGTGGCAGGCAGTGCATGTACCACACAAAAGAAAGTGAACTTTAGTATATCCAAACCTACATTTTAAATGTATTTTTACATATAGCTTGCAGCAGGTGGGGAAAACATCTGCTGCAACAAACTGAACTTGTGTCTTTATTTTTTAAAAATAAAATACTTGCCACCTTTCTGAGAAGAATTTTTTATCGTGGCAGATCTAATGTAGTTACTTTAAGCTTATTTTCCCTCAGTCAAAATCCAAAGGGCCCAAATCATTCCTTTTATCTCATGCCCCCAAGCTTTAGGGCCATTTTACCATTTTTATGTAAAGAAATACTTGTAAAGTATTTTATGTAAAGAATCACCTGTTGTTCACCATCAACCAACAAATACAAGCTGAGCCTTGTACAGAGAGGGATTTCACTATGCTTATCACAACAGAACGGCTTGGCTCATGGCAGATCAATCTGACATTTTAAAAAGGAATAAGAAATTATGGGGAGCAGTGAATTGTCCAAGAGCAACTAATGCTGCAGCATTGCTAAAGCTAACCAGCTGTGGACCTGATCAGCCCCTTGAATGGAAGACCACTGGTAGCACCATGTAAAAGCAGAAGCAGGGGAATTAAAAAGTAGGATAAAAGTATGCTGTCTCTCAACATGTTTGAATGTACATCAGTGCAATTGCAGTATTATACTTTTATGTCCTCTGCTCTGCTCTGCTAACCTGGCACAAGAGGCTGCTTTAGCAGCACAGAGGTATGTGCCAGTCCATTCATCCCAGAGATATTATGGGCCAAGTATATTATTGATAGAAAATTAAATCACAACAGCCTCAAGACAAAATAGGAGTCAATTTAAACTCTACATGATAAATGGGAACGTCAGTTAATCCAAATATAACTGCCAGGTGCTTGTAAACATTGGCAAAGCAAATTGGAGATGGTGGTACCAGCTATGGAAAATAATCTGATGGTTCCATAGACATTTGAGACAAATGGGTCCTAGACAGGAAGCCAATCTCAGGAGGAGGAAGTGTTACCAGCCAACTTGTCAGGCCAGGAACACTGGGTTTGGGTGTGGAGGAGGGGGTGCATGTGTGTCTGAAAAAGAAAAAAGAAAAACTATTATCTAAATTCAAAGTTGCTTCTAGATGACATGTTTAATGAGCATTCAGCCTTATTTGTTTGCAAAGAGGTTAGATGCTGAAGGCCGTTTAAAGAGCACTCATCAAAGCGTTTATTATCCCACACTTTTCAGTGCATTTTCTGTTCACTTTCCTTGTCACAAAAAGTCCAAGCTTTATTTCACAAGGGCTCCACATCAGCTTTAATTGTACAGTCTTAATTTGCTGAGATATGATTGAATCCCACCAAAAATTAATGACAGTCTAAAACCTCCACAAGTCAAGATTTTTTGGACCTCTGATCTTGACAGTAACAAGAATATGGTAGGGCATAGATTTAAACACAATTAGATTTCTTGTCCAATGGCTGACACAAATTCCTTTCAAAGTTAATGAACGGATCCAATTAGGACACAGATTTCTAAAGCACAAAATTCTTATCCACAGATGTCATTTCTCATATCAGGACCAGCAGCATATAGATGAAGCACAACTTGAGAAGCTAAAACATGATTTTAAAAACACCACCACCACAAAAGCTTGTGATGTCTATAGTTTTACATTTCCTCTTTTTTATCCAGTACATACCTAAATGTTAACTGTTAACTGCAGTCTTAAAAAATTACTGCTAAATACATAACACACCTACAGTGCTTTGTGTTTGTTTGTTTGTTTGTGTTTTTTACAAATGATTCCCTGCATACAATGGCTGTAATACAGATGTAAAGCAGACCTTTTTAAACAGAAGACAAAGTCTGAGAATTACCGTACATGTACATCTATGGGAAGTCCTCTATATTTTGTAAGAAAGTGTAATTCACAAACAATTAGGCATAAAATCATATGGAAATAAATGCAATGTGGTGCACTGCACAGCGTTTAAGTACCACATTCTTTCTAGCATGGCATAATGTTTACTGGATTGCTCCATGGGAATATAAAATAAACCCCACAACAGAAGATGTTTAATACTACAGTTGTCTTCATCTAAGAGAGTGCACAGCTTTGCAGAATATCTGACAGCTAGTACAGATGTTACATTTTTAAGGAGCCTGTGTGTCACTTAACATCTGATGCACAGAGTGGTGTCACAGCAGAACAGAGCTGGTATTTCAGCTATTATAAAAATTGCATTTCCTTATTTGTTTTTAATCCTTTCTCTTCCTCACGAAGAACCTCAGTAACCACAAGATAGGGATGGAATGTTTTGAAAATCTCAGTGTCAAGTTTCTCTGCATGGATTTTTTCTAACTCCCATCCTATTCCTCGATTTTGAAAAGAAGTTAATTCCCCCTACCTAACCACTAAAAATAATAATAAAAATCCTGCTAACAATATGAGTAAGTCTAGCATATCATACACTTTTTATACAATCCAAGTTACCTAAAGTAACCAACATGTAAACAGATGCATATAGCTGTATAAAAATACTTATGTATCTTATAAAATTGTGCAGCAGAAATATAGTATAGCATAAGGCTTGACTCATTTATACATATTGGACCGTATTCAAAGTAGCACCATTTCCCTTATTCTCTGCTCTCACAATCCCTTGACTCAATAATGGTCCAGATTCCTACTGATGCTGGTTGTCTCTGGTGCCTCACGTAAGAGACATCATCTCATAAAATGTGGCCTTATGACATCATTGACAAAATCACATGGTGCATTCCAACAAGACTAAAAAAAGTAGAGTGAACAAATTGGGCCTAAGAATGTGAGATCAAAGAAGAATGAAGAGAAACAGAATTATCGTATTTTTTGCTCTATAAGACTCACTTTTTCCCTCCTAAAAAGTAAGGGGAAATGTGTGTGCGTCTTATGGAGCGAATGCAGGCTGCGCAGCTATCCCAGAAGCCAGAACAGCAAGAGGGATCACTGCTTTCACTGCACAGCGATCCCTCTTGCTGTTCTGGCTTCTGTAATTCATAATATTTTTTTTCTTGTTTTCCTCCTCCAAAAACTAGGTGCGTCTTGTGGTCTGGTGCGTCTTATAGAGCGAAAAATACAGTATGTGTTCAGAGGTGCCCACCATTTTAAAAATTTTAAGGTACTTTTCATCAAGCACCTGATTATACCCTGATTATACATCAATGCATTTTTAGTCATCTTTATTATTTCTATCTGTGTTTTAAGCAGTGCTATAACAGCTGTAGAAAAATATTAATTATCCAACATGCAAACTTTTCTTGCACGGAAGATGTTTCTTTTCATGGAAGATGTTCTCTTCCATGAGACAGTTATATGTTTTTGAGAATCTCTTTAATATCTAGAATCATGCAAAGGTCAGGTTGTTTTTTTTAAGTGTTTTCTTTGGCCTAATTAGACAGTAATCTGTGTTGATGTTCCCCTGGAGACCACTCTCTCTTTCAGCATATGCGCCCTTTAAATAATCTGCAATTAAAATCGTCTCATGTGTCCTTCTGAAATGGCAACACTGCAATAATAAAGCATTCAAAGGCCAAGTTTACAAGTAGCTATTATATCACTGGAATGACAGACTACAAGGATCTTTGGATATCAGCTGGTGGGCTCTGCCTTGTCACTGATACTCCTTGTTTAAAGGGGGGGTTGCTTTACCCTCAAGGGCAGAGAACCATGCCACTCCCAGTCATTCCACACTGGGCTACATGGACAAAACCTTTGACAGGATGTACGGCTGCTTTCTACATGTGAATTCAGTGTGTGAGCTTGCTGTTACTCCCTAACTCTTCACTTCAATTGATGGCCATAATGTGGTTCTCCAAACTCGACTTTTACACCCATATACTTTATTATGGCTGGCACCGATGTGTCCGCTTGCCCGAGAGCAGGTGACAGTGTACTATCCTTCTTTCCCATAGCAATAGCATGGATGAGAGTTAAGTCGTGGGCAACCAGCCCTGTATATTATGGTTTGGGTACAAAGAGCTGCTCTGAACACCAGTTGCTAGAAATCACAAGCAGGAAAATGCTATTGTCTTCATGTCCTGACAGTGGGCTTCCCACGGGCTTCTGTTTTGCTACTGTTAGAAAAGAATGCTGGACATGGTCTGATCCAGCAGAACTCTTCTTATATTCCCATGCTTGGGCTCACACAAGAGACTTGTGCTATCCCAATATTTGTGTTTTTTGGATTCCTTCACCTCTGGATTACCTGACCTACATGTCATATTGCAAAAACTGTATTTTGAAAGTCCACTCAGTTTGGAAAGCAGCTTGCATTTTGGCATGGGGAATGCTGTTTACGAACAAGAAGTCTTACCCTCCCCCTTGAGCTCATGGAACTAGTTTCAGAGAACTTTGGATCTTGGTCAGTTTGCCCCACAGGGAGACTGCCACGAACAGCACCCTACATGCTATAATGTGAAGTACCACCCACCACATAGATCATCTGTGTCATGTAAGTAATTCCCATACCAGTTGCTGTCAGGTTGCTATATTCTAAATTCTCTGATCTACCGTATGTAGCAAGCTAATCTGGACGTCAGTGGCAGTGCATGGACCACATGGAAATAACATAATTGTGAAGTAAATGACATCTACACCAGCCATACCCATGCTGCAAGGCACCAGAGGTCTTGGACCAGGGACAATGGCTGGTAGCAGAGCCTAGCTCTCTTGCTCCATGTGCCACAAGGACAGCTCTCAGGTTTAGAGATCTTTCAGCCTGATCTCTGCAGTGCCACTGGTTTTCCGGGGCTTCAGGCAGGGAATCTTTTCCCAGTCCTATCTGGAAATGCTGAGGATTGTACATGGGACCTTCTGTATGCAAAGCAGATGTTCTACCACCTGGGGAGCCATGGGTTTGCCTCAGGTCAGAACCAAATGCTTAAGCAGAGGTGTTTGTACATGAAGAAAAGAAATGAAAACATTAAGAACCAGCAATATTCCATGACCAGAGAGAAATATTTAGCACCTTTTGGGGGGGGTCTGCTTGTTTTAAAAGACCATTTTCACATTACTTCAATGGGCAATGTGTGCCAGATTCACGATCACTTTCCTGACAATATTTTTTAATATATATTTTCTTTGGTTTCTTTCTGTGCCTCAATTTTTTTCAAGTGAATTGCTCAGCCAATATTCCATGATCCTATGTTGCTAAATCTGACTGACTGTGTCCCCCACTTGGAGTCATTTTATTTGCTGGCAGCACTGCTCAATGTCAGCCAGCAACTACAATCCAAAACATTTCCACTTCCCTGTGTGTGCCAACATGTCTTCTGTTTACAAGGCAGATGGACAAAAAGAAAGACACAATCTTTATCCTTACATGCCCATTTTATAAGTGTGAAAAACAGAAATCCAGCTAATTAATTCTCTAATTGCTCTTCAGCATTACAGCCAAGATTAACATAACCATCATAAGTCAAGGACTAGCAATAAATATGTGAGTCATGGAAACACAAAACGTCTCTAACATTTGATTTACTGAGAAAATTGCTATTTTTCCTACTATATAAGCCATTCCAGGATGTCTGTTCAATCCATATATTCAGATCTTTCCTCCATACTTCCTTTAACCCAGTTGGATCTCCAGCATTTATCTTGCAGATTCAGGAAACCAAACTTGACTATGAGTGGCTCAAACTGTTATGTACACATGAGACAGTTTAATATGTGTACATGGATCACACAGTTTCATTCCCCCTCACCCCGTGCGCTTTTGTACATGTTTGTCCACACATGAGAGCTTTCAACTGAACTCTGTCTCAATGTTTCTCAGCCATCCTAGTGGGCTGTGCTTGATGGGGTGCATTGTGACTTCCTCCCCCTCAATTTATATTTCCCTACCCTTCCTGAATTCTGGAAACTTGAAGTCCATTGTGGGCAAACACACAGGTATTCGTTTACCTGTGAAGGCAGTCATTCTTTCCCATTATTTCTGAGATACGAGCTTTATGATATACAGTGGTACCTCAGGTTAAGTACTTAATTCGTTCCGGAGGTCTGTTCTTAACCTGAAACTGTTCTTAACCTGAAGCACCACTTTAGCTAATGGAGCCTCCTGCTGCCACCGTGCCGCCGGAGCACGATTTCTGTTCTCATCCTGAAGCAAAGTTCTTAACCTGAAGCACTATTTCTGGATTAGCAGAGTCTGTAACCTGAAGCATATGTAACCTGAAGCATCTGTAACCCGAGGTACCACTGTACAGTGGTACCTCTGGTTACGAACTTAATTTGTTCCGGAGGTCTGTTCTTAATCTGAGGTACCACTTTAGCTAATGGGGCCTCCCGCTGCCACCGTGCGATTTCTGTTCTCAGCCTGAGGTAAAGTTCTTAACCCAAGGTACTACTTCCGGGTTAGCGGAGTCTGTAACCCAAAGTGTTTGTAACCTGAGGTACCACTTTACCCGACTTGCACAAAAACAGCTGTTCAAAACAACATCACGTGTGTTGACCAATCCCACCAGCAACCCATGGAGCACCTCGTCAACAGAAGTAGAAAGTGTGTTACTAGATGGTCGTTGCAACCAGCAAAACATCACCATATATGTAGCGCAAAGCAAAAACATTCCTCTTCTCCCAGGCCTTTGGCTAACGAAACAATCAATGGCCTTTTAAACTAGGGGAAGGGGGTGTTTGCTGGGTGCAGGTGACAAATGAAGCCATGGTTTACATGTTTTACATGCTTTATTTGTTACTATGTTATGTTTGTTTTTATATTGCAAACTGCTCCATGAGCCTTGGATGAAGAGTGGTATAGAAATTAATTTTTATTTTTTAAAAAAAAAATCCACTAAAACAATACACTTTAGAATGTCCACAGTCAGGTAGCATGCACTTTTAGGCTGGGATTTCCTCCCCCCCCCCCCTCAGCATTATCCACCAATTGAGAAAATCTGAACTAAAGCACGGGGGTGGGAATTGCAGTCTGCCACTTAAGATGAGAAGATCATCTTGACTATGCAAAAAACATGCACAAATGAGACGCATCGAATCCATTTTCAGCTGCAGCATGTGTACACAGCCAGTGATAAGTCTCTTGTGGCTTGAGATTGAGAACTATTAATTCTTAATACATATTGTATCCTGAATGTAAATTCATTGATAATGCAATGCAAATAATTTACCTGCAGTAAAAAGGATAGGAAACAGACCCTAGAGGCTATTTTCCCCATGTTCATGATTTGCTCTACTAACATCTGTGACTGAAGCAAGCTAATGAATTGCTGAGGGAGGAAAACTAATTTTGCAAAGAAGCCCACCACATTTCTGCAACTGAACTGCCTCACTCCACACTGCAAACACCAGTGATTGTTTGACATTTATACTGGCTGCACCAACAATTTGTGCTTAGCTACTCAAAAGGTGGCATTCTTATAGCTATTCTGCAGCCTCTGTAGGTAAAGTTAGAGTGATGGCAATTTTAAAAGAGCTCTGCGGCTATGCACACATTCCTGTGTACTCTTTGGCTCCAGTGCTCTCCTGCTGCTGGTGTTTGAAGTTGTGTTCACATGAGGTCAGCCACGATTCATACTGAACCTGCAGTTCCTTGAGAAAGTGTTGTTTGATGCATTTCCTATCAAACCAGCTTTCATCTGATTTGAACATACAGTGGTACCTCGCAAGACGAATGCCTCGCAAGACAAAAAACTCGCCAGACGAAAGGGTTTTTTGTTTTTTGAGCTGCTTCGCAAGACGATTTTCCCCATGGGCTTGCTTCGCAAGACGGAAACGTCTTGCAAGTGTGTTTCCTTTTTCTTAACACCGTTAATACAGTTGCGACTTGACTTCGAGGAGCACCTCATAGAACGCGGTGTGGTAGCCTTTTCTGACGTTTTTAAAGACTTTGGTGATTTTTGAAGCTTTCCCAAAACTTTCCCAACACCGTGCTTCGCAAGACAACAAAAATCGCAAGACGACAAAACTTGCGGAACGAATTAATTTCGTCTTGCGAGGCACCACTGTATAAGCCACAATCACTTTGCAGTTAAGTCGAGATGTGCTACGCTTGAGACAGAAGATGACAGCTTTGTGAACAGGAACGGGGGAGGGGGAGTCCTGCAGGCATGAGGAAACCAAAGGGGCAATGCATATCAAGTGAAGACATTCCCACCCCCTCTCTGGTGTGTACAGCAATGTGTACATGCAATTTGAAACACAGAAGGGGAAACTACGGTATTTCACCACGTTTTAAGCTGCTAATCTGTACACAGTCGACCACTGAAATATAGATTGCCTTACTGAACATGAACATGTCTAGAACTGGAGTTTAAATATTTTGTAATGCAGCATTACTGGAGGGAAACATAGTTATAGCTACAAAGTCTTCTCCTAAAAGGTTGAGAGTTTGTTGGCTGAATATCACAGGGTGTTTGCTGGAGATGGCTTCCTTTGAAGCAGCAGGTAATTGCCCGAGAGTCAAACTCCCACCCAGTTAAGTGGAAAGCTTGGAGGAGGAAGGGCTTGCAAAGAGTCAGTAGTAGGTTTCCCCCCCCCTCCATTTTTAGACTTCAAAGGCCTTGAGAGAGCCTTTTTAAGGCTTTCCTTGACAGCATCAGCATTGTGTACGCGTACAATGCCTTCTTTGTATCAGTTCGTTAAATAATGCTCTCACTCTCCATCAGTATTCGATTTCATGCCGTTTAGCAGTCTGACCACATGTGGAATCCATCCCACAGCCCTACAATAATAGAGCGTGTTATCTCAAAACTTGAAGCTGACCCACAAAGGCCTTGTGCCAAAAATTAGCTACCCAGTGCAGCTACCCACTGAGAGCTCAATAGCAGCCGCATTTGTAAACTAGCTTGTGTGCTAAGGGAAGCCAGGAGGGGAGACGTCAAGTCTTCCCAGGCCAAATGTCAAAAGCAAAGCACACTTCAGAGCTGTAAAAAACCGATAAAAATGAGGGGCACTCCTAAGATTGCTGTGCCTTAGTAAAGATAAGTTTCACTTTGGAATGCCCATGTTACCAGTCTTTGTACGTTCTGGAAATCCCACCTGATACACATTCAAATGTGCACCATTGAAAGCAATGCTGTGCGGAAAGACAACATCCGCAATTGGATGCACGGAACACTGTGCATCTGAAAGCACAGATCATGAGCCTCAGATTGTTGCGTATGATTCCTGATCCAACAAGGCCTTTGCCCTGTGCAGATCATCTTCCCTGAATTGAGCAAAAGTGTCTTGCTCCACTTTTACTGCATTTCTCATGTGAGCTTAAGTTTTTAATAATTAAAAGCAATTAATTCTGAAGCACAATATTAAAAAGCATAATAATGACAAGTGCACAAATTATCTGAGTCGAAATCCCCAGGAAGTAATGCAGTGTCTTTTTTATTCAGACAATAATCTAGTGGTAGGGGATTAGTAGAGGGAAAGGTCCTTTAAGTGCAGGCTCTTTTTTATTATTTTAATATATTGTACACCAGTGTTTCATTATGAAATGCACTAAGAGTTATTATCCACCCTGAGCCTTTGAGAGAGGGAATATTAACAAGTGTAAGAGCAATAAATGATTTTTTAAATAAATGATGGGCCAGAGGAAACAGTCAAATATTACTTAATCAATCATTTATTTCGTTGTCAATATACAGGATGCTTTGCAGAGGTAAAAAGATAGGTCCCTGCCCCAAGGAGCTTAGCCTCTAAATCTAAATTTAGAGGAAAGTGTCAGGGACTCCCGGGATCAAGTCAGAAACACCATGGTCTGAGGTGGGGCTGTTGCCTAGATACCTGGGACTATACATGTTGAAGCATCAAAGCGTCTATCAGCACAACAGAGGATGGGAAATGTGCAGCACCAACCCCTGTGATTCCGTTAAACTATTTCTACCCAACTCTTCAGCCAAAAAAGCTCCCAGGGTAGCTTATATAATATCAGTTATAAACAAGACTGTCATTACCCCCGGGCTTACACAGCGGCGTAGCATGGGTTGTCAGCACCCGGGGCAAGGCAAGTCATTTGCGCCCCCTAACCTGCCGCCGCTGCCAGCTTCTTCTTGCTGCTGCCTGGTCTGGTCTGGTGTGGTTCTCTCCCGCGCTCAGCGCTGCGCTGGGCTGCCGCTGCACTGTCCCTCCCCCAGATAGTCCCTCGCTCTCTCTCCGCACCGCACGCCTGGCACCCACCCCCTCCACAGTGGGCGGCGACCCAGCGGCTCGGATCGGATTCGCACAGCCAGCACAGCAGTGAGAGAGAGTGAGTGAGCCAGGTAGGGGCAGAGAGCTGCGAGTGCGAGCGCGCCCCCCCAGATGTTGCGCCCGGTGCGGCTGGCCCCCCCTGCACCCCCCACGCTACGCCACTGGGCTTACAACCTAAAAGGCACAACGCAAAGGAAAAAGAAGAGGGAGAAGGAAAACAAGCAAACTCAGGCACCATTCTTAAAGTTATAAAGCTCTTCTAAAGACCAGTTCAAATGAAAACTGTTCAGGGAAAGGAGCAACTGTGGACCTTGCTTCCCATCTGTCCCATTGCTGCAGTCTACTGGAATGACTGCTGCCAGGAGACCATTGGGAGGCCTTTGCTTAATGCTGGTGACCATAGCTTGCTACAATCCAGCCTACCAAGGGACTTTAGGGAAACCTGGGGCTCAAAAACTCACTCTCCAGATTTAGCTATAGCATAGCTGTTAAGTGTCCCTTATTTGAAGGGACAGTCCCTTATTCTAGCGCCATGTCCCGCTGCTGTCCCTTATTGATGGGTGTCCCTTAAATGTCCCTTAAATGATGTCCCTTAAATTTCAAAGGAAGCAGCTCCTCTCCCTCCCAACCAACTGTGTTGCTTGGCTGTGTTGCTCACCTAATAAGAAGTCTAAGAACAACTGGTGGGTGGAGCTTGCATGCCTTGTGTGTGGCTAGTTAATGCAAGCTGAGGGGGCTTTTGAATGCTGGACGCCATTTTGTTGCACGTGCTGCTGCAAACATTGCAGTGCAAAGCCAGGCCGGGGAGCCATCTTAAGTTGAGGCTGCATAGGCCTTGTGGTGCATGTGATTCAGATTCTATTCAGTTGAACCTCTGGTTACAAAGTTGGTTGGACAGTGTTCTCGAAGCTACCAGCATGTTTGACCCAGACTGCAGGAGGACAGGAAGACTGGAGTGCCTGGAACAGGTGAGGCTGCAGGTCCCTTATTTTGGCTGCTGGTCCCTTATTTTCAAGGCTGCTGGTCCCTTATTTTCAAATCTGTAAGCTGACAGCTATGAGCTATAGTAATGACATTACTGACCAGAATGGTTAGATCTCTCAGGGATGCTGGGAGTGGGCCTGTAGCTGCCAAAGGGCTACAAAGATAATTCCCTCCCTGGGAGAAAGTTTCATATACAAGACTGGCTGAATTGTTGGTTTAGAATGCAAATTCTAAACCTGTGGCTTAGATGCCGTTTTAACATTTATACAGCCATGTTATATTGCAATATACAGTGGTACCTTGGGTTACATATGCTTCAGGTTACAGACTCTGCTAACCCAGAAATATTACCTCGGGTTAAGAACTTTGCTTCAGGATGAGAACAGAAATTGTGCTCCGGCGGCGCAGCAGGCCCCGTTAGCTAAAGTGGTGCTTCAGGTTAAGAACAGTTTCAGGTTAAGAACAGACCTCCAGAACGAATTAAGTTCTTACCCCGAGGTACCACTGTCACATGTTGCATGCCTCTGTGGCGCAATGGGTCAGTGTGTCTGCCTGTTAACCAGAAAGTTAGTGTTTTAAGCCCACCTCGGGACAGCTGTGGGCAGGATTCCTGCAATGCAGGGGGTTGGACTAGATGACCCTCGGGATCCCTTCAACTATGATTCGATGTTTTTGCACATGTTCTTTGAAGTTTCTCATGCTCACAGGAGGAAAGCAGCAAGGGGAAGGATCAGTAATATCTGCAATGCAGGACAGAGAAGGATCAAAATGCAAATAGGAGAGCACACCTCTCTCTCTAACAACTCTTCAGCAGCAAGAGTGGATGCAGCCAGGGCTTTTCTTGGCCACAGACACTTCCACACATCAGCTGATTTTGGATTTGGTGCTGCTCACTCACACGAGCTGCATGCAAAGGGGTGAGAGCAATGAAATGGAATGGTCAAGTGAAGTGGAAGAAACTATGGCTGCCTCCTCTCTTCTTGCCATGGGGCTCTTAAAGAGATAGCCTGATTGAAACTTAGCAACTCCTTTTCCACTTAATGTCCAAGTTGCCAAAACCATCCTTGCCCATCACTGTTGACAGGTCAGCTATACTATTTTTGATCTCCCACCTACAGCAGAGCATTCCAATAAATCCAGATCACTAAGCAAGCTAAACTAGCCAACTTTAAGTCTGTCTAACCCTAGACAAACATTGGTCTGTAAGGAGTAAGTGGTGCTTGACTTGAAACAGGCCATTTCCCAGACGATAAGCTCGAAATGGGATGATCATCCAAATGAACCAGATGCTTTTAATTGTTAATCAGTAAAATCAAGTGCTTGGGAGATTGTGATCTCTAACCCCCAAAAGCAGGTCTTCCAGTCGATTGCCAGATTTTTAGTTTTACTTTGGAGGCTTTCAGGACTCTGGAGAGCACTACCACTAATGGCTTATTATTTATACACCATACTTAGAAATATACTCTTAGTTTCAAGTGCTTGAAAGCATAACCACAGCTTTTAAAATCTGGAGGCCCACCAGGGTACTGGAAAGGTAGAAATTGGAAATTTGGAAATCTCCTCTAGGCTCTGAAATTAAAGACTGTTTTGAGTGGATCCAGCTGACAATGAACATCTGGTCTTTGAACACAGAAATCCAGTTAATTAAAAAAAAAAGTCATGCATATTCTAAAGGGCGGGTTGTATGTTGGGGTGTATTTTTATTCTCTTTATACACAGGTATAAAACAAACGGGTTTTGAATTTGACAGAGAAAAGGTTAAATGTAATTTTAAATCTCAAATCACAAGCCGGGCTTGCAGCAAAATGTTGCAGTATCTCCCCACCCTTTTAAGCGTTTGGTTCCAGAGTTCCACAGAGCAAGTCACACCTTCTTCAGCATTCTATGAACTGTATGGAGCTCAAGGCAGCTAATTCGTTCACCTACATCTTCCATCTTTTCTGTTTTGCTTTTTCATCAGACATCCCTGGAAAACACAGGGCATTCTCGTGGGCTGTTGGGAGGGTATCATTCCTTTTCCTTTACAAAATTACATCTCTATTTCCCCGGTGGGGTGCAGGGTCACCAAAATGCTTGGAAACCAGCACCTTCTTTAAGGTGCTCACATTTTACTTTGAGATTGATAGGGCCTTGACTGAGTGCACTATGAGAGGGAGCAATTAGAATCTGTCTAGTTAAAAAGAAATGTCCTGTGATATATACAGTACAGCAAAAGGGAGCATCACAGGAACACAGGAAATTACCTTATACCAAGTCAGACTTTTGGTCCATCTAGCTCAATATTGTCAACTCTGATTGGCAGTGACTCTCCAGTGTTTCAGACAGGTCTTTTGCAGCCTAATATTAAACCTGGGACCTTTTGCAGGCAAAGTACTGTTGCATGCCACCCCAATCTCTGAGCAGTGTGAGATTCCAGGGGTTCCAGGCGCTCACCCAAGGTCCATGTTTCCTTTGGGAATGAGGCACAGTGGAGACTGTGGTGTCTTTATGATATATGGTTTATTTACACATATGTACAACCTGATCATATGATGGAGCGGTTCACAGCACCCCAAAAGGATCTTGCTTCTCCCATAACCCAAACTGAAATCAAATATTGCTTTTAAACATTACTCTCGCTCTCTCTCCAACTTGCTGCTTCACTTCTGGCCCGCATCACTGCAATTCTAAACTCTTCACCCCTCTAACTAACCATGAGCTGAGGGAGGGAGGCCCACCCATTTGACATCTGGTGCCAAGCCACTTCCTTTGTTGCCTTAATAACCTAGGATATTCCCTCAACTCAGGAAGCTATCCTGCCTTATATTTTAAACTTGCTGGATCCAGGGCTTAGATGGCTCTCAAATACAGCCTATTCTTCCCACCCAACCCCCAAACTTATAACACAATGTATTCTGCCACTGAGCTATGCCCAGCCCCATCCTCTTGGTCCAATTCTATACTGGTTTATTTGGTTTTAAATCACAACGGGTTAAATGAAAGTTACTCTCAAGTAAGTGAGAATAGCAGTGCAGCTGCAGGTTTTGTTTTTTGTAAGTAGAACTAGCTACGTGTTAGCTAATAAGTCTGGAACAAGATCCACTGTGCTCCACTTGCTTCTGACTACTTTAAAAGAACCACACCTTCATTTAAAAATTTTCATTAAAAGAACTAAATAGCATTACTATGCCTAAAGCAAGAAAAATAAAAAATACCCTGTAGTCTTTTACAAGCAAAAATCTGCTGAGCAGAACAAATTCCCCTAATCTTTCTTTTTTTAAAAAACACAACAACCTTAAGTCTTTAAGCAACAAGGTTTTTTTATTTTTATTATACATTATTGTTGCACGCAAATACCTTTCCTACCACCTGAGTGTTAATGGCTGTATCTTCAAGCAATATTAACTATTTTCAGGTGTAGGATTACCAGGATATAAAAGATCAGTAAATTAACATTTCCAGTAGTTACTTATAACATAAGAAGACCCTGTTGGATCAGACCAAAGGCCAATGGGCAGAGCAATCCTAACCTGCACTGATGTGGCAGAGGATCCAATGCTGCAGGGGGCTTTGCTGAACCCACCAACACTGTAGGCTGTTGCCAGTGCCAGCAGTATCCAATGTAATGTCCTCAAACAGGGAAGGATGAGGAGAGAGAAGCAGAACAAATGGCCCACCCAAGGGTCCAATGTATCCCAAACTGGTTTAACAGTTAGGGAGGAGTCAGATCTGGATTAATTAATTAATTTTATAATAAAATGATTTTATAATGTTTTATCATTTTACTGTTGTTAGCCACTCTGAGCCCGGCTTCGGCTGGGGAGGGCAGGATATAAAAACATTTTTATTATTATTATTATTATTATTATTATTATTATTATTTCTTTCTTGTACCCACTTGTTGCCAGCCCAGCAACAAAATCAAGAAATATACTGCAATGGTGGCCCCCACTGCTCTGGTCAGCCCCACTGCTCTCCAACCAGAAGTTAGGATTATTCCAGAGGACAGGATGACTCCAGTAAGGTCCAGTGAGAACTTAGCATGCTTAGAGTTTTAGAATCGTAGAGTTGGAAGGGATCACGGGTCATTGAGTCCAACCCCCCAATGTGGGGCTCAACCCCACAACCCTGAGATTAGGAGTCTCATGCTCTACCGACTGAGATACTTAACGTCTTAGAGACCACAGAATGCTGAATGACTTGGGGGGGGGGATATAAAACCAGAATGGAATAGAATGGAGTGGCCTGGAAGAGGGTGTGGTTGGCTAGAGGAGGACTCCAAAACGGCAAGACTTTGTTGCAGGTCCCACTTGTTCAACTAAGTTTGCTGCTAGCTCCTGTAAATGAGGCTGGAAACAGCTCAACTGCCTCTGCTCTAAATGCTGCTGAGTTATTACCACAACAGTAGATTCCAAATTATAGCCTTCATTCCACTGGTATGCATGGCCTTCAGCATATTTGTATACAGAATTCTATTACTCTAATAAATTATCTGGCTCCTTAAGAAGGCCGGCATGTCGCCTTTACTTTATTCTCTCAAAAGAAGGCTGACTAGCATAAATAACTTCAAGCTGCATCAATAAGTTACAAAGATCCTAAAGGAATGTGGATATGTTGTCTAGAAATGATAAACTAGTTGCATTCTAACAAATTGCAGTCACTCCATTTATTATCTGCTTTACGTTTCAGCCCACTAGGAAGACTGCAGGTTATATTTTATAAATACATGGGTGTGTCTCCGCATGCATTTAATACCCATTATACTATTCAGTATTTATATGCATTCACATATGTTTTTCCAATAATATATTACACATATATGCAATTTTTCAAGCAAGATTAGTTCCCAATCAGAAAACCCTGCAACAGACCATCTACACTGTGTTACTCATGGGGAAACCAGAAGCCTATATGTAGCTAGGTCAGCATAAATTTTAGCTAGGGGGTCCCTTTATTTTCCAATAGCCTGCTCTATCCATTTTTATTATTCTTAATTAAACTTCATAGCATTTGGCTGCTGGGGTCTGAAGTGCATTTCAGCCAAACTCTAGGATTCAGATAATCTTTCACATGTCTAGCCACTGAAACCTATGCTCCTGGGGTGAAATAATGGGATTTCAATGGAGAGAAGAGCTAGTCGCACTATATCCGCAAGAGGGAAAGGCAGCTGGATAGTAGCCCTATTGCTCCTTGTAAACTGAGATAGATCTTGCACCCTGGAGAGGGTCATAGAAACTAAATGCTACTTCATAGTCCCGGGTTTTAGTATTTCCTTAAGCACTCTAGAACTCCCTCCTGTCTGGAGGCTGTAAGTGTTGAAGAAAAGTGGCAGCAATTACCATATAGTTTCAGGGCATGGCTGACCTACTCACAAGGAAATTGTGCAAGGAAGGGCATAAGCAAGCTCTCCCAGCTCCCCCCCCCCCTTCTGTTACATTGCCCAGCTGTTGATTTTGCAGGTTGTTGTTTTTTCTTATACACCAACATGGCTACATTTTTAGGTGCCTTGGAAAATACCTTCTTAGTCAATTTGGCATCACTCAACACTCTCACCTAGCGCCACACAGAATATATCATCAGCTTTGCTAAAATACAGATTGCTGTGCTTCTCTTTGTTTCTGCTCTGTGCCTAATTAGGGCCCTGTGTATATCAACTTGTGATGTGTTGAGGGAGCTGAGTAACGGGTGGCCTTTGTGTTCTCAGAAATGGTGTGTAACTTGGTATCTGTAACAACAAGCAGAGATTTTTTTAAGTGCACAGTTTTGGAACCAAGTCTAAAAGCTCATAACATCCAGAATAATTTATATACTTTTTTGCTTTTTAATTCCCACCCCTCATGTCCCTGCTAGGGATGCAAGAAGGCATTGATTTCCATTCTGACCCATGTTCATTATGTACAGTGCTTCTGTTCTGACGCATTTCAGCTTCTGACCACTGTAATGTAATTTTATGTAATTACATAACTAATGATGTTATTAATCACAGTATTATTATGCTATGCCCCATGATTCATTTCAATGCACAGGCCATTCACTTCAATACACTACAAAGGAAACACAACTGAACTTGGGGAAAGGGGAGTCATCCATTATGTATCATCTGAAGACTGAAAGCAGCAACAACTGATCATATTTGCTGGATTGATTTCCATTCTGGACACTGGACAAATAAGTGGACATCAGCATTTTCCTCTCCAGTTTCTGTCAGAGGTCTCCAGCATCCCTTATCCTCACTACCTCCTACCTTGGTGTAGTATCTTGCCTGATGAAGAGTTTGATAGAACTAGAAATGTTGCCCCTATTTAGTGACAGATGGCATTGCCCAACTGTGTATTTTGGAGTATCAACCCCCACTCAAAAAAGCAATGCTAGGAAGTTGATCCAACAGATCCTGCTCGTTAGCTGTTGTGACTAAAATGCTAGCAGGAAATGAAGAACAAGGCAATACCCTCTTACCAGCATGCTGGTAAGAACCGTCTGCCTCCCTCGGCATAGGAGCTGGGGCAGAATAATGACTCCCGGGATGTGGGGGGCAGAGCTAGAGAATGGGGAACAGGAAGGGATGAAAAGAATTTGAATCTTATTGGGAGAAAGGAAGACGGAGCTCTCTGTTCATCGCCCATCACCCTGCAATTCATCAAATTTGATGAGATTTTGCTAGGCGATTATAATTACAGCATGTCATGCTATGAGTTTCCCCCACCCCTGAAAGATAGGATTCCCCAGCTGCTGCTCAAAAATGTATGAAGCAAGACTAATTTTTTAAAAGCTAAGGTAAGCATGCAAGGATCATGGCTCTGCTGTGTGATCATTAACCTAGTAAGCTTGCAAGAGACATCACTGCCAGGAACCATTTTATAATCAGTATTTTCTGGTCTATTAACTGCAAATGAAAAGGCTTTAAAATACAATTAAAAGATCAGTAGCTTTTCCTTGCACAGTTACTGCGAAAATAATTCCAGAGCTTCTATATCTTCTCTTTCATTCTTTCTCTACTCCCCTCCCCCCTGATTTTGTACCAGGTTGCGCTGGTGCTCCTGGGACCTGATTATTTGCTGTTGAAAACAACTGTCAATGAAAGGGCATCCTTTTATTGCAAACACAATAATCTCTCTCAGTCTGCTCTTTCAGACTGACAATATTTGAACAAGAACTCCCTGAAGTCTTCCTTAGTTATCCATGCAGATGCCAATGGCTTGAAGTCACAATACCTAGTGCTGTAATGCTATTAATCTCCCAGGCGAAATGGGTTTGATCACAGGAGAAGATAACCAAGAGTTATTATAAAATCCATGTGTGCGAAAAGTTCCCCTTTCTTTGCAATGAGAGCACAAACTCCCTTACAAGCCCTTTGCACCCAGAGGATTCCTAAGGAATGCTATAGGACCAATTCTAAGAAAGCTAGTTGCACTTAAGCCCCATAGTTGTGGGTTTAACTTTCCCCAGAGCATGCCCCACATCTCATCCATTCACAGTGCATGAGGTGGGATGCCACTGCTGTGCCACCGCCACCATGACCAAGATAGGGCAGGGTGACAGCCACAGCAGGGGAAGGATCAGGCTGGCAGTGACAGCAGGTATATGCACATCTGCACCCACAACTGTCAACCCAGTGCTTCCCCAGCCATTCCAGTTCTGGCAAGTGGCAGCACTGCCACAGCTGAGAGAGCAACAGAGCAGCAGCACACCTCATGTGACATTGATGTATTCAATTCAGGATGCCTTTTATGTCATTATTTCAGCAACCAAGAATGCTGTTGCTATATGTTCACGAAATTATAAACACAGGAGTGAAGGACTATGTCTCCAAGTGCTCAATGTCCTTAAAACAGTGCTGACAGTATCTGCTATTTTTGCAGCGTGATCCTCACTTCCAAGCAAACATGATTAGGATCGTATCCAAAGTCTGGGTTTTGTTTGTACGTGCATGGGAATAATCAGAGACTAAAGATGACCAAAACAACAAAATGAGAAGTAGTATAATGAGGCTCCTCTCATCTGAGATTTTGAAAACCTAGTAGGGTGGTTAATTCAGATATGAAGAGATGGAGGAGTTCAAAATTCTCTGTCAGTAGCACACTAAAAGCAATCCAAGATATTGAGCAAAGATATAAGAATATGTGCAACACTTGAGATTCCCTGCCTGAGTAAACAAGGAATGTTGATGCAGAATAACTACTCTGAATCAATCACTTCTGAAAGGTCTGGTATATCAGATCATATACATAAGCCCTTGGAAGGAATGCTAATGATTATAATTAGTTTTGGTTTTTCCTTTGAAGCTTCCAGTCCAGGCACAGTCAGATATAATTTCTTTAGTCCATCTGTTTCAGTGTGGCATTTCCTAGTTTCTAAGATGATGCAATAGCATTTTTATTGTAACATAATAATGTTATTGTTAAGTGTCCTAAAGATTTCAGTGTGTGTGTTTTTTTGCCAAAGGCTACAAATTCCCTTTATTAAGGAAAATAAATCTGGATGAAAGTCAAAGAGAATGCAAGATTTCAATTTTTAAACATTCAAGAAATGTTTCTTTCCCAGAAACATAAGAAAAAACCTTGTAATGGTGTGCCTGTAATAGTCAGTTCCCAACTTTCTCCTTGACTCCCTGTGACAAAGGGCAGAGAACCAATTCTGGCAGGAAACTTTATCTTCCCTGAATCTAGGACCTCAAAACAGGGGGTATAAAAAAGATGCATTTCCGAGGCTTTGCCTTCAGCAGCTCAAGAGGGGAAGTGGGACAGGCACTATATCAAGTGGAAGTACTGAGGAGGAGGGGATGGAGAAGCTGGGGAAGACCTTGAAAGATGTCCCAATTATCAGCCTCTCTCAAACCTTTCCTTTTGGGGCAAGTTGGACTATTGCAATCTGGTGCACATACATTTTAAAGGATGGGAGCTAGTTTGAAATAGTCACTGGGTTGCTGTATTCACCCAGCTCCACTGACTTCCAGTCCATTTCTGAGCTTAATTGGAAGTGCGGATGATTACCTACAGTAATTTAAACACCTACATTGTTTAAAGCCCAAGTACATATTAGCTCATCTTTGTCCACACTAGTTCACCCAGTCCCTAAAGTCATTGTATGTCTTTTCCTGGTGTCCCGTCGCCCCGCCAGGGCCGACCCTAACATTAGGCAGAGTAACACATCTGATTCAGGTGGTAGAAGCCAAGTGGCAGCAGCCTTCCCAGCTGCTCCTCTTGAGGCTCCCATTCATTCTCCCACAACCTTCTGCCCTCTAAACTAGGCTGCTGCCCTCAGATGCAGTAGTGGACACTGTCCCATTGTTGAAGCAAAATCTGACTGCCAGTACAGAGAGAAGTTGGAATGTGTGTGGGGGGGGGTCCGGCATTGCCCTTTCCCTCAGACCACAATGTCTTGGGCTGGGCCTGCCCCCTTTTGAGGAAAGGCAGATGGTGAATGAAATAGGCCACGTCTTCACCATACATTTAAAGCACTATTATACCATTGTAACAGTCATGGCTTCCCCCAAAGAATCCTGGGAACTCTGATCTTTTAAGGGCACTGAGAGTTGTTGGGAACCCCCTATTCCCCTCACAGACCTACAGTTCCCAGAGTTCCTTGGGAAAGGGGATTGATTGCTAACAATTGTAACTGAGTGGACTAGTGGTCTTCTAAGAACTCTTAAAACTACAGGATTCTTCAGGGGAAGTCATGGCTGTTAAAATGCTATAGCAGTGCTTTAAATGCATAGTGCAGATGTGGCCAAAGAACTATTCCAAGGTACTCAGCCTTGGAATGTCTCCCCAGGGAAGCTCACCTGCATACACTGATATCATTCCAGTGCCAGGCAAAATACCTTTTTATTCTCCTAAACTTTCATTTTAAAACCTACTAAGTAAGCCACTGAGGAAATGCTTATGTGTTGCATTGTATTTATTATGTTCTACCTGCTATTTTAATCTTATTTTTTGTTGATTTTTTTATTTAAAAATGTATGATTGCACTGTTTTTAGTCTTTTATAATCAGCATGGATGAGCTAAAGGCACAGGATAAACATTTAATGAATGCATAAATAAATAAATATTAAAACGTAAACTTCCATTCTATTTTCTTAGTTGCAGTTAAGGCAATGAGTAATATGTAGGCTTCATAATTGCTAGCAGCCATGAAGGACAAATGTGTGCATTTCTGAAAATAAAAACCTGATTTTTGTTGGTATTGTTTAAAATCGTCATCATACATTTCTTTCCCATTGTGGTATTTTGAGCCATACTTGACAATTTTATCTTGGCTACTCTATCAGGCTATAAAGAGGGCTTCATGCTTTCATTTTGCAAATCATAACACATCATTTCTCTCCACTAGTTATTCTTTGGATGGCTGTGATGGACTGTGAATGCCAAGTGGGATAATATGTTTTTTATAAACCAGAAAGTGTAGAAACATCTGGTTTCTTGGCAAACATGCCAAGAATTATATTGGTGGCTCTGGTGTTTACCAGATCTGTCACATGGTTGGGCTGCAAAGGACAATCCTTTTGTTTTTTATTGGTGTTTTCCATACATTCAGCTTTTTAAAAATCAGATAAATGTACTTAGCAGTTATAACTTTACATAAAAACAGCCTGAAGGTGAAGACAGAAGCCATTTAACTCTCAATGTGTTATTTTAACACACACTAAGAAGAACAAATCCATATGATTAATATGATTATAATTGCTTGCAGTTATGGAAATAACCTGCAATCAAGATACTTGCATCTGATAAGAGGCAGAACTTTATGAAATATTTCAAAATCTTTTCAGCATAGCCCCTCTGCATTTTTTTTCTCTTTACCTGCGGCTCCCAGCAGGAAGTCCCTGATGAGCATGCCAAAAACCATCATCACAATGTTTACTCATAGAAGAATACCGCTATTTCCTGATAGTCTTTATCAAAAATAAAACAAAGCAAAGCAAATTTCCCCCCAACAATTCATCTAAACCCTGTGGTTATTTAAGGATTATATTAAGAACATCATTTCAAACATCTGAGAGTGCGATCCTTATCAGTATTTTAAATTTCTCTGTAATCCATTTTAACTGCTGGAGGAGAAATGGGGGTAGAATAACTTTTACATTTACAAAGCAATCCAAGGAAGCAAGTCCTATTGAACTCAATGGGGCTCACTTTTGAATAGACATGTCAAGGATTGCACTGTAAGAGCATGGGTCACCAATGTGGTACCTGAGGGCACACAGCTGCCCACAGAAGCCGCCTATGATGCTCACAGGGTCTCACCCCCCTTCTGGCTTCTTCCAAGGGTAATAAATGATTTTTTTTCAAGCCTAATTGAGGCATTGGGTGATTTTAGTGGGGTTACAGCTGGGGAGGGGGGGAGAGTTGCAGCATGCATGTACTGCCCAAACTGTTCCTCTGCTTTGCAAATGTGACCACAGGTCCAAAAAGAATAGTAACATCTGGTAAAGGGCTTAGGGTCTGACTTCCTTGATTTTAGACTTTGCTTGCTGCTCTAATAATGGGTGGTGTCTTCCATCCGAGGTTGACCACAAATACAAAGACTGTCTGTGTACTGGAGCTTTTTGTAGCAACCATCCAAGGCTATGGTGGGAATCACTTAGAAATAGCATAGGTAGGGTGGCACTGGGCAGGCTGTGGCACTGAGGCTCACCTGAAAGTGGTACAAGGTCCAATGGTGAATCCCAGCGTAGTGTTTGAGAAACACTGGTCTAACCTATCCTACGTTCCTAAAAACAAACAAAAGCATCCCTGAAATGTAAGTAAAAAGCAGAAAAGCAGAGGCAGAGAGACAGAAAGAACCGCTGAATTATTCATAAAGTATTTGTCCTGCCTTAACACAATGCAGCTTACCATACACGTACGTACGTACACACACACACACAAACACTATCCAGATATAATGTAGGAAATGAGCTACAATAAGATATCTGAAATGAAGGACAGGCAACAGCTTTTCTTCTCTGAAGTACATCTGGGGACATCTGATACACTTTAAAGAGGGAAATTACTGCCACCAAGAATTATTTCTAATTGATGAAGGGCACTCATATAGAGAGGACCGGACATAATGCAGATCTGAAAATGACATTTCCCTGAAGTACATGGCTATTTAGATCTGAGACACCAGGTGTTATCTGAACAGCCTGAACTTAAATCATGTTTACTCAAATCCCACTGATTTCAAGTGGATTTACTTCAAAGTTTAGGTTGCTTCAGACTGCAATCTTACTGCAGAGTCTCAAAGCTCGACATTCTTTGATCACATTTGAACTCTGTCCTCATTACAGAGCTTGTATTGCTTCAGGTTGTTATTGTTCCAGATGAGGACAGCATTTTGAGTCCCTCATCATAAAAACTAATTTACTTCTCATGATCTCTTTGGCTCAGCTGCTTCAAACCCTGTCTGGGCCCCAAGTTTACGAACAACTTCAAATTCCCAAATCAACCTTAACCTTATTTTTGAAGGCAATTTTACCAGCATATGGGGCTACCTGCCATAATGGAAATAGATTTGCTAGGCTGAGATTAAATAAATGTACCAGTCTAGCACTCATGACTTATGGTTGCCTTACGATATTCATTGTCAAAGGATGCCTTTTATTCCAGAATACACATCCTGTGGATGCTCCAGATTTCTGTAGAATATTTCCAAGGTCACTTTTTCAGATTAGACAGCTACACAGGGCCCCTCACTTTACAGTTTGGTGACAGCTTTACCAGCTCAGTCTCAGTGCATGCCTCACCACTTATTTCATACATATATTGTATTTTATTGTACTATAATCTGAATTATGCAGAATTAAAATTGTAATAAAACAAAATACAATATAAAAAAGAAGCAATAAAAACAAAAATCCCATATTCAACCACAAATGGACAAACATGCCACAGACCACCTGAATAAAGCTCACATGCCACACACGCACACCCAATAATCTTGGGAAGAGCAGTTTAATAGTGCTGGGAATTGTAGTTCTGCTGGGCAAACTACAGCACCTACAATTCCTGGAGGCTGGACGTACTTTAAATGTAGGATGCATAAACAGCCAAGAGAGAAAGAAAAGAAACCATCCCTTTTGCGACTCTCAGCAGAACTAGCAGACAACCCAAGGCCACCTCATAATTTAACATCATGTCCTGGCAACCTCGGGGCCTCAATGCATCGTATTGCAAGGGGTTGGACTAGATGACCCACCGGATCCCTTCTATGATTCTGGGATTCTCCTCCATACCATTACCTCCTCACGCCCACCAGGCCTGAACCGAGCCACGTCTCAAGCAGCAGCAGCAGCTCCCAACTGAAGGGTGAACCACCGACCGCACGGAGGCGGCCATTCTTACCTTCTTGCGGGCGTCGCTCGGGGGCGCCCCCTGGAGGCAACAGGTGGGCTCGGCTGGGCCCCTGCGGCGGCCGCTCCTCACATAGGTCACCTGCCGCCTGCTGGTCGCCTCGTTCGCCTTCTCAGCTCTGCGAGCTCCCGGCGGCGGCGGGAGAGGCGGTTTGCGCGCCTCCTTGGCGGGCTCTGCGGCGTCCCAGGAGCGCCGGAGCCCCAGCTGCAGCAGGCAGAGGAGGAGGGTGGCGGAGAGCAGGCAGAGGCGCAGCGCGCAGCCCTTCCCCGGCCGCCTCTCCTGGGCCGCTGCGCAGCGCCACGGGCTCATGCTGCCGCCAGGGTCCCGGGCGAGCGCGCGGCTCTCCTCCTCTCCGCGCTCCTGCCGCTGGGCGCGTGCCTCGCCCAAGGACACATGCCGGGGAAAGTTTGGGCTCTGGCTGGCGGTAGTTCCGCCCCTCGTCTCCTGCCCCAGCCGAGAAGCGGAGGGCGCCTCAGAGCCGCCGCCTCCCGGCCACCGGGCGAGGGACGCGAGCCTCGCTGCAGCTCTTGGCATCCACCGCGGGGCTCTGCGGGTCCCTCGGTCCTCCTCTTGCTCGCTCATCGACGGAGCAAGCAGGAGAGAGCATGGCCGGGTCCGGTGGGGCTTGGTTGGAAAAGCGGCGCAACAGGTAGAAGTTAACGGAAGGCAAAGGAGGATGGCGGGAAAAGTTGGCCTTTCTTGCAGCGCTTTCCAACTTTCCCTTGAAGTTATGCCATCGGAGCCGGCTGTCCTGTGTGGCTGAGTTCGGAATCGGGGTTTGTTGCTCGTTCCCTGCTGTTTTCTAGGTAGTTGCAGCTTGCAGTGGATCAGTTTAAAAGCTGCTACCCAAGCTTTTGACTGGCATAAAGCATATATGCTTTTTAAAAACTGTAATAAATGAAAAGTACATCTAGAAGGGTGATTCCACCCACCTCACCTGGAGATTATCTGTGTGTGACAGACAGTGAGTGGTGGAAAGATCGTTCTCCCTTAACACACACACACCACATCAGTGCCGGATTTGCATATAAGCTAAACAAGCTATACTTTAGGGTCCCACTCTCTTGGGGGCCCCCCAAAAATGTAAAGGGGAAAAAACTGGATGTACATTTCCAAAATATAAGATAAAAAACAAAATAAAACCTGCATACAGCAACAGTGGTTTGTGTTGTATAAGTTCCTACAATGTAAGCAATGGGCCCCACCTGCTAGCTTGCTCCCTAAAATATCACTGGTTTGCTTATTTCTATATATTGGGTGCCTACATTCTGCATGGACTGGTTGCATGGCAACATGTGCAAATGGCTTTAGATACCTATTAGGTCCATAAATTACCATATAGCATATATTCAACACAAAAAACAGCAACAATTGGTTGTTGAGAAAGGACAGCTGGACATATAAACAGCCCCATTACCTTCAGTAGCTTGGGGCCTCAAATCTGGCCCTGCTCCCAATGCTTTCCCTCCTTCCTTCTCCCCCCCCCCAACTCAGACCAGGATCCTGCAATGCAAATCCTCCTTCAGCAACTGCCCCAAGTGAACGGGGAGAGGGGGGCTATTTCCCAACAGAACCCAAAGGGCAGGAGGCAACAGGCAGTGCCGTCATGTCCAAAAGTAGCTCTATGGGTCAGAAGTTTCCAATCAGGCTAAACTAGCCCCTCCAGAAATGTGCTTAAAATGTATGGTGTGGATGTGACCATAGTATTAGAGATCATACAGAAGCACACCCTGATCATATGTTTAAAGCACGTGGCTCCCCGCTGAATCCTGGGAACTGTAGTTTACCCCTCACAAATCTACAATGCATTCAACTGCACACTAATTGAAGCTGACCTAGCAGTGACCAGGAACATTTCATTAAACGTTTAATCGTGCTTAAATAAGGTACATATTTCCACCAGATTATTTTCAAACCCTGAAAACAGCAGTGTTAGTCCAGATGCCACTCTTTAGAGTCCATGCATATGTTTGAAGCAGTTTCTCCCTGGAAAACCACAATGTAATCTGCAAAAAATTAGCAAACCAGAGCACTGGCCTGCAACACAACCAGGCTTAAGAAGTGTTAGTTCAAGGAGGAGGAGACAGTCTTTTTTGTGAGAGCAAAATGGTAAGCAGAAAAATGTCCTGGTATCCCCTTCATCCCTTTTATGGTGATGAGGAAATTAATATTGTTCACAGGTTTGGCCATGATTGTTAGATAATAATCATCAAATAAGCCCCTCCCTAACGGGTAAAATAAAATAAAATACAGATGCAGCTGCTATAAAAGTTCTTAACAGCCTTAGGTATTTGCTTGAAAAGAGAAATGCTTTCTCCTGGTATCAATGGCCTTGTATTCTCTTGGCAGTCAGAACATACTTGAACAGTTACAGTTGCTAAATAAATTCAGCCAGACAAAAGCTCCTTTGTCCTGAAGTAATAGAGGGCAAAGCCAATGTAGGGTAAAAAGAGCAGAGGGCCAAGTAAACATAATTGCTTTTCATATAAACCGTATGAGGGAAAAGTAAATTCTGTGGAATGCTACAGTAACCTTGAGTCTTCTTCCTGCGTGAATTGGTAAAGAATGGAAAAGGTATTCTTTGAAAGTCATTCCAATGAACCTGAACCAGCATAACTTATTCATGGAAATCTAAGGTGAGCCACTGAACTTTTTATTCAGAAATTGAGCACATGCTACACTGTTTGTTTAGCAGGTGTTTAATTCTCAAGTTACTATGTGCCTTTAGGATCGTGCAAGGTGTTCAAGAAGAGCGGTGAAGAACAGGTTTTAAAATATATATTTACTTATGTTTCCATGCAGGCTTTTGGAGTAAAAATCAAAAACCTACCCCCAAGGCAACTTACATACAATGAAAACATAAAGCTACAAAATCTAATGCCAATAAAAATCATTTAAAATTGAAGTGTAAAACATTTCACAACCCATCAACACCATCATACAAAACTAGTTTGAACAATTTAAAAGAAAACAAACACTGCAGCAAAATAAACCATTAAAACTCAGAAATTCAATTCCACATCTCAGCTAATAAACCAATATCTAACGTGTTTCCCTAATAAAAAAGTAACAGAAACAAACTGCAGTCCTGCACATAATGTAATGTATGCATAAAGCCTCATTGATTTCAACACATGTGATTCCTTAAAAAAAGCAGTATGCTGCTTCAGTCGCTTTAAAAAAACCAACACCTGTTACCAGTAAAAACAGTTATGGTGCAGGTAGGGACTGGAGGAAATGTTAGATAAAGAAGGAAGAAGACACCTGCTCTGCCAGTTCTGTAGTTGTGGATGGTAATGCCAGCAATTGTGCTGCACAGGCACCCTTAAGTCTGATCCTATGCATCCCAGAGAAGCAAAGAATCAGACTGTGGGCTGCTTAGCATAGGTGGCAGCAAGCTCATGTTTATTCCATGTACAGTGGTACCTTGGTTTAAGAACAGCTTAGCTTATGAAAAACTTGGATTAAGAACGCTGCAAACCCGGAAGTAGGTGTTTTGGTTTGTGAATTTTGCCTTGGAATAAGAACATGTTTCGCTTCCTGTTGAGTGTGTTCCATATATAAATTGAGTTCCCTGCTGCTATGGGAAAGCACACCTTGGTTTAAGAAAGCTTTGGTTTAAGATGGACTTCCAGAAAGGATTAAGATGGACTTCCGGAAAATGGACTTCCGGACAGGATTAAGTTTGTAAACCAAGGTACCACTGTATACATGTTGTTAGAAGTCACAGCTAGCATCCACTCCTTGATGAATGTATCCACATGATACAGGTTTGCCATGCTATATTTTGCAGGTTTAATTTGCATGTGCAAATCATGTGTATAAACCTAAAAAAAATATTGTGTGAAATGGCCGCATGGAAGGGAATCTTGTCCCATTTGCTAAATGTACATGCTCATGCAAACACACTTGGTTTGAGATTTAAAAGAGATGGTGCAATATCCAATGTTATATTAGCAGATTCAATGGGAATTCCCTTTGGGAAGCCAACTCCTGAGGGCCAAAGTCACTTCAAAACCCACTCCCACCCCCAGCATCCGCAGTAAAATATTTGAGGATGTCCAGGAAGAGGGCAAAGTTGATGGGCCTTACCATTCAAATGGGATGTGTGGGCTGCATCTTGTGATTGATTATGTGGGTTGGGGCTTACCTGGGGCTAAGAGGAAGAAAAAAACCCATTGCACGAGCAGAAGTCTATTGTGTATGTGGACTGACATCAGTGGATGTCACCCAAGGAGATTTGATTTTCTGATACACTTGGTAGAGTGGCTAGGGAACACTATGATGCCACATTGTAGTTCATTGTTATGAAGATGTTTTAAGCAGGGCAAGCTGAGAGAACCAACACAGAGAAGTCCACACCGTTGTGAATGGCACAGGTCTCTTGCTTTAAAAGTAAAATAAAGGGGGGGACATGACCACCTCATATAGCTACAGTGAACTAAAACCCCTTTCCCTCTTTGTATAAGAGAACATTCTTCCTCAAATAAGGAGAATACTACCCCCCTGTTTTTACATGAATGCAATAGTTTTGCAAAAATAAGGGGACTTTACCCCAGCACTCGTAATACATGGATCAATCTATACTGGAGTGAGATCATTTAAATGGTGGAAAGGGTTTTACTCAGAAAGGAAATCTTCCCAAACTTGAGAAGCCAAATAGAACCTACTTTCTTCATTGAATTATGTATAATGTACTGTTGAGCTATCACTCTGAAATGGAACCAAATCCAAAATCTGTGATTAAATCAGTCACAAGATCTTGGTCATTCTGTACATTCTGATAATTTGAAGTACTGTATGTAAGGCATAATCACAGGCACATTATTGAAAGTGTGCTTAACAGTTTTATGCTATTATCAGCTGCATTGAGAAGGCTTTTTGCCCTGAAAAAGAGCCTAAAATGTTTCAAATAAATACAAACGATACATAGCTTTTAACAAAATATTTGTACATACTAGAATTTCCCTCTCCAGCTGCTAAAATAGGCCAAACAATTCTGAACAGTTTTATTAAATGGCACTGTATTTTATGGTACAACTCTGTGTGGATGCACAGATCTAACACAAATACCAATATTAAATGGTTAATTATTTCCTTGGTTCAATCTAGCTAGTTGCTGTAACTTTTGGTTTTAAATCATTCACATACTGCATAGGCCTTTGATCTTACAGAGTTAAATGTTTTATCAGCATATTCAGGACTTACTTAAAAAGAGCTGGTTGTTCTTTAGCTGTAAACTTTGGGATGGGTTAATGGAATGTATGAAATGGCAATTGTTTTTACTTTGCAAGGACATCAGTAACACTGAAACATTTATAACTAATGTTAAATATCCTCTCCCTGCTCCTCTGCAATATGCAAACTTAAAAACTCACTGTAGTCAGTTACAAAATTTCCTTGGTGATTAGGCCAAGATGTAAGCATGTGTCTGACAGTTCAATACTATGCATATTTACTTGGAAGTAATCGCAGTAGCACTATTAGCCATTATCAGCAGGACTATGGAAAGGAATCCCCCATCTTCCATCTGGCTAAGTTCCCTAGCACAGGATGTTTCCAATAAAATCCTTCCTCCCTTG